CTTTCATCCAAGTGGACAACGAGCTCAAATACCTGGTGGATGGCGTGGCGATACACATGAATGAGGTGAGTCCACACGTGTGTGTGTGTGTGTGTGTGTGTGTGTGTGTGTGTGTGTGTGTGTGTGTGTGTGTGTGTGTGTGTGTGTGTGTGTGTGTGTGTATGTGTGTATGTGTGTATGTGTGTGTGTGTGTGTGTGTGTGTGTGTGTGTGTGTGTGTGTGTGTGTGTGTGTGTGTGTGTTTGTACTCGCCTAGTTGTGCTTGCGGGGGTTGAACTTTGGCTCTTTGGTCCCGCCTTTCAACCGTAAGTCGTCTGGTGTACAGATTCCTGAGCTTCTCGAGCTCTATCATATCTACATTTGAAACTGTGTATGGAGTCAGCCTCCACCACAACACTTCATAGTGCATTCCATTTACTAACTACTGACACTGAAAAAGTTCTTTCTAGAGTGTCTAATAAAAGTGGCTGTATTTGCAAACATACAAGGCCTAAAATCAATAAATAAAGTTAAGTTCATAAATGGCCTTCTAATAGAATCGAACTCAATATTTGATGCATTTACAGAAACCCACACAAAAGACCACATGGATAGTGAAATCTGGATCCCAAATTATAATCTATATAGATGTGATAGAGTAATTAGTGGAGGAGTAGGTCTGTATATTAAAGAGGAACTGGCATGCACAGACCTCTTTAACTCGACCAATGAGGTGGTAGAGGTACTTGGAATCAAGGTGGAAAATATAAATCTAATTATTATTCTAATATACAAACCGCCAGATACAACAGTTGAGGAATTCACTGAGCAGATCCACAAAATAGAGAATATTCTTGATAACCTATCAAACCCAGTACCAGATATTATCTTCCTTGGAGACTTCAATCTACCCAGTTTAAAATGGAGAATAGTAAACAATAACATTATAGCAGGAAATCAACCTAGAAATAACCAACCACATGTTGTTAAGATTCGCTACCTGGAACAAAAAGTTCCAAGAAGCACGGGCTATGGTGAGCCCGTAGTGGACTTTAAAAACCAACCACAGGTCAGAGAACTACTGAGATTCTGTGACAAATTCTCGCTCGGTCAGCAGATAACTGAACCAACTAGGAACGAAAGCACGCTGGATCTGATATTCACGAACAATGATGAGCTAATCAGAGACATTACTGTCTCAGACACTACGTACTCGGACCACAAGATCATTGAAGTGCAAACTAACATTAATAACGGTAGTAGGCCCAAGAGAAACAACAAGCGAGAAGGGTTATTCAATAAATTGAATTCTAATAATAAAAGGATAGACTGGGAGAAAATAAACTGGGAAATTACAAACATTCAATGGGAAAATGTTCTAAGGAATAAAAATCCTACACAAGGAATAGAAAAACTGACATGTGAAGCATATGAAGTCTGAAACATGTTCCTTTGAGGAAAGCCAGAAAGAGGTCCAACGTAGAAAGAGAACGCAGACGGCACTACAAACGACACTGCTCAGTACTCACTTCTCCCTTCAGTGCAGGAGAGATTGCAGAAAGAGGGAGTACAGAGAACATAGACCCGAACAAACACCTAAATTATTGGGATAGTCTCAAAGCCCTCCAATTATACTCACTAGAAAAAAGACGAGAGAGATATCAAATAATATACACGTGGAAAACACTGGAGGGCCAGGTCCCAAATCTACACAGTATAATAACAACATACTGGAGTGAACGATATGGAATAAAATGCAGAATATAACCAGTGAAGAGCAGGGGTGCCATAGGCACAATCAGAGAACACTGTGTAAACATCAGAGGTCCGCGGTTGTTCAACACCCAGCGACTATAAGAAATATTGCCGGAACAACCGTGGACATCTTCAAGAGAAAACTAGATAGTTTTCTCCAAGGAGTGCAGGACCAACCGAACCGTGGTGGGTATGTGGGCCTGCGGGCTGCTCCAAGCAACAGCCTGGTGGACCAAACTCTCATAAGTCAAGCCTGGCCTCGGGCCGGGCTTGGGGAATAGAAGAACATCCAGAACCCTATCAACCATGTATCATTTGGGTACTCAGCTTCCACCTGTGTCCCCTTGTGCGAGTACCATCCGTGTTAAATAATTCATCCTTGTCTACCCTGTCAATTCCCTTGAGAATTTTGTATGTGATGATTATGTCTCCCCGAGCTCTTCTGTCTTCCAGCGACGTGAGGTGCAGTTCACGTAGCCTTTCCTCATAACTCATACCTCTTAGTTCCAGGACTAGCCAAGTGGCATTTCTCTCATCATGTCTTGGGCCGTCTTTCCTCTGAGCTCTGTTTCCCAAGCTATATCTGTTAGGAATTTCCTTATCTCCTCATAGTTTCTCTTCCGGAATGTCGGTCTTTTGTTTTGTGGGCCTTTCCTTGAGTACTTTAACCCTACTTCGACTAGGTGTGTGTGTGTGTGTGTGTGTGTGTGTGTGTGTGTGTGTGTGTGTGTGTGTGTGTGTGTGTGTGTGTGTGTGTGTGTGTTGATTATTGTATTTACTGTAAGTATAAGGGATGTTTTTGTGGTTGTAATTGAGTAAAGAATGGTGAAGTGTGTGTGTGTGTGCCACAGGGTATGGTGCCAGTAGACCTGCTGCCGAGCCTGGCACAACACTGTTCCCACTACCTGGCCACACATCCTCCCTCCAAGCCTGAGGACAACCTGCCGCCCCCCTGTCCCGGCCTGCAGCAGCGTCTGGACCTGCGGGACTGTGACCGTGCCCGGGGAGGACTACTGGAGCCCCAGGCCTGCCTCCACCTGCTGCACAACTCACCCCGTCCTCTCTCCCCGCCTCCCGACGACTCTTGCACTCTCGACGTCTGCTTCAACAAGCCCCTCCGAGCGCCCGATTGCATAAGTGTGCTGCTAGATGCGGCGCCGAGGGAGGCATGCGTCCCGCAGCACCTAGCGGAGGTGTTGGTGTACTCTGGGGAGCCTCGCCGCAGCTCGCATTTAGATCGTGTGCACCTCATCCATGTGCACGATGCCTCGGATGCAGGGAACCCGCCGCCCCTAGTGCTCCATCTGCAACAGCAGTCTGGGCACCAGGGCACGCAGCGGGCGCCCCTGACGGCGTGTCCTGTGGTGGAGCTGCCCGCTCCCTGCCCCTCCAGCACGCAGTTACCGACGCAGTGTTCGCAAGAGCAGCGCCTGGCGTCGGCGGCGGCGGCCATGTTGGGACACCAGTGCTGGAACATGAGTGGGGAGGGGCCCCGGCCCGGGGTGGCCTGCCCACTCTCACCCCTCTGGTTGCCATCCAAGGTACAGCCATCCTCTCCAGCTTTACCGCCCCCCTGCCTGCTCTACCTGCTACTGCTGCCACTTAATACCTCCTGCACTCTCAGCCATCTCTACCTGCTGCACTCTCATCCATCTCGACCTGGTGCACTCTCATCCATCTGTACCTGGTGCATTCTCATCCATCTCTACCTGGTACACTCTCATCCATCTCTTTGGTGCACACTCATCCATGTCTACCTGGTACACTCTCATCCATGTCTACCTGGTACACTCTCATCCATGTCTACCTGGTACACTCTCATCCATCTCTATTTGGTGCACTCTCATCCATCTCTATTTGGTGCACTCTCATCCATGTCTACCTGGTACACACACATCCATGTCTACCTGGTACACTCTCAGCCATCTCTATTTGGTGCACTCTCATCCATCTCTACCTGGTGCACTCTCATCCATGTCTACCTGGTGCACTCTCATCCATCTCTACCTGGTGCACTCTCATCCATGTCTACCTGGTACTCATCCATGTCTACCTGGTGCACTCTCATCCATGTCTACCTGGTGCACTCTCATCCATGTCTACCTGGTGCACTCTCATCCATGTCTACCTGGTGCACTCTCATCCATCTCTATTTGGTGCACTCTCATCCATCTCTACCTGGTGCACTCTCATCCATCTCTACCTGGTGCACACTCATCCATCTCTACCTGGTGCACTCTCAGCCATCTCTACCTGGTGCACTCTCAGCCATCTCTACCTGGTGCACTCTCAGCCATCTCTACCTGGTTCACTCTCAGCCATCTCTATTTGGTGCTCTCACCATCTCTACCTGGTGCACTCCATCTCTACCTGGTGCACTCTCATCCATCTCTACCTGGTGCACTCTCAGCCATCTCTACCTGGTGCACTCTCAGCCATCTCTACCTGGTGCACTCTCATCCATCTCTACCTGGTGCACTCTCATCCATCTATACCTGGTGCACTCTCATCCATCTCTACCTGGTGCACTCTCAGCCATTTCTACCTGGTGCACTCTCATCCATGTCTACTTGGTGCACTCATCCATCTCTACCTGGTGCACCCTTACCCCCCCTCTACCTGGTGCACCCTCACCCCCCCTCTACCTGGTGCACCCTCACACCCCCTCTACCTGGTGCACCCTCACCCCCCCTCTACCTGGTGCACCCTCACACCCCACTCTACCTGGTGCACCCTCACACCCCCCTCTACCTGGTGCACCCTCACACCCCCCTCTACCTGGTGCACCCTCACCCGCGCTCTATCTGGTGCACCCTCACCCCCCTCTACCTGGTGCACCCTCACCCCCCCTCTACCTGGTGCACCCTCACCCCCCTCTACCTGGTGCACCCTCACCCCCCTCTACCTGGTGCACCCTCACCCCCCTCTACCTGGTGCACCCTCACCCCCCTCTACCTGGTGCACCCTCACCCCCCTCTACCTGGTGCACCCTCACACCCCCTCTACCTGGTGCACCCTCACACCCCCTCTACCTGGTGCACCCTCACCCCCCCCCTACCTGGTGCACCCTCTACCTGGTGCACCCTCACCCCCCCCCTCTACCTGGTGCACCCTCACCCCCCCCCTCTACCTGGTGCACCCTCACCCCCCCCTCTACTTGGTGCACCCTCACCCCCCCTCTACCTGGTGCACCCTCACCCCCCCCCCTCTACCTGGTGCACCCTCACCCCCCCCCCTCTACCTGGTGCACCCTCACCCCCCCCTCTACCTGGTGCACCCTCACCCCCCCCTCTACCTGGTGCACCCTCACCCCCCCCCCTCTACCTGGTGCTAGACCCCCACGCTACTAACACTGGCTGGTAACTAACAGAGCGGATATTATGTAGGAGGGAGCACTGTGCCCGGCCCCCCCCCCGTGTGTTGTGCCCGGCCTCCCCCCCCCCCCCGTGTGTTGTGCCCGGCCTCCCCCCCCCGTGTGTTGTGCCCGGCCTCCCCCCCCCGTGTGTTGTGCCCGGCCTCCCCCCCCCCGTGTGTTGTGCCCGGCCTCCCCCCCCCGTGTGTTGTGCCCGGCCTGTGTGTTGTGCCCGGCCTCCCCCCCCCGTGTGTTGTGCCCGGTCTCCCCCCCCCCGTGTGTTGTGCCCGCCTCCCCCCCCCGTGTGTTGTGCCCGGCCTCCCCCCCCCGTGTGTTGTGCCCGGCCTCCCCCCCCGTGTGTTGTGCCCGGCTCCTCCCCCCCCCGTGTGTTGTGCCCGGCCTCCCCCCCCCGTGTGTTGTGCCCGGCCTCCCCCCCCCCCCCCCTCCCCCCCCTGTGTTGTGCCCGTTGTGCCCGGCCTCCCCCCCCCCGTGTGTTGTGCCCGGCCTCCCCCCCCCTCCCCCCCCCCCGTGTGTTGTGCCCGGCCGGTGTGTTGTGCCCGGTCTCCTCCCCCCCCCCGTGTGTTGTGCCCGGCCCCCCCCCCCCCGTGTGTTGTGCCCGTGTGTTGTGCCCGGCCTCCCCCCCCCCCGTGTGTTGTGCCCGGCCTCCCCCCCCCCCCTGTGTTGTGCCCGGCCCCCCCCCCCCCGTGTGTTGTGCCCGGCCTCCCCCCCCGTGCCCGGCCTCCCCCCCCCGTGTGTTGTGCCCGGCCTCCCCCCCCCCGTGTGTTGTGCCCGGCCTCCCCCCCCCCCCGTGTGTTGTGCCCGGCCTCCCTGCCCCCCCCCCCCCCCCGTGTGTTGTGCCCGGCCTCCCCCCCCCCCGTGTGTTGTGCCCGGCCTCCCCCCCCCCCGGCCTCCCCCCCCCGTGTTGTGCCCGGCCTCCCCCCCCCCCCGGCCTCCCCCCCGTGTGTTGTGCCCGGCCTCCCCCCCCGTGTGTTGTGCCCGGCCTCCCCCCCCCCGGCCTCCCCCCCCCCACCCGTGTGTTGTGCCCGGCCTCCCCCCCCCCCCGTGTGTTGTGCCCGGCCTCCCCCCCCCGTGTGTTGTGCCCGGCCTCCCCCCCCCGTGTGTTGTGCCCGGCCTCCCCCCCCCCCCTCCCCCTCCCCCCCGTGTGTTGTGCCCGGCCTCCCCGTGTGTTGTGCCCGGCCTCCCCCCCCCGTGTGTTGTCCCCGGCCTCCCCCCCCCGTGTGTTGTGCCCGGCCTCCCCCCCCCCGTGTGTTGTGCCCGGCCTCCCCCCCCCCCTCCCCCCCGTGTGTTGTGCCCGGCCTCCCCCCCCCCCCCCGTGTGCCCGGCTCTCCCCCCCCCCGTGTGTTGTGCCCGGCCTCCCCCCCCCCCGTGTGTTGTGCCCGGCCTCCCCCCCCCGTGTGTTGTGCCCGGCCTCCCCCCCCCCCCCCGTGTGTTGTGCCCGGCCCCCCCCCCCGTGTGTTGTGCCCGGCCTCCCCCCCCCCCGTCCCCCCCCCCCGTGTGTTGTGCCCGGCCTCCTCCCCCCCCCCCCGTGTGTTGTGCCCGGCCTCCCCCCCCCCCCGTGTGTTGTGCCCGGCCTCCTCCCTCCCCCCCGTGTGTTGTGCCCGGCCTCCCCCCCCCCCCGTGTGTTGTGCCCGGCCTCCCCCCCCCCCCCGTGTGTTGTGCCCGGCCTCCCCCCCCCCCCCGTGTGTTGTGCCCGGCCTCCCCCCCCCCCCGTGTGTTGTGCCCGGCCTCCCCCCCCCCCCCGTGTGTTGTGCCCGGCCTCCCCCCCCGTGTGTTGTGCCCGGCCCCCCCCCGTCCCCCCCCCCCGTGTGTTGTGCCCGGCCTCCCCCCCCCCCCCCGTGTGTTGTGCCCGGCCTCCCCCCCCCGTGTGTTGTGCCCGGCCTCCCCCCCCCCGTGTGTTGTGCCCGGCCTCCCCCCCCCCCCGTGTGTTGTGCCCGGCCTCCCCCCCCCCGTGTTTGTGCCCGTGTGTTGTGCCCGGCCCCCCCCCCCCGTGTGTTGTGCCCGGCCTCCCCCCCCCCCCCGTGTGTTGTGCCCGGCCTCCCCCCCCCCCCCCGTGTGTTGTGCCCGGCCTCCCCCCCCCCCCCCCGTGTGTTGTGCCCGGCCTCCCCCCCCCCCCCGTGTGTTGTGCCCGGCCTCCCCCCCCCCCCCGTGTGTTGTGCCCGGCCTCCCCCCCCCCGTGTTTGTGCCCGGCCTCCCCCCCCCGTGTGTTGTGCCCGGCCCTCCCCCCCCGTGTGTTGTGCCCGGCCTCCCCCCCCCCGTGTGTTGTGCCCGGCCTCCTCCCTCCCCCCGTGTGTTGTGCCCGGCCTCCTCCCTCCCCCCCGTGTGTTGTGCCCGGCCTCCCCCCCCCCCACCGTGTGTTGTGCCCGTGTGTTGTGCCTCCCCCCCGGCCTCCCCCCCCCCGTGTGTTGTGCCCGGCCTCCTCCCTCCCCCCCGTGTGTTGTGCCCGGCCCCCCTCCCGTGTGTTGTGCCCGGCCTCCTCCCTCCCCCCCGTGTGTTGTGCCCGGCCTCCCCCCCCCCCCCCGTGTGTTGTGCCCGGCCTCCTCCCTCCCCCCCGTGTGTTGTGCCCGGCCTCCTCCCTCCCCCCCCCGTGTGTTGTGCCCGGCCTCCTCCCCCCCCCCCCGTGTGTTGTGCCCGGCCTCCCCCTCCCCCCCCCGTGTGTTGTGCCCGGCCTCCCCCCCCCCCCCGTGTGTTGTGCCCGGCCTCCTCCCCCCCCCCCGTGTGTTGTGCCCGGCCTCCTCCCCCCCCCCGTGTGTTGTGCCCGGCCTCCTCCCTCCCCCCCGTGTGTTGTGCCCGGCCTCCCCCCCCCCCCCCCGTGTGTTGTGCCCGGCCTCCTCCCCCCCCCCCGTGTGTTGTGCCCGGCCTCCCCCCCCCCCCGTGTGTTGTGCCCGGCCTCCCCCCCCCCCCGTGTGTTGTGCCCGGCCTCCCCCCCCCCCCCTTGTGTGTTGTGCCCGGCCTCCCCCCCCCCCCCCCCGTGTGTTGTGCCCGGCCTCCTCCCCCCCCCCGTGTGTTGTGCCCGGCCTCCCCCCCCCCCGTGTGTTGTGCCCGGCCTCCCCCCCCCCCCCCCCCCCGTGTGTTGTGCCCGGCCTCCTCCCTCCCCCCCCGTGTGTTGTGCCCGGCCTCCTCCCCCCCCCGTGTGTTGTGCCCGGCCTCCCCCCCCCCGTGTGTTGTGCCCGGCCTCCCCCCCCCCCCCCGTGTGTTGTGCCCGGCCTTCCCCCCCCCCCCGTGTGTTGTGCCCGTGTGTGTTGTGCCCGGCCTCCCCCCCCCGTGTGTTGTGCCCGGCCTCCCCCCCCCGTGTGTTGTGCCCGGCCTCCTCCCCCCCGTGTGTTGTGCCCGGCCTCCCCCCCCCCCCCCCGTGTGTTGTGCCCGGCCTCCTCCCTCCCCCCCGTGTGTTGTGCCCGGCCTCCTCCCTCCCCCCCGTGTGTTGTGCCCGGCCTCCCCCTCCCCCCCGTGTGTTGTGCCCGGCCTCCCCCCCCGTGTGTTGTGCCCGGCCTCCCCCCCCCCCGTGTGTTGTGCCCGGCCTCCCCCCCCCGTGTGTTGTGCCCGGCCTCCCCCCCCCGTGTGTTGTGCCCGGCCTCCCCCCCGTGTGTTGTGCCCGGCCTCCCCCCCCCCCCGTGTGTTGTGCCCGGCCTCCCCCCCCCGTGTGTTGTGCCCGGCCCCCCCCCCCCGTGTGTTGTGCCCGGCCTCCCCCCCCCGTGTGTTGTGCCCGGCCTCCCCCCCCGTGTGTTGTGCCCGGCCTCCCCCCCCCGTGTGTTGTGCCCGGCCTCCCCCCCCCGTGTGTTGTGCCCGGCCTCCTCCCCCCCCGTGTGTTGTGCCCGGCCTCCTCCCTCCCCCCCGTGTGTTGTGCCCGGCCTCCTCCCTCCCCCCGTGTGTTGTGCCCGGCCTCCCTCCCCCCCGTGTGTTGTGCCCGGCCCCCCCCCCCGTGTGTTGTGCCCGGCCTCCCCCCCCCGTGTGTTGTGCCCGGCCTCCTCCCTCCCCCCCCGTGTGTTGTGCCCGGCCTCCTCCCTCCCCCCGTGTGTTGTGCCCGGCCTCCTCCCTCCCCCCCCGTGTGTTGTGCCCGGCCTCCCTCCCCCCGTGTGTTGTGCCCGGCCTCCTCCCCCCCCCCCCCCCGTGTGTTGTGCCCGGCCTCCTCCCTCCCCCCCCGTGTGTTGTGCCCGGCCTCCTCCCTCCCCCCGTGTGTTGTGCCCGGCCTCCTCCCTCCCCCCCCCGTGTGTTGTGCCCGGCCTCCCCCCCCCCGTGTGTTGTGCCCGTCCCCCCCCCCCCGTGTGTGTGCCCGGCCTCCTCCCTCCCCCCCGTGTGTTGTGCCCGGCCTCCTCCCTCCCCCCCCCCGTGTGTTGTGCCCGGCCTCCTCCCTTCCCCCCCCGTGTGTTGTGCCCGGCCTCCTCCCTTCCCCCCCCGTGTGTTGTGCCCGGCCTCCTCCCTTCCCCCCCCGTGTGTTGTGCCCGGCCTCCTCCCTCCCCCCCCCCCGTGTGTTGTGCCCGGCCTCCTCCCTCCCCCCCCGTGTGTTGTGCCCGGCCTCCTCCCCCCCCCCCCCCCCGTGTGTTGTGCCCGGCCTCATGCCTCTGGTCTACACCTGGCTTAAGCGTTTGGTTTTCATTTGGGTTGGTGTAGGTGTGTTATAATAATAATACTAATAATATATATATATATATATATATATATATATATATATATATATATATATATATATATATATATATATATATATATATATATATATATATAATACTCTTTTAGAGCATTTATGGTACCAGGGGGCATGGTTAAAGCCTTATGAAAATAGATGAATCGTATACAGCATGGTTTGAATTGTTGTTGATTGATACATATTGATGGAGGCCCCGTTGATGATGTGGGAGTTGTAGCCGACTGGCAGGTGATTGGAGGTATTATCAACCTCGCTCGTTAGGTGGTGGACGAGGCTCATTGTGTTCTCTCTATTCAGGTAAATGGTACAAGTTTAGACGGTTGCCACTGTGCAATATTGTAAACTCAAAGGCGGCCCCTTATTCTGGGGAAGGTCTGCGTTCATGCACATCCCATTCATATAAATTCCTATCCAGAATATCGTGGATAATATCACATCATTCACTTGGATAAATGGCTCCGCGAAGGCTTAAATTATATATAGTGTATATGTTATATGCGTTTATATTATGCGAAGCTTCACCTGATCAGTTCCCTTGTGAAGCCAACCACTCTAGAGAGACACTACAGGTACACTCCAGGTATGGCATCCAGGTTCTTATGCCGTCAGATTAATTATTGGATCAAATTGTCATCATGTAGTTGGTCTGACTTGGCCCACCTGTCAGCGCCTCCGTCTCCCACCTGTCAAAAGATTTGCATCCCATTGTTCTTGTCCCAGTGTGAAGCCTAATGAAAATTCAAGTTAGGCCACACATCCCTGCCTTCTATTACCTGTATATATATATATATATATATATATATATATATATATATATATATATATATATATATATATATATATATATATATATATATATATATATATATATATATATATATATATATATATATATATATATAATATATATATATATATATATATATATATATATATAATATATATATATATATATAATATATATATATATATATATATATATAAAATATTATGCGAACAAGGCTGAATGGTCCCCAGGACTATATGCAACTGAAAACTCACACCCCAGAACTGACTCGAACCCTGTACTGAACGGATTAAGGTCCTGTACACACCAGTTGCGTTGCTCCTGGCAGTATGGATTCGAGTCACTTCTGGGGTGTGAGTTTTCAGTTATATATAAATAATATAATATTTTTATTTTATTTTATCATACACTTGCATGAACTCTCAAGTTATATATAACACACAGAACACTTCCCCTATGAGACATTGAACTTGGCCCAGGCAAGTGGCTGGTAAATGAGCTAACCTAACCACCATCAGATCGTTACAGATAATCTGTGCCCCATCATTCCGTGTCACACGAGGTGTTTTGAGATGTAGTGACGGACACTGATGATTGACAGCTGTTACTAGTTATTGTTGATTGGGTGCCGTCTTAACCCCAGGCGTTCCCTCGCTCACCTTATCATCTTATCAACATTAATACCTTTTGCAAGTGATTAGCTCAAGGTCTTGACGGGTGGAACAAGGCCATGCTGACCTGACTGTCTAGAGTGATCCGGACCACCAAAGATCACTTGGCTCGTTAGTGCTCCCCGTTTACGGACTTAACAAGCGCCCAATTTGAACTACGTTTCGCCATCATGAACATACAACCCTGGCAGACCAAATTAACCCTTAGTACCGCCTATGCTCACCACTCAGCGAAAGCCGTCCACACTAAATCACTTTCCAAAAAGTGCACTAAAGCCCCTTAATTGAGCAGTTGGTGTGGGAGGAAGTACATGGTGACCATAATGATGTATTAGACTAGCAGCACCACTATTGACCTGCTAACGCTCCTGTATTCTTCTCTTTCAGATTATAAAAACTGCTGAAACAGAAATAAGGTAAAGATTCCTTGATGAGATTTGTGTTCTATTTTATAAGTGGTGGGTATCTCAGGGCATGCATGGGCAGGGGGGGCATGCATGGGGAGGGGCATGCATGGGGAGGGGGCGTGGTGTGTGTGGAGGGGGCGTGGTGTGTGTGGAGGGGGGGGGCAGGGTTGGGGGTGATGTGGGCGGAGGTGGGGGGACTGTAGCGTGTTGTGAGAGAGGAAGACTGTAGCGTGTTGTGAGAGAGGGAGACTGTAGCGTGTTGTGTGAGAGGGAGACTGTAGCATGTTGTGAGAGAGGGAGACTGTAGCGTGTTGTGAGAGGGGGAGACTGTAGCGTGTTGTGAGAGGGGGAGACTGTAGCGTGTTGTGAGAGGGGGAGACTGTAGCGTGTTGTGAGAGGGGGAGACTGTAGCGTGTTGTGAGAGAGGGAGACTGTAGCGTGTTGTGAGAGAGGGAGACTGTAGCGTGTTGTGAGAGAGGGAGACTGTAGCGTGTTGTGAGAGAGGGAGACTGTAGCGTGTTGTGAGAGAGGGAGACTGTAGCGTGTTGTGAGAGAGGGAGACTGTAGCGTGTTGTGAGAGAGGGAGACTGTAGCGTGTTGTGAGAGAGGGAGACTGTAGCGTGTTGTGAGAGAGGGAGACTGTAGCGTGTTGTGAGAGAGGGAGACTGTAGCGTGTTGTGAGAGAGGGAGACTGTAGCGTGTTGTGAGAGAGGGAGACTGTAGCGTAGTTTGTGAGAGAGGGAGACTGTAGCGTGTTGTGAGAGAGGGAGACTGTAGCGTGTTGTGAGAGAGGGAGACTGTAGCGTGTTGTGAGAGAGGGAGACTGTAGCGTGTTGTGAGAGAGGGAGACTGTAGCGTGTTGTGAGAGAGGGAGACTGTAGCGTGTTGTGAGAGGGGGAGACTGTAGCGTGTTGTGAGAGGGGGAGACTGTAGCGTGTTGTGAGAGGGGGAGACTGTAGCGTGTTGTGAGAGGGGGAGACTGTAGCGTGTTGTGAGAGGGGGAGACTGTAGCGTGTTGTGAGAGGGGGAGACTGTAGCGTGTTGTGAGAGGGGGAGACTGTAGCGTGTTGTGAGAGGGGGAGACTGTAGCGTGTTGTGAGAGGGGGAGACTGTAGCGTGTTGTGAGAGGGGGAGACTGTAGCGTGTTGTGAGAGGGGGAGACTGTAGCGTGTTGTGAGAGGGGGAGACTGTAGCGTGTTGTGAGAGGGGGAGACTGTAGCGTGTTGTGAGAGGGGGAGACTGTAGCGTGTTGTGAGAGGGGGAGACTGTAGCGTGTTGTGAGAGGGGGAGACTGTAGCGTGTTGTGAGAGGGGGAGACTGTAGCGTGTTGTGAGAGGGGGAGACTGTAGCGTGTTGTGAGAGGGGGAGACTGTAGCGTGTTGTGAGAGGGGGAGACTGTAGCGTGTTGTGAGAGGGGGAGACTGTAGCGTGTTGTGAGAGGGGGAGACTGTAGCGTGTTGTGAGAGGGGGAGACTGTAGCGTGTTGTGAGAGGGGGAGACTGTAGCGTGTTGTGAGAGGGGGAGACTGTAGCGTGTTGTGAGAGGGGGAGACTGTAGCGTGTTGTGAGAGGGGGAGACTGTAGCGTGTTGTGAGAGGGGGAGACTGTAGCGTGTTGTGAGAGGGGGAGACTGTAGCGTGTTGTGAGAGGGGGAGACTGTAGCGTGTTGTGAGAGGGGGAGACTGTAGCGTGTTGTGAGAGGGGGAGACTGTAGCGTGTTGTGAGAGGGGGAGACTGTAGCGTGTTGTGAGAGGGGGAGACTGTAGCGTGTTGTGAGAGGGGGAGACTGTAGCGTGTTGTGAGAGGGGGAGACTGTAGCGTGTTGTGAGAGGGGGAGACTGTAGCGTGTTGTGAGAGGGGGAGACTGTAGCGTGTTGTGAGAGGGGGAGACTGTAGCGTGTTGTGAGAGGGGGAGACTGTAGCGTGTTGTGAGAGGGGGAGACTGTAGCGTGTTGTGAGAGGGGGAGACTGTAGCGTGTTGTGAGAGGGGGAGACTGTAGCGTGTTGTGAGAGGGGGAGACTGTAGCGTGTTGTGAGAGGGGGAGACTGTAGCGTGTTGTGAGAGGGGGAGACTGTAGCGTGTTGTGAGAGAGGGAGACTGTAGCGTGTTGTGAGAGGGGGAGACTGTAGCGTGTTGTGAGAGGGGGAGACTGTAGCGTGTTGTGAGAGAGGGAGACTGTAGCGTGTTGTGAGAGAGGGAGACTGTAGCGTGTTGTGAGAGGGGGAGACTGTAGCGTGTTGTGAGAGGGGGGGACTGTAGCGTGTTGTGAGAGAGGGAGACTGTAGCGTGTTGTGAGAGAGGGAGACTGTAGCGTGTTGTGAGAGGGGGGACTAAGCATGTTGTGACGGAGAGGTTGTGGGACTGGGCCTATTTTAAGTGCATGGTTGCTGTAATTTGTTTGTAGGGGAAGGTGGTGTGTGCAGCCTCCAGTCTCAAATGCAAGAGGAAGGGTTATTCAAACATTGTAATAATAAACCAAGTAACTGGGAACAAAGAGCAGCAAATAAACCCAGACCTCGTAGAAATAAGCTAGGAAAGAACAGCTAGATAATTCAAACTTAAATCGGTCCTTAATAGGCACAGTAGCATTAGAAATATGTGCAAGTCACATGCCACTAAGAAAATACGAGATGAAACTTGCAAACTGGAACGCGAACAGCTTCCCTCTCCCGAGAACGACACACACTCCACTGTGTCGAGAACGACAAGGAAGGTGATAGAGACAACAATGATTGAGCTCAAGTTGCAATAATCATGTAAAATCCATGCGACAGAGCAAAAAGTCATCAGTGAAAGAAAGAGGAACCCAAAATGCCTTTTCTCCTGTGCAGAATCTTGAACAAAACCTTCATCTACCATTGGGCCCTTACGAAGAGTAAGGGAACTTAAAGCTTATGACAGCAAGAAATGAGTGAAATGCTGAGACTTCGGTACGTTATTATGTTTTCAGTGAACCCCTGAACACATTGAAAATCAATGATCTAAGTGAATTCTTCATAAATATGATACCAACATCAAATTATATATCACTGATCTGATGTATGGTTTGATATATGAAGTCACCCTCAACCCACTGGACTTTGAAGTAGCCATAGACAGCATGCCCATGCACTCCACTCTAGGGCCCCGATTCGTGGAATTCTATATTCGTCAAGAAGTGCAAACACCATTATCACAGGTCCGAAACACGCTTCGAGGCGGAGCCGAGACACTGGTCTTATTCCCGACATACTTAAAACCGAGATCATGCCACTCCACAAAGGAGGAGTGGAGCAGATGTATACAAATTGTAGACCAATAACACTTAACCTCACACATCACACACATCTTTGAAAGGGTTCTAAATACACCAGAATCACAGTCCAACATAACCATAGACAGCACATGTTCAGAATAGGGCGCTCCTGTCACCTTGATATATCTCTGACATGACCTTAGATGCCAAGGAAAACATGCAAATCGCTGTTGTAACATACACAGATTTCGCTAAAGCTTTTATCAAATGTGTCCACGGTGTTACTGCAGATGAAATGCGCACAACGGGCATTGCCGGCAAAGTAGGAAGTTGGTTCTTTAATTTCCTTATGAACTGAACCACACCTGATTGTAATAGTCCAGCCCGTCCTCAAACAAAGGCCAAAAGTGATTCCATGCACCCGCCAAACCCCCGCTGCTATGAATGAAAAACAGTTTATACACGACTCTCAACTGATGACGTCCGAACACTTCCAGAACAAGTGCTTCAGTGACGACTTTTGTTCGAACCACAACGCTGTAAATGCTTCACCCGCGTACTACAAATACAAATACTCGCCAACAGAACCTAAACACCTAACCTAACCAATGCCTAAATAAGCACATTGTTAATATATAATAATATTAATTTATATTAGAAAATTCCTATTTTGATTGAAAATGTTAAAATTGATTAATGCGTCTTTGGGGTCGACCACTGGATGGAATGGACTTGGTCTGAGGACGGGTTGAAGAGTCAACAAAGTAAAATCTGGATCATCATTCACCATGAAAAGCTGTCCCTCGGACTATTGTGCATGCTCCTGTACTTTATTCTCCTCCTCATATCAGACATAGACAAGGACACAAACAATAGTACTGTATCATCCTTTGCAGATGATGCTAAGATTTTTTACGAGAGTAGACAACATAGAGGACACAGCAAACCTCAAAACTGATCTGTCATGTCCTTCAGTGAGCTCCAGAAATTAACACATTTCATGAAGACCATCTACTGCACTATAGAAAAACCGTAAATATCAAGGCAGAAACAACATACAACTCGGCCAAATGACACTATTGAAAAAAGGCAATACTGTATAAAAACAATTGGGAATAATGATGCCAACTGCCTTACTTTTATAGAACACAATAAAGTAGCTGTCAGAACAGCTAAATAAGTGAAAGGTTACATTAGATAACAATAACCTTTTAAGCAAGAAATATCATACTAATGATAATTTTCAAGACATTAGTGCTCTCTAGGGTGGAATATTGGTGCACACTAACAGCCCCATTCAAAGCTGGAGAAATTGCTGACCTGGAGAACGTGCTAAGGTCTTACACTACCCTAATCAACTCAATAAAACATCTAAACTATTGGGACCACTTAAAGTCTTTAAATCTATATTCCCTAGAGTAAAGGCGGGAGAGATACACAATAATTTTCACATAAAAGATATTAGAGGGACTGGTTCCAAACCTGCGCACAGAAATAATACCAATGAGACCAGGAGGCATGGCAGAATGTGCAGAATGCCCCCGTTAAAAAGCAGAGGTGCAATAGGTACACTGAGAGTACTTATTACACCTCTTAACATCATCAAAGGCCCGAGACTGTTCAACACGGTCTAGCGACATAGATGGTTGGCCGAGCGGGCCGCGGGGACACTAAAAAAAAAGCTCCGAAATCATCTCAAGATAACCTCAAGATAACCTCTCATAGTGTTTTAAGAGAACGTGATAAATATAAGTACCTCTTAAAGGATACTTTATACATGAACAGGCTGGTTCATGAGAGAAATTGGCATGTTGCACTTCCAAAGGATACCTGATTACCCAGACTGCGATTAATACGTCTGGCTGGGAACAGCCACGTCAAACAGCCTGGTTGATCAGACCATCAACCATGAGACCTGGTCAGAGACCGGGACACGGGGAGTTGATCATCGGAATCACAGCAAGGTAACCTCAAGGTAAGGGAAGGTAGGCGGCCTCAGTGTTGGTCTGGTCAACCAGGTCGTCAGTCGCGGCTGCTCACAGTTTGATGTATGAATCACAGCCCGGTTGATCAGATATCCTTTGGAGGTGCAACTTGCCAAGTTCTCACGTGAACCAGCCCGTTCTCTTCATTTGCCACAACATCAAAATAAAGGTTACTAAAATGAGTTACTCGCCTAACCAACCAACCCATAAAAAACTTGGGTGTTTGTGAGCCGTTACTTTTCATAGTACACTTTATTTTGTACGTTGGGGACCATAGCATACAGAATGAGGGGCATCTTATAAGAAGACTACACAAGAGGTGAGCCAGTTATGCCCCATGTGTTTAAAAGGAGAGCGTTGAACAGTCTTCATCCCTTGGTGCTGATAATTCTCTCCAGCCCGTCCTCTCCAATAGTACGTCATTGACATATAAATACCCAAAGACTGAAAACTGATGTACTCAAAATCATAGCGGCTCGCAAAATTTACCCGACTTTCCAGTTTAAATTCATAGGTCCTCGGTTAGGTTAGGTTCGGGCAAATTAGTACATCAGTTTAGTGATGTTGTGAACACTCGAATGGGCTGGTGTCTTAGCGTACCTATTACACCTCTGCTCTTCAAAGGGACTCTTCTTGCACATCCTGCCATGCCTCCTGGTCTCATGCGATGGTATTTCTGTGTGCAAGTTTGGAACCAGTTCCTCTAATATTATCCAAGTATAAATTATTATGTATTTCTCCCGCCTGCACTCTAGAGAATGCAGATTTAAACTTTGTAATCGATCCCAATAATTTATCTTTTATTGAACAGATTCTAGCAATAAAGGATCTTTGCACGTTCTCTGTCAGCAATTTCTTCAATTTTGAATGGGCCTGTCATTGTGCAAAAATATTCCACTCTAGAAAGCACTTTTATCTTCAAAAGTATCAACATTGATATGGTATCCTGTGTTTGAAAGGTTCTTACTATCCAACCTGTCATTTTTCTTGTACTGGCGACAGCTACTTTATTGTGTTCTTTACAAGTAAGATCTAACAACATGATTACTAATAAACCTTTACATTACTGTTTCCGTGCATAGTGTGGTTTGACCGAATTTTATATGTAGTTTCCGTTTTTGTACTTTCGTTTTCCATAGCACATGAACTGGTATATATATTCATTAAACATCATATTAGTAATGGTAATGTCTTCTCAGACATAATAACATGGGATAAAAACACACACATATTTGTGTATTTTATGTAAAGATTTACGCCAAGTCTTTTACACTCTCCTGAGTGTTTTGTCTAGATCTGAGTGTGTGGTTAGAATGAACTTGTATCTCAGCGACTAATGCCTTGGTGTAAATCTTTACATAAATTTCACAAATACATAAGTGTGGGTTTTTGTGTTATAAAACTTCATATTATTTTGTGGCCCATTAAAAGATATGATTTACATCGGATGGAAGGTTTGCTGTGTCCTGTATGTTGTCTAGAGAAAATGTTATCTCATGAAAATGTTGTCTCATGAAAATCCTAGTGTCATCTGCAAAGAATGATATGGTACTGTAGTTTGTGTCCTTGTCTGTCTGGTATGAAACTTAGAAAGTACTGCACAGTACAGTACCCTGGGGGGTTACCTTGAGATGGTAACCTGGAATCCTGGAAAAGGTTTATCTGGTAAAGGCTGGAAAAGATGGTAACCTGGAAAAGATGAGACTGGAATTTTCACGGTGGATTATCAGGATTTTTTGTTGACTATTACACACCGGGTTCTGTTATGAAATTAAAGATCCATCTTCCTATTTTCCCAGTAATTCCTTTTGAACACATTGTATGCAATAACACCATGTTCACATTTGTCGAAGGTTTTTGCTAAATTTGTGCATATTACAACGGAGTATTATCCATGCCAAAGTTGTCCAGCTATGCCATAGCTGGATATATGATTCTTGTACCTTTAGTTCAATCGTTTCAATTTCTCTACATCGCCTTCCTTTTCAGTCTTGAGATAAGGCGGGACGATCAAGTTGTTCTGCAATTTGTTTTCTTCGTCTATTAGAAGGAACGCTGTTGCTGTTCCTGTTTGCATTTCTTCCTCTTTCTTTTTTTCTTAGAGGTGTGCGGCTTGAGCGTATTTCTAGAGCTACTGAGCTTATTTTCTCTAAGCATTGTTTTAGTTTTGCATTTGCTTACTGTTCTTCCCAACTGATTTCTGTGAGGTCTTGGTTTATTAGTTCCCAGTTAATCTGTTTATTATTAAAATTGAATTTGGTTAAATCTCCTCCTCCTAGAATTTGGGACTGGCTGTGCAGGCCTATTGCCCATGCTTGTCTGAACTTCAATTAGGTTGTAATCTGAGTAACAAGTACTGTATTTGTAATCATTGTTCTTGATCGTTATTTGGGAAAGATCTAATGTGTGTTCTTTTCTATTTGTTATTCACTGGTTTAAGCGATATCTGTCGCACATCCGTAGTAGGTCATTTGTGTATTGACTGTTCACTAAGACTTCTTCCTGGGATTCTCTTGGATATAACTATTTGCTACGTTCTTCCATTTTTTTGTGCCGCAGGTTCAAGTCCCCTAGCAAGATGATAATTGGGGCCGGGTTTGAGAGGTCAGAGACAGGACTGCAAGGATAACACTTAAACTACTTAACTGATTGTTGTGTATTTTGGGTGGATGGTCCTGATTGTAATGTATGTTGGGTGGATGGTCCTATTTGTAGTGTATTTTGGGTGGATGGTCCTGATTGTAATGTATGTTGGGTGGATGGTCCTATTTGTAGTGTATTTTGGGTGGATGGTCCTGATTGTAATGTATGTTGGGTGGATGGTCCTATTTGTAGTGTATTTTGGGTGGATGGTCCTGATTGCAGTGTATTTTGGAGATGGGGGGTGCAGATAGACCTGATTTGCAGTGTTCTTGGTCTGATTGCAGTGTTTTGGGGGTGGGTGACTGATTGCATTTTGTTTTTTAGGGGGATCTGATTGCAGTGCTTTTTGTGGGCGAGTCTGTTTGAAGTTTTTTTTAAGGGGGGGGTCTGATTATGATTTTTTGGGGAGCCCTAATTGCAGTTTTTTTGTTTGGGGGGGGGGGATTGGTCAGACTGCAGTGTTTTTTTTTTTTAGGATCTAATTGGAGTTTTTGCTTTTGTTTGGGTAGGGTAATATCAGACATGGACAAGGATACAAACTACAGCACTGTATCATCATTTGCAGATGACACTAGGATTTTCATGCGAGTAGACAATATAGAGGACACGGCAAACCTCCAATCTGATGTAAACCAGGCCTTTCAATGGGCCACAGATAATGATAGGTTCCAGTTCCTGCGCTATGGAAAAAAATTAACATTTAAAAACAGAAACCATATATAAAAAGGAATCAAATCCTACTATAGAACGAAAAAACAAAAGGATCTAGAAGTAATCATATCAGAAGACCTTACCACTACAGAACACCATAAAGTAGCTGTCATGACTGCAAGAAAAACGACAGGTTGGATAACAAGGGATGCCATACCAATGATGATACTTTTCAAGGCGCTAATGCTCTCTAGGGTGGAATATTGTTCCACACTAACAGCCCCATTCAAAGCCAGAGAAATTGCTGACCTAGAGGGTGTGCAAAGATCATTACTGCTAGAATCCACTCTTATAAGTCATCTTAATTATTGGGACCAATTAGAAGTTCTGAATCTGTGTTGTCTGCAGTGCGGGCAAAATACATACATAATAATCTACACATGGAAAATATTAGAGAGACTGGTTCGAAATCTGAACACAGAAATAATATCACATGAAACCAGTAAGCATGACAGGATGTGCAAAATATCCCCGTTGAAAATCAGAAATGCATTACGTACGCTGAGGGAAACCTATCAACATCAAAGGCCCAAGGCTTTTCAACTCTCCCACTGCACGTAAGGGACATAACTGGCCGGCCTCTCACAATGTTCAAGAAAGAACTCGACAAACACTTCCAAAGAATACCTGATCAACCAGGCTGTGATTCATACATCAGGCTGCAAGCAGCCACATCCAACAGCCTGGTTGACCAGACGACCAACCGTGAGGCCTGGTCAGAGACCGGGCCGTGGGGCTGTTGATCCTCTTTAGCTACACAAAGTAGACACAAGGTAGGTAATCTGATTGGTATGATTATGGTGAGTGTGGGGATGGGAGGGGGGGAGGATGGGTAGGTTGTGTGTGTGGGGATGGGAGGGGAGGACTGGTTACTATACACTTAAATGAAGACAAGCCTATAATGAACAAGTGGTGCTAATGTCAAGATTATAACAATCTGATGATGCATAATATTTAAACGTTTATGGATGAACCATTTTGATCTTAACATTTACCTGTACACTGTGCTTGTTAGTATTGTACAGAGGGAACAATTTAGTACAGAACTGTAGTTTGCATATACTATGTCATTTCATAATTCAGACTTAGTTCTTCAAAGTATTTACTTATTTTATTTTATTTTATTTATGTTTTAAGTGTACCAAGTGCTTAACAACTATTTTTAATGTAATTTTCTTCATTAATAAATGTGTTTATTATTATTGCAGATATGGGGACATCATTGACGATAAAGGCGTCCCTTCAAAAAATTATATTGTTTTCGATCCTCCACATTTAGATTTTAAAGAACAGTAAGTGTGCTTTCATTTTGGGATATATTTTGGGTGTCACAGCAATGTGAATTTTGTACAATATTTTTAATTTTCCCAGTGTTACATTACCGAATGTCACTTAAAACTCTTCATTTATATATGATCATTAAAGTAGGGTCCGTTTGCTGTCGTCAGTTTAACCCAGTGGCAACAGCGGTGTGTTATTGTTTGTGTGTGTGTGTGTTATTGTTTGTGTGTGTTGTTTGTGTGTGTGTGTTTGTGTGTGTGTGTGTGTGTGTGTGTGTGTGTGTGTGTGTGTACAGTATTTTGTTTCAGAATTAGAGTAGTTAAATTTGAAGGGGCGAGTCCATAGAGTTTTACACTACCTGACAGTGTCGTATAGCATAAGCTCTCCTCACTGTCTCTCATCCAGCCCCTTATTTCTAGTGGCCAAACCCCATCTCACAGCCCTCTCACTTATCCTCCCTCCCTTGACCTCGCACCCTCGACCTCGCACCCTCGAACTCGATAAGCCCACATACTACACTCACTCATTCCACTATAAAACAACCCCTCCTTCCCAGTCCAACCCAACCCTGCCCACGCACCCCAACTTGAAACCGACCCCACCTTACCCAGGCCCTACCCCGACCCCACCTTACCCAGGCCCCACCCCGACCCCACCTTACCCAGGCCCCACCTCGACCCGACCCCGACCCCACCCCGGCCCCACCCCGACCCCACCCCGACCCCACCCCAGCCCCACCCCCCCATCCCACCCCACCCCACCCCCCCCCCACCCCAGCCCCACCCCCCCATCCCACCCCAGCCCCACCCCCCCATCCCACCCCAGCCCCACCCCCCCATCCCACCCCGACCCCACCCCACCCCCCATCCCACCCCGACCCGACCCCACCCTGGCCCCACCCCAGCCCCACCCCGGCCCCACCCCAGCCCCACCCCGGCCCGACCCCACCCTGGCCCCACCCTGGCCCCACCCCGACCCCACCCCGACCCCACTCCAGCCCCACCCCCCATCCCACCCCCATCCCACCCAAAACAAAACACTGAACCCATACCAAAACAGAACAGCAGCTGCCCACTCACCACCCCCAACACCCGCCCGGTCACCACCCCCAACCCATGATGGTGATGGTGCCTATGGCACCTCTGCTCTTCACTGGTTCTGTTCTGCATTTTCTTCCATATCATTCACTCCAGTACATTGTTTTTTAATGTGTAGATTTGGGACCTGGCCCTCCAGTATTTTCCATGTGTATATTATTTGGTATCTATCTCATCTCCTTTCTAGTGGATACTACACATCATTGTGATGTGATGGGACGGTAGAGTAATGGTCTCGCTTCATGCAGATCGGCATTCAATCCCCGACCGTCCAAGTGGTTGGTCACCATTCCTCACCTCCGTCCCATCCCAAATCCTTATCCCTTCCCAGTGCTATTTAGTTGTAATGGCTTGGCACTTCTCCTGATAGTTCTTTCCTTTCCCACTACATGTAAGGGGCATAACTGGCCAACCTCCCTCAGTGTTCAAAGGAGAGCTCGACAAACATCTCCCATAGATACCTGATCAATCAGGCTGTGATTCCTACATTAGGCTGGTTGACCAGACCACCAACCAGGAAGCCTGGTCAGAGACCAGACTGCGGGGACATTGTTCCTCGGAATCATCACATGGTAACTGCAAGGCAAGATAAGGTTCAGTGAATATCCACACCACCCACCCATCCCACACATTTTCCCAACATACCAAGCTCACACTAACTACCCATTGCCACAACCAACCATATGCTTATCCCATCCCGTCCCAACTAATCAGTTCTCCATTTTATAGCCACTCCTCGTTTGACCACATCACTTCCAATATTTTGTGTATTGTGTGATAAGGTATGTCGTGGGAACTGGGATACTTGCTTCAGTGGACTTCATTAAAATATTACTAAGTAATTATTATTTTTGTAATTGACTCTGAATGTAATATTGTTTGAATATTTATTAATGTCAGATTTATTTTTGACAAGTGGAAATTACAAATGTTGCATCAAGTAAATAACATAGTTTTATATAAGTATACAGTATTGTCATTCATTATAATTATATTTCTTTTTACAGGACTTTCTTTATAAGAATTGTAATGTGCAATGTTCTGTCTATTTCTTAAGTTGCAACTTCAGTTGGTGTTGTTCCCGAGGGTCACACTTACTGATGGCTCAGTATAGTTTGTAAAAAGTGGATACATTGTCACATACATTTGGCATGTTAAGTATGACCTCAACACCTGATACCTCATTGTAGAATAATTTGATGTAAATAAAGGCATGAGAGATAAAGATTCCAAGTAAGTTTGTCCCCTTGCAGTCCAACAGGGATGCCCCTCATGAGGAAAGTTGTTGTGCAGAACAGCAGCCCAGAAAACAGTGTGCAGCTCCACTCGTTATCGGGGAACACACTTCACTTCCACTGTACATTTTTCCAAGATAAGGTTAGCATTGTGAGCTTGTGTGAAAACTACTGTAGCTGCATATAAATCAACATAACTATTTGTCGTCATTTCAGAGAAACTAGCCGCTTGTTTAAGGCACTAACTAGAGTGTTGTATAGTTTGGTCTAGGAAATAATAGTTTAGAGAAATTAAATAATGCACAGTACACTAATCTGAGGAGGATGTGTGTGGTGTTAACAGGATAGATAGAATGAGGAATGGAATCCCATTATCAGGGACCGGAAGCTTGTTAGGCTGATAGACCATCAGCTGACTTTCCCCAGGATGCATCCCGCAACAGTTATATATAACTACCAGGTTATATAATGGGAAAACCTTTATGATTATGCTTGCATAAAGCCATCAATGGTTCATTTATGGCCAGATGAACAGAGGCATCGGTGGCAAGAAAACTTGCCCACAAAATCTTGCCCTGCCAGGGAATCGAACCCAGGACCAGTGAAGTCAGATGTGGAGGAGAGTTAATGAATCATAAGACTGAATATGCACAATGAGATGGCATGACAGAGTATCGACTGTGTATTAAAGGGAATTTGTGTAATTAGAATAGGAATTTTAGTATTAGCAGCAACTGAGAAGTGTTAATAAACGAGGAAGAGTGAATGACACCTTAAGCACTTTACACAACCTTTAGTCTATGAAAACGATTTTACTCCATATGATTTGCTGAAATTACAGTGCTGGCTTGCTGTGATGCTTCATAGTGTATGAAATGTATTGTGTATGAACAGGTCTCTATCTGTAAGCCACTTTTTTCCCATGCAATTTTATTCCCTTATCTTATGCCAATATCTTCCTACCTCAAGAAAGTGAAAAATTGACTACCAGTGATAACTAAAATAATCACAATGGTACAGATATTGTACTGTAAAAAATATCTTGCCTCCTGAAGATGGTCAACTATTTCTCATTTCAATACTGTAACTGCAATGTCTTGGCATTGCAAAGATTATCATATTTATTGGCAAATCATAGGTAAGGATTATTTGTACAAGTTGCTTTTATACTGGCATGCTAACGCAATACATTTTCCCAAACCAGGTAGTGTTGCCGGGAGGAAACACCTCATTCGACGTGGTGTTTTTGGGAAGGGAGGAAGGCCTCATAGAAAACACTATCTTCATTCACACTTCCATAGGCACATACAAATATGGGGTATGTATGTACAGATAACATTATTTTCACATTTTTATTTTGATACTGCAAATCTTAAAACATCTGCCTTTGTATGCCAGTTGCACCTGCCTTTGTATGGCAGATGGAACTGGTTTAGCTTATAATGGAAGTGTTCAAATTACAGTGCTGGTACATTATACGTACAGTACAGTATATTGATTTGACATTTAAATAGTCCTTTTATAATCCCTTATAGGCTCTCTATACACTTTCGTGATTGTTTTATCTAATAGGTTCGAGCAGTGGGAACAGGGAACCCCTACAGACTGAGGCCGCTGGTAGGGGTTCGCATGCCTCTCAACTCTTCATACTCCCCTTTAATACAGTTGCACAATCCACATCCGCATTCCTTACAGGTGAGTGGACAAGTTATGGAAGACACTATTTGAATATATTAAAGAAAAGCTGTGTGAAAATAAGTTAGGGCTGAATGACATGTCATCTGATATTGTCTTAGGAACTGGTCACCAGAAACACTATAGATTTAAAATTTTGGATGCCAGAGTAAAAAGGGTGAAGAGTAGTTAAGGTAACACAGTACACTGTATCTTTGTTATGCTGTGAATCACAACTTTTATAGGTCTGTAAAATATTTGGTATGGACTTCCACCAGAGTTTCATCTTGGCCTGGGCAAATGGTTGGTAAGCCAGAATATAGTGTCGACCTTGCCATGATCTCTTGGTGAATCAATGTGGCATGGCCTGGTGACAATGTATCCATTCAGCATGTCAGTTTTTGTTCAGTTATTTTATACTATTCTGCCTGTAGGATGTTTTCAGGGGATGCAACTGGCCCCCGCATGAGCTGTGTTGCAGTATTTAAGCTATCCCAGCTGTTATTCAGTCTTAACTTTTGAGTACTTTACTGTATAGTCACACTAGCTTTGAACTTTATTAAAACAATTACCTTTCCTTATTTCTTAAATACCTGTCAATTGTCATTGATTCTGAAGATCAATGTCCTAGCGGCTTGGTCTCTGACCAAGCCTCCTAGTTGGACTGATCAACCAGGCTGTTTAATGCTGTTAAACATGTTTCATATATCATTATGTATGCAATTAGTTTCTTATTTTTTCTTTACTAAAATGTCTTTGATGATACATTTTAGTAAAGGTTAAATTCATGCAAGTTAGTCAAGTTGTTGATGTATTTATCACTAGATCACAGAGATGTACAGCACGGGAGGAGACCTCCATTTGGAGTTGTTGTCTGGTACACAGGAAGGCCAAAAGAATGTCTGGAATATCCCGCCTTATCACACACGGGCACTGATGAGAGCTAATTTTGTTGCCCGTAGAGAGAACAATCATACTGCGTATGTCAGGTGTGTTACATAATGGTTAAGTGTCTGGATAACCAGTTAATGTGGGACATGGATTTGCTTTGAAAGTAGAAATTTTCTTAGGTTTCTTAACAACTCAGTACAGTAGTGTATACTTTCTTGACAAATTTAATATTTGACTGAAAATTATATTTTTTGATCTATTATAATTATTATCTTGTAGCTATCCTTTATTTAAAATTTTCTCATTAAAATGCACTCTTCCCTTGACAGAATTGTGACGAGTGAAACAGACAGTGACTACTTAGTTGTGCCAGTGGAGGTGGAGGTCTCTGGTCAACCGGGGCTCTTTTGTCCGCACGACGGCCTCCACTTCGGTCTCCGTACCCCTCACGACCCTCCCTCATCCCTTCCCTTGCATCTACTTAATTCTGCTCACAAGCATATACACATTCAAGTGAGTAATCTGCCATGTACATGAATAATTTTTCTTACAGTACTAAGATGTTTCATATCAATTATAATATTGGATAATTTGATCTACTATGGTCAGTTTTTAATATGATGTATCTTTACACAATGAGAAACTTTGCTTCGTAATTTGTCCATGGTTTAATTTTTTTTCTCTAAAATATCCATTGTGTGTGTTTTTATTTTATTATTTTTGTTGCCTTACTCCTATCTTGCATGTGTGTTAAAGTAAGTGCTTAAACTTGAAATATAAAATGGGCACTTCAAGTTGTTGTTGCATTAGCATGCATGATCATTGTGCAGATATTATCAGGACAATGTTGAAATTGGCAAATCTGAATGCAAAAAACAGATCTGAGAGTTCAAATTAGTAGGGATCTTAGGCAAAAAAAAAAACAAATGCACAAATGTGGATTCATTTTTAGGCCCTATTTAGGTTTTCAGTTCAGTCTTGGTCTCCATACTATAGAATAGAAATCGAATCACTCACTGAGAGTGGCCACGTCTGTGGTAGAAAATAATAATAATAAAAAAAAAAAAAAAAAAAAATTGAGAAGGGTGATAGTCAGTCGTAGGTATTATATGTTTCTTATGATGATATTTAAAAAGCTTAATTTACATTTCTACTGAAAGATGAAGAGTGAGAGGTGACTGACAATAGGCAGGGGATTGCTGGATTAATTTAAGTCTGCATTAGATATATACTGTACAGTATGAATAATTTTAGGTGGATATAAATTAGGGTTGCCTCATCAAACGGTACAAAAATCATTTTTAAGTCTCCAGTGGATGTTTGATGACATTGTTACAGTTATCATGTACACTTTGTATAATATAAAGTAATTACAGTTATTGCAGAACTTCTATTTATATTCCAATTGCTATATTCTGTATATCGGCAATACAACATTGATTACTGGAGTATTCATTTAAATTACACTTTGTATGATACTAGAAAGTTGAATATTAGTGGACTATTAGATTGAGATACAGTACTGTATTCTAATTTATGTTGAGTGGTATAACATTCAGTGTTGTTTACATTTTTGTATTATTTGCATAATGATTAAACACAGTACTGGATGCAAATTTGAATATAACGTAATGATTTCCAGATGTTTTATCCTATAGATGGTTGTGTGGCCTTTCTTGCCATGTTTAGATAACACTCACAGTTCAGTGACCTCACAATGCAAGCTGTAATGCTACAGTGTGGGATCTTATCTTTGAACACTCGCATAGCATTTAATTTTATCTCGATCAGCCTACAATCTTGCAGATTAGTTGTGATTTATCTTTTGGTCTGCTGATTTTGTTGTTTGCTTCATACATGCACAATGTTTTGTTTGAACCATTGTGTATGGGGCAATCCAGCTCTCAATCCAAACTAGCAAATAATTGAAGCATCTTTTTAACTTTGTCAGCTGGTAGGTATAAAGACTCCCCATTGTATGAAAGTGGGAAGAGGGAAAATAATTATGCATATATTTAAGTTTTGTAGCGAAATAATGTATGTCGTACACTGCCCATGATTGTTACAATGCACTTTATAGTACTTCATATTTGTGCACAGGAAATAATCATTGTGTAAAGTGTGAAACCTCAAGGTATAGTCCATATTCTGTATGTGGTAAGATGAAATTCACTGTAGGATGCCTAAAAACCAGGTTTCAGCAACCGAAGCGTAATGATGTACAAGGTGTCTTATGTTCTCAGCCTTCCTCATTTCTTAAGCATATCATTCCACACGTGGTTTGGCTGACTAATTTAAAAAAAATATATACTCGTTATAATTGCTTAAGTTGCTGTATGAAATAATTTAATGGCAGAAGCTTAAAATGTGTAAAGAGTGTCATACTGTGGTGTTGTGGCACTAATATGCAAAGCTTTATATTAGTACAGTAACAGATTTCATGCCAAACCTATTTTGAACTAAACAGTGGTATTAATACTGTACAACATTGCGCGTAGTATTAAGTGCACTGGCAGCTGGACATTAATTTTGTTTACTTTTTTATTATAGAATGTGATAACTACTCCGGTAAATGATGCAATAACGATTGACTTTAAGCCAATGAAGATACCCCCTGGGACAGTGAGACCCACACAAGTAGCGACAGTAACCTTTGATCGTTAGTATTTTTCTTGCTACCATTCTTTTTATTTGCCTATCTCATTTACTTTAAGATTAAAGAATTTAGGATTATTTATTGTGCTATATTTTACTGTACAAAAAAAGTTAATTCAAGATAATGCTGGTACAGTATGTGATTTTTAGATAAAATATTACTAAAAGTTTAATTGTAAAATGTTAAACCTGTTCATGGATAGTGTTTATTTTGAAAACAAAATGGAAAAAAGCTATGAATTTTTCTGCCCATCCTCCTAAAATAACGGTACATTTAACAACTGTATTGTCAAACATACCAATATGCACTGATAGGCCCTCAAAAAGTTCATGTTTTGTGTTATTTAATTAGCCCAAATGACATTCTTTAAAACTGGAAATGTAACTAAAGAGCCTAACCTATCGAAGCAATTCTAGGTCTAATACATGCTATCTTAAGCCTAATATAACACGGTGCATATATGTGCTATACAGTACTTGCTATATTAGGCCTAGGGATGTTAAGTTTGGTTTTTAACTTTTTCTCAGACTATAAAAGTAATTGAATAATGTATACATTTTTGGGTCAAACAGTACATGTTGGTACATTCAACCAAATAGTTGTTATAAGTGCTATTATTTTAGGAGGATGGGTTGGGATTTTTGTAAGCATGACATGTTATAAATTTTAACTGTTTTCCTTGAGTCTATTTAGATTTATGGGTGGTTGGGAAAATTTAATTCAAAATTTGATGTGTATTTTTACATAGACTAATTTTTTTAAATTTGCAACAGCTTCAAAAGTGACGAGTGGTAAGAAAATCTCCGGGAAGATCCTGATTAAGAGTAAAGTATCGGCTTATAAGCTGAGTGTACCATACACAGTAGACTTACTCCAAGGAGCTCTGCTATATAATACATCAATAACAAAATTTTACACAGGAGCAGGTAAGAATTTTACAATAGTCTTGTAGAGTATATCAGTCTCTTGGAGAGTTCCTGCACCATCTGCTCTCTAGTTTATCAGTTGTAATTTTGGACAGTTTTTATTATTGTAATTAGGGAATGGCATTGATAAAGTTAACTTCGTTATTGAAAGTGAAGGTGCTGCCTTATGTCATTATCATGTCGGAGACATTGTTACCTAGCTGAGTTCTTAAGAATCGCTCGTTTTCTAAGAATGACACTGATAGACTTTATTTACTTTCCAGATGTTGGCTCTTCGGAAGTGCAAGCGGGAGTATCTTTTGGAACAGTAGCGGGTGTCGTTGCTGCAGCTAGCGGGGGAGGTGGTACCAGCAACCCCAGCAGCGAGCCCCGCAACCTCACCCTCACCAACACCTTTCCTTGTCCTGTTGTCATATATAATTTAACACTTCCTGACGAAGCCAAGAAACATTTTAAGGTAAATAGACATATTATTGGAATTGTTGAAATTCAAATAACATTTACTGTATTTGTTTGTACTTTTATAGCAAAGGTCTTTCAGTATATTAAATGCAGAAGGCTCATTGAATGGCTTATCAAAAAGTATATATTCATTAAATGGCTTACCAGCAAGTTTTAAGTAAACTATTTTGGATTTATTAAAAATATTCCAAGGAATTAGCTGAATTATTTATTTATTATGAATGACTAATTTAAACAAAACTTGATTGAGAAATTAACTTTGTTTTCTCAAGGTTATATATAGTAGAAAATACTTTATTTGAGGTAGTTCCAATTTCTTTGAGTGATAAAGTATTCCCAAAGTATTTGTATTTAAACGGAAGGGACCCCTTGGTAGCTCCGAGTTTAGTTCTGTCACCACCAAGTCTTGGCTCAACACATCAGTCAGGAAACCAGGACCAGACTCTGGCAGGTCATTCAACCTATGAGACGAGATTTGCTTCAAAATCAGAGATTAACCCAAAAGTGAAAACAAACCCATCAGAAAACATAGACATAGTAAAACAAGAGACTGCTTGAAGGAAATTAGGCACCCCTAGGTAACAATCATTGCTACTTTGTACATACCTTAACCATATTGTGCCTGACTGCCAGGAGATGGCATCCCAAGTCACCTAGGGTCTAGGACAACTTGCCCCCACCCCCCTCACTATTTTGTCTGGTGCCAATAGCTTGATATCTGTTACCTCTGCAGAGCCCATCACCTGTCTTGGTTTCAGCAAAGTGGTGCTATTTTTAGATCTTCAAAGTTTTTTTGGCTCTGGGGGTTTGTTAGTTCCTCAGAAGCTCTCCTTTCATCACTGCCACACCATTGGGTTTGGATGCCGTTGGCTATATGTTGGCTGATGCATTGCCGGCTTCCTCTTCGGGGTTTTCGGGATTTGGTTCCCTGACGCCTTCTTCCACCAACGCTCAACGTCTTTACAGACTCCTCGGCTCTCAGCTGGGGTTTTGTTATCAGTGATCATCAGGTTGGTTTTCTTCATTAAACACACAGAGCTGTGAGGAAGTTTGCGGCTGTGTGGCTTGTGCTGCGGAGGATTCAGATTCCTCCTGGCTCTGTAGCCCGGCTCCATTCAGGCTGTTCTCCCACGGTTCATTGTCTCAACTGGGGAGGGGGGTGGAGTTCACTTCTGCCTCTTTGGAGGTGGACACATGTGTAGCTCTTCGCTGGGTTTGGCTCTGAGCCGTTCATGTCCTGGGGGGTGTCCAGTGTTCTTACCGACAGTTTGTCCTGTTTCCATCCCGTCTCCATGGAGTAGACCAAAAATGCCACCTCCTTCCTTTGGGTCTGCAAGATGCTTGGTCGCCAGGATGTGGACCTCTTTGTATTGGCTTGGTTCCAGCATCTTTCTCTTTGTGGTGGTGTTTCCCCCGATAATGAGGCCCTCACATTTAATGCCTTTCAGCTGCACTGATCATGGTAGGGGTTTCGGTGCCTCCCTTTTTTTTTTTTTTTTTTTTTTTTTTTTTTTTTTTTTTTTTTTTTTTTTTTTTTTTTTTTTCGGTTCAGCTATTGCTCAAGGTCCAGGTGCAGTTGGAGTCCTTTGAAGGGATTGTGATCCTTCTGGCTCCTTTGTGGCTGGCCCAACCTTGGTTTCTGGTGCTGCTTGCTCCATGTCCAAATCTGGACATTTTTCTGTGGGGAGCCCCTACGGCGCCCTCCTCTGGCTCCGGTTCTTAGCCTTTCACCCTATTGGGCTGTTTCCTTGTTGCTGCTGGCCCCTTCTTTTATGGGTGGGATTGGGTCAGTTGCCCTCTGGATCCTTGCATCTTTGGAGTTTGTTGGTGTAGCTGGGGGTGCTTCACCTGTTCTCGGGTGGCAGTTTCTGCCACACCCTTTGCATCACCAGGTCTTTCTGGTGTTTTCTGGGGTTTTCCTTTTTGGCATGTCCACAGTGTTAATTTGATTGCCAGCCTGCGGTCTTTCCGCGTGCTTGTGGAGGTTCGGAGGTTGGCCATTCTTTGCTGTCCTCGGTCTGTCTTCCATGGACAGCGTTAAAGATCTGTTAGACATGTCTAGCAATGACTGTGTGTTGCTTCTATTGTATAAATACCAAAGAAATTGGATTAATTTGTTTGCAGACAATTAAAGCTAGAAACTAACAGCAGTTGAACATTTCCCTGGTAATCTTCAGGATGCATCTGAGTGTGTGTATGTGCTAATTACAGATTGGCTGGGATGGTCCGGTAGTGGTGCAGGAGGGACAAAGTGTCCATGTGGCGACGCTGCAGCTTCTCAGTGTTGGCACAGATGCTCGGCTCTCCACTGCTATCACTGTGCACACTAATATTACCACCATCAAAATTCCATTAAGAGCATATAATGGGAAACTCACAAGGGTAAGATTATTTTTAAATATATTTTATCACTTCTTTCCTAGCTATAGTATATTACTGTAGAGTATTATAGTATAGGGTAGTAAGTGGAAACCTCCCCTCTCCCATAACTGAGTGACACAAACAACTTCCCATGCTCTGCAGTAAAGAGGGAGAAAATGGGATGCTGAACCATCTTCATCTCTTCTCCATTAAAAAAAAAGGAAGTTTCTCTCAATCCCATAAAAGTGGAAAACATGGTTATGCTGATGGTGGAATAATATTTTTTTCAGAGTTGATTCCTCAGTCACTCCCAAAGATAAGATCAGAGAGTCCAAAGGATAGGATCTTCACAGCAAAGGCAGGGGTGATGTAGTATGAAAGTCACAGAGGCAGTTTGGACATGTGGGAGGCCGAGCGGACAGCACGCTGGACTTGTGATCCTGTGGTCCCGGGTTCGATCCTGAGCGCCGGCGAGAAACAATGGGCAGAGTTTCTTTCACCCTATGCCCCTGTTACCTAGCAGTAAATAGGTACCTGGGTGTTAGTCAGCTGTCACAGGCTGCTTCCTGGGGGTGGAGGCCTGGTCGAGGACCGGGCCGCGGGGACACTAACAAAGCCCCGAAATCATCTCAAGATAACCTCAAGAAGATGTGTCTACACGCTCATAATAATGCTAGGAAATGGTAGAACATTCAGTTCGGCATAAAGTGATCCAAATCGAGGGGGGCTCTCATTTGCTTTCTTAAGAAGTCAGACATGGCTGCCGACTAGTGCTCCTGGTAAAAACTCCAAACCACCATCAGGCAAAGCACCTTCCACTGCAACACAGAGTCCCATCCTGGCATTTACTTTCTGATGGGTCTGGGTGTTTTTTTTTTTCTCTTTTTGATATGTGCAATTTGTGTAAACTTTTTCTTTTAGTCCCAATGACTGCAAGAGTGGTGGTGATCGGGGAGAATGCCATGTCAATGTTGATGGTTATGCAAGGCCTGAATGTTGGTTTTGGGTTAGACTTGATGCTTGGCAGTGAGGGTTGGATGCTGTATTAATAGTGTGAGCTGGTCGCTACTCTTCCAGTGTTCCAAGATTTCCATTTTACATTTTCTATGCATTGTTATTTGGATGATTTAAATTGTATAATTAGATATGATGTGGCTTAATTTTTTGGTTGATTGAAGATACTTAGCAAATGATTTGACTACTTGATATTTTTTATATAGCGAGGGTTTTATATAGGCTTTTATATTCAGATACAAGAAGTCATTGTTGTATCAGGTGTGTAGTGTACAAGAACAAGTCATGGTTGTGAAAGGTGTAGTGCACATGATAGTTATCACCTGAATTTATAATGTTTCTTATTTCCTCATATTTCTTCTTTTCAGTACATTCCTCCAGTTGGTGGTGACTCATGGTTAGACTTCGGGACGTTAGGCATGGGTGATCAGCGTGATATTTACTTTTATGTTATTAATGAGAATCCTGTAGAGCTTCGGTTGCGGGGCTGGGGGTCAAACTTAACACGGAGTGCGGTGGAGCTCATGGGAGTTGAAGAAGGCAACGTGACTAGTATAAAAAACCGCAACAACATGACTTACGCCTCAAAAAGTGTAAGTACTATGCTGGTGATATTTTTAAATGTAGGAAATAAGTTGGATTTTAACTGACTTTTGTTAAATTGTCTTGTGTAATATTTCCCTATTTCTGTGACTTGTTATTAACACCTTCGCTCTCCATCAATGCCCCTGAAACTGAAACGAGTATACACATTTTACTGACTTTGTGCGCTCATGGGTAACTTTTGCCGAATTTAGGCTTTGCTGTGGGGAGTCACACCGGGCTTTTTGACAATATATGCATATACACCTGTAGGAAATTCTATTGCGAACACACTGATACCAAAATGAATGACGTAGCATGAAAATTAAGGTAAGAAACCGAAACAAGTACAGTATACACATTTAGGTGTTGCTGCACGCTTGCCCACACGCTTGAGCGCACCGCCAGGAGCAGTTCGTGAATACAAACGCAACACACGCCCAGGGCGCGAAAGTGTTAACCTTGTAGATGTTTTGTATACTGTATATATTTTACTGACAATTTGAAATACTATTGCTGCTGCTCGTGCTGCTTTTCTTTTACTACAAAACTGAGACATGCTTCGTAGGATTGAGTATTGATTGTTTAACAAGATGTGGAAAGTTTCTCTCAAAAGTGCCATAGTTATCTCTAGCAAGATTCTCCGTTTTTATTGCTAAACTGTTGTGCTTTTTTTTTTTTTTTTGCCAGTCATTTGCAAGGTTTTTGAACTATTAAAGTGAGAGTATGTTTTGGTCACCATCCTGTTGTCAGTGCATTCCATAATTTGCTTATTTTGGACAAAACGTGTATCAAAATTGCACAGGGGACATCTATTTGGCTGTTACATATTACACCTGTTATTTGGTACTTTATTTTTGAGGGACGAACTTTTGGAGACGCTAAATAGGGGGTATGCAATTTTTTATCACTGAAGGTCACACACACCTCCTGGTGTGTCTGGTAGCCGAGTGAACAGCGCACAGGACTCTTAAATCTGTGGCCCGGGTTCGATTCCCAGACCAGGCACAAACAAATGGGCAAAGTTTCTTTCACACTCAATGCCCCTGTTACCTAGCAGTAAATAGGTACCTGGGAGTTAAACAGCTGTTACAGAGCTGCTTCCTGGAGTGAGTGTGTGTGTGTGTGTGTGTGTGTGTGTGTGTGTGTGTGTGTGTGTGTGTAGGAAAAAAAATACTAAAAAAAAATTAGTTAGTAGTTCGTAACGGTTGAATAACAGTTGAGGTGTGGGCCGAAAGAGCAAAGCTCAATCCCAGCAATCACAACTAGGTGAATACAACTAGGTGAATTCACAACAGCCACATCTCATCTTTGTTGAGGATCCAAAATAAAAAACAAGACAGTAAGTCACTTTCACGAGCCGCCTCCCTTTTCCAGTCAGACAATTTTTGGCCTTATAAAACACAGGATTGAAATGTAATGTTCTTTGAAAGGGGACAGAATGGTATTGGAGTCTGCATTTATGGCATTGGGGTAAGTACATTATGCTTCTCACTAAATGTGCAAATGTGCAACCCTGTCTTGAATTTTGTTTAACAGCTTTCGATAAGACCCTGAAAAGGATTCCTAGATTAGTGGTGAGGACTCCATACGAGATCTGGTGTGGACAATGTTAGTGTGTTATGCCATAATGATGATGCACTACACTCCATAGACTATTTAGTTCCTAGCTCATGTGGTCAAAATGTGTTTTCACATGTCCATAATTTCAGATTATATAAATTTCCACTCATGATATGGTAATTGAAAGGTTTTATATTGTCTGGTCTTATGACGGTATGGTATATTGATGCCTCCATGAGATAACCATCAATTGAGATTAATCTGGGACAATAATGACTTGCCTAATGTTGTTGTCATTATTATTATTATTGTTATTGTTATTATTTATTATTATTATTAATTTGTTTTTGTATTAAATACAATCATTATCTTGCTTCATAATAATACTATAATTTTTCCTTTTTCAGTTATTTTTGAAGCCTAACTATTATGCGGCATTCAGAATTGGAGTCCTTACCCCTGACACAGAAGGTATATTTGTAGCTGAGTCTTTCGTCCAGACACAATTTGAGCAAATCAAGATTCCCTTTCGATTACGTACAGCTGATGGTTCACTAAGTGTGGTGCCAAACACGCTAATATTTAATAATGCTTTTCCTGTAAGTATTAAGCTTAATTGATTTTGTTTTATTATTTAACCATTTAATCAATCACAGAATAGTAAATCATACCAATAAAGTAGCATCACATTTAAGAATTTCAGATGATAAGTAACTACTTACCTTTTTATATAAGATACATTTTGTTATTGGGTACTAATTTTTGGTACTAATTGCTCTCCTTTTCAGGGAAAAATATCTCATCAAAATTTACATATCCTATCCACATTCGGCCATCCAATGACGGTAAAAGAAGTTAAGCCCCTACCAGCGGACACGAGGTTTTCGTACGAACCTAGTCACAGTGCTCCAGCAACCCTCCAACCAGGCCATAAAAGTCACATTGGAAGGCTGGTGTTTGATCCCAAAGTTGACTGTGGTACCGAGTGCTACACCGGCTTTCCACTGACTGGCAAAGGTAAGATAATCTTGTCCCACTGACAGGCAAATGTGAGGTGACCTTCCACTCACTGGCAAAGTAATATATCTTGCTCTGATATTAGTGAACTCTTATTAGAAAATTAGGAATTTTAATGCATAATTTGATTACTTTTGTGTATAACATTAATGCATTGTTATAGTAAATTATGAACACTTAGTTTGAAAACTATTTCCCACTATACTTTCCCCATTGATTTTTTATCCTTGGGCTTAAAAATGGCAGAAACTCAGTCCTAATTCTGATCGTTGTTCCATCAAGTCAGAATTGCTATATCACGTAACAACCCTCTTTATGAACAAATCGACAGGAGCCATGATGAGGGTTTAAACCAATGTGCTGAATGTTCCCAGACATGCTCTAGTCAATTGTATCGTGACATGGTCAAAAGAATTGCAACCTGGAGTGTTACAGCACCCACGAGGGTCCCAAGGCTTCCACTGAAGCCTAACCGGGGTTTCACACAATTCACCCATGCACTCGAGCTCTGTCAACCAGTAGTACTACCTCTGATGCTCCTACTTCAATACACAGCGAAACAGAGAAAGCATAGGAAAGGGCATGGGCATGCCCTGTTCTTGGGTCAGCTGTTAAGTTTGTCTGTTTCTTGTAGACTTGTTTCAGGTCCCTGGTGTATCCTCTTATCCAGTTGGATCCCAGAATCCTGGACTTTTGCTCCTGTTTTCATGTTTTGCTGGTGAATTTCCTGCTTTTGTATTTGTGGCTTTATGATAATTGAGCACTGGATTAATGGGTGCTGGCCCTGGGATGTGTACTAGGCTCTACCTACCCAATAATGACAATAGTAAGACAATTTAAAAAAGAATTGTATGTAGCTAAAAGTTAGAAAGTTGTATATTTTGATTCAATGTTAGCATTAATCTTCTGTGTTTTAAATAGTTTTAAACCATTCTTCGATTGGAAAGCAGAAAATAACGTCATGTACAGTATAATAGTGACAAATTCCAGGTACTTAAGTATGGTAAAATGAGGAACTTTGACGAAATACAATGTACAAGACACAATCAGACTTAGTCATAAAAGAAAACATGTGAAAGATCTGAGAATTATGAGGTCTGACAACCTGATATTTACTGAACATAGCCGAGTAAATATAGTTTCGGCCAGGAAAATGATAAGGTGGATTATGAGAACGTTCAAATCCAGAGATACCACTGCAATGTTAACAATGTTTTAATTACTGGTGCTCTCCCGTCTTGAGTACAGCTTAGTACTCGCCTCCCCTTTCAGAACAAAAGTGAAATTTCTGAAATAAAGGGAATCATAAACATATATGGCATAAATACACACATTAAAGCACCTAAATTATTTGGAATGTCTCAAAGCTTTCAAAATATACTCTCTGGAAAGGAGATGAGAGAGATATCAAATAATATGTGCACGAAAGATAGTGGAAGGGCAGGTCCCAAATTTGCACAGTAGAATAACAACATACTGGGGTGAAAGGTAAAGAATTAAATGCAGAATAGAACCAGAAAGGAGTAGAGGTGCCATAGACACACTCTATGAACACTGTATAAACATCAGAGGCTCAAAGCTATTCAGTACTCTCCCAGCAAGCATAAGAAATATTGCTGGAATGAAGGTAGTCCTCTTAGATGCAATTAGGTCTGTTGGATAAAGTTATCACAAGTCAGGGCTGGCCCCAGGCTGGGCTTGGAGTAGATCTCCTGAAACCCTCTACAGGTAAACTCCAGTTGTTAGGCCCTTTTAACATCTAAATAGACAGTATGTATGGTGGCAGAGTGGAAGGTTTATAGGTGGCTTCATATAAATATAAAAATATATGTAGTTTAGAGAAAATTACAAAATACTGATTTGAAGACCATGATATCTACATACATTTGAATTTCCTAACATTTTTTGTTTATATTTTACAGCTGGCCAACAATGGGTCAACACACTATCCCTGACGTCACATGTGGCAGACACTGACACTAGCCTTTATTCAACGTTACGTAGTCGATATCTCAATCTCTCGGCTGCAATCTTCAATACTTCAATAGTGCTCCATACATCGGAGGTTCATGGCTTCCACTTCACTGCACAGGTTAGAATCACAGCATAAAAATTCTTGCTTGTTAAAATCTTTCACATTTCTCTTTTTCTTAAAACTTCCCTTCTTCAAAATTGTGGTTTGCTAAAACCAACCACTTGTTGGTTTTAAATGTACATTTGAATTTAATTTGTGAGCAAAAATGAATAACAAATTCAGTAGGGAGTAAGCTGTAGGGCTTCTGCCAAGAAAATAAAGTAAAAAATATTTCTAAATTAAGAAATGTCATGTACAACATTAAAACAATGAACAATTTCCATTGGCTCATATTCTTACATTTATTTTGTGATAGGCTGCATTGAAGTGGCCTGTTTTGTGTTCACCTCAACACTTGACATTCCCCTTAACTCAAGTGTTGAACACAAGCATACACGACGTGTTTGTGGAGAACCCAGCCAGTGTGCCGGTGGTGGCCCAGATACTGCTGCTGCATCACTATCCGGCAACGCAGCAGCTCCTCTCCATCATACATCATCAGTGAGTAATAGTCATATCATCACTTGCTAGGGAGGTTTTCAGCAATATTACACATTGGTAATTTTTCAACTCTGAATTATTATAGATACTGTAGTATAATTATTCCACCGCTGTGTTTTATTCAGTAGTAGCAAGTTTCAGTAAATGTTGCAAAGTGATGGTCTTGTATACACACCACAGTACTGCAACTGGTACAAAAGCTGAAGTAGACTGTCCACTTATCTTTCCCTAAACTCGTCCTAGTTCCCCCACTCTGCACCTGAAATTCGTCATTTGTCTTTCCTCTCCCTCTCCATCTTTCCCAGACCTGTGGGCAACCAAGTCTGAAGGTCATGTATGCTTATACAGGGTGATCTAGGCTGTTCACTGACTTTGGTGAGCTCATTCAGCCCTAAAGATGTCTTGATTCCTTTAGGTTTGGGAAATGCAAAATGTAAATTTTTAGTTAAGAGTACACAGTATAAGATTGGTGTTTAAGTTCATTAACTAAGCACTCAATAATCCAAAATGGGAATTGGATATAAAATATTTGAATATTTAACAATATTTTGAGTCATTGGCTGAACACCAAGTATTTCCTCTGGTATTGGTAACTTCGCCTATGGGCTCTGTTTTCTGATTACTGTAATTATTAAAATTGTTGAAACTTTCTTTGTATGAGATGAGGAAATAGTGACCCCTCTCTCACACACCTCAGTGGTGCAAACAGCCCTAACATATATGCATCCCAAAACAGCTTCCAACCTAAGGCCTGCATGAATCTCTTATCCTGACCCCTTCCCAGTGCTATATAGTCGTAATGGCTTGGCGCTTTCCTTGATAATTCCTTCCTAATTCCTGCATGAATCTCAAGCCAAAAGGCAGGCAAGTATGGTTGTGAGCAATGTGAAAGGAATATCCATAATTGTGGTAAACCTTATAAATGATAGTTCAGTGTTCTTGGGTTCTATAAAACAGTTATAAACATGCATAAAGAGTGGAGTGAAAACGTAAAGAGCTGAAATGAAAGAGTAATAAGTATGTGTTCTTGTCAGTGAATGGAAAGTGGTGTGGTGCAGTGAGTATCTTCTTGTGACAGGATTTCAAGGTACCCATAAAGAATGAATTTCAATTTGCAGAGAATGAAGTGGATTATGTAATTTCAAATGTGTTGTGTTACAAGTCATAATGAAATAGGTGTTTTCTAGAATTAAAAGTGGAGAGTAAAGTTAGTGTGATACCAGAGAATTTTATTCTCCTCGAAACATCACCTGTCTGTAAGATTGTATGCCCCAGTGACCTGGAGGGTAGTTGAGTGTGACTTGTATTGCCCCCTCTCTCCAAATGATAGAAGACAGATTAAAAGTGTTTCATTCACGAGGTATTAGCCCTCTCATTCTGCTCCCCAGGTTTGATTCTTCCTGTTGGGAAGTTGAGCTGAAATATGTAACCTTAATATAATATCCATACATCCTTGAGTTATGTAGTTCTTATGACCCTTATCTTGAGATCTTATCTTGAGATGATTTCGGGGCTTTAGTGTCCCCGCGGCCCGGTCCTCGACCAGGCCTCCACCCCCAGGAAGCAGCCCGTGACAGCTGACTAACACCCAGGTACCTATTTACTGCTCGGTAACAGGGGCATTCAGGGTGAAAGAAACTGGGCCCATTTGTTTCTGCCTCGTGCGGGAATCGAACCCGCGCCACAGAATTACGAGTCCTGCACGCTATCCACCAGGCTACGAGGCCCCTTTTTTGCACCCAGTTACACACCTCAGTGGTGTGCAGGCACCCAGTTACATCACAGAGTTGTTTATCAATCAGTTGGCTAAGGAGTTGTAGTGAGATATGGGTGATCTAATATAAATCTTTTGAAGTTTTGAAAGTTATTTCATAGGTGTGCCTGTTGTTCCAGGTGAAAAGAACAGGATCACAAGACCCTGTATAACACGGGCTAAGTGGCCAATAAGTACAAAGCGGATACCATAATATATTATTGAAACACGCCATCTAGTCATTAAAATTGCTGAAAAACCTCTGTCAATCCATAGACATTTTGCTAGTTTGGTGGTATTGTATGAGTGTTTGTGTGGTGGTATGGTGTAAAAATGGTCTCATTATAATGGCAATATTCTTTTCCTGTCCAAATATTCCATCCACTTCCAGGAAGTACTTCCCCATCTCATACAAGTAAGAAAGACGGTAGTGTCTTATGGGGTAAGTGCATACGCTAGAATGCCTTTTATGGTACATTTTAATGTTAAAAAAATAATTTCGTTAAAATCCAAGCAAATTTTAAACACGCCCACACGCCGTCGGGGCTCCCTCTCTCCCCCCCCCCCCCCATTGGTGAAAATCAACTTTGCAGATGACACAAAAATCAGCATGAAAATTATCTTGGCTGAAGACATTGAAAAACTTCAAGCAGATATTAATTAATAAAGTTTTTGACTGGGCAACAGAAAATAACATGGTTTAACAGTGATAAATTCCACGTACTCAGATACTGTAAAAATGAGGACCTTAAACATAATACAGAGTACAAAACACAATCAAATGTGCCCATAGTAGGAAAACAGCATGTAAAGGATTTGGGAATAATGTCTGGCGACCTAACGTTTAGGGAGTATAACCAAGCAAATATTGCGTCAGCCAGAAAAATGATCGGATGGATTACGAGAACTTTAAAATCCAGGGATCCCATCACAATGGTTGTACTCGTCAAGTCACTTGTGTTGTCCGTCTCGAGTACTGCTCAGTACTTGCTTCCCCCTTCAGAGCAGGAGAGATTGCTGAAATAGAGGGAATACAGAGAACATATACGGCACGCGTAGACACAATAAAGCCCCTAAATTATTGGGATCGTCTCAAAACCCTCCAAATGTACTCGCTAGAAAGAAGACGAGAGAGATATCAATAATATACACATGGAAGATATTGGAGGGCCAAGTACTAAATCTACACAGTAAAATAACAACGTACTGGAGTGAACGACATGGAAGAAAATGCAGAATAGAGCCAGTGAAGAGCAGGGGTGCCATAGGCACAATCAGAGAACACTGTATAAACATCAGAGGTCCGCGGTTGTTCAACATCCTCCTAGCGAGTATAAGAAATATTGCCGGAACAATCATGGACATCTTCAAGAGGAAACTAGATTGTTTTCTCCAAGGAGTGCCGGACCAACTGGGCTGTGGTGGATGTGTGGGCCTGCGGGCTGCTTCAAGCAACAGCCTAGTGGACCAAACTCTCACAAGTCAAGTCTGGTCCTCGGGCTGAGCTTGGGGAGTAGAAGACCTCCCAGAACCCCATCAACCAGGTATCAACCAGGTGTGTTAGTGGAAAAACACTGACAGCCCCATTCAAAGGCAGAGAAATTGCTGATCTGGAGTGGGCAAATATCTTTTACTGCTAGAATCCACTCAATAAATCATCTAAATTATTGGGATGGCTTAAAAATTCTAAATCTGTAATCCCTAGAGTGCAGGTGGGAGAGATGCTTTACAATTTGAAAATACTAGGGCAGGTTTCAAATCTGCACACAGAACTTGACACCACATGAGACCAAGAGGCATGGCAGGATGTACAAAATAGCCCCACTGAAAAGCAGAGGTGCAATAGGTATGCTGAGAGAGAACTCGTATCAACATTTAAGGCCCCAAGACTTTTCAACACACTCCCTCTACACATAAGGAAAATGACTTGCTGACCTCTCACAGTTTTCAGAAGAGAACTTGATAATCACCTTCAAAGCTTACCTGATCAACCAGCTGTGACTCATATGTCAGACTGCAAGCAGCCGTTTCGAACAGCCTGATTGACCAAACCACCAACCAGAAGGCCTGGTCAGAAACCGGGCCACGGGGACAGTGATCCTCTGAATCATCGAAAGGTAAGGGAAGGTAAGACCAAATTTGGAATGTGCAGAAGTTGTATGGTGCCCATAATTCAAGAAGCTCATCAATAAATTGGAAAAGGTGAAAAGACATCCAAGTAAATGACTTCCAGAACTTAAAAATCTAGAGCTTTGAGAAGAGGTTAATGTATTAAATATGCCGAAGATAGAAGAAAAGAGGTGATATGATCACTACATACAAAATAGTAACAGGAATTAATAAAATTAATAAAGAACTTTTGAAGCCTGCATCTTCAAGAACATGAGGTCATAGACTCGAGCTTAGGAAACAGAGCTGCCAAAACAAGTTTGAAAGTTTTTTTGTAGAGTAGGTAAATGGTTGGAATAAGTTAAGAAAGAATGTGGTGGATGTCAAAACCATCAGTAGTTTCAAATTGTCATATGACAGTACTGGGAAGATGAGACCACGAGTGTAGCTTTTAGAGTACTGGGAGGATGATGAGACCATGAGTGTAGCTTTTAGAGTACTGGGAAGATGATGAGACCATGAATGTAGCTTTCAGAGTACTGGGAGGATGATGAGACCATGAATGTAGCTTTCAGAGTACTGGGAGGATGATGAGACCATGAGTGTAGTTTTCAGAGTACTGGGAGAATGATGAGACCAAGAATGTAGCTTTCAGAGTATTGGGAGGACGATGAAATCATGAGTGTAGCTTTCAGAGTACTGGGAGAATGATGAGACCAAGAATGTAGCTTTCAGAGTATTGGGAGGATGATGAGACCATGCGTGTAGCTTTCATTCTGCAACTACACTTGGGTAATTGTAGCTTTTGTGAGACTGAAATTGGAGTATGAAACAGTTGGTTGATGTCCATGTCTTAAAAAAACAAAAATGTGCAGACTCTTCCTACCAAATGGCCTCCAGCCCTGAAAACAAGAACTACAGTAAGAGACTAGAGGCATTAAACATGCTAAAACTAGTAGATACTGTAGAAGGCATTATAATCACCACATGTAAGAATTGTGACAGATTGACAATGGTAACAGAACAATTTTTAAAACCATAAAAAACAAGAGGCTTAAAAAAAATAGTGCATTGAATTTAATGAAACTTCTCTTTAATTTAATAGTTAACTTAAGAGCAATTTGTTTTTCTAAAATGTATACAGGTATGTAAAAATTATTATTGATTGATATATGGTTTTGTTAAGAGCAAAACGTTGATTAAAAATGTTTTAAAGATTTATTCAAAGAATCATGGTGATAAAAAGCATTTTTATTTGTTCACTTTTAATAAGATGATAGCAAAGTAGCTGAAGTACATGTGCCTCCCTTCAACAGATTGCCCAATGGCCACACACTACTGAACGAGGAAGGAGGCGGAGGAGGCAATCCAAATGATGTATTCACCCTATTAGATGCTGATAGCATGGGTTGTGGAGGCACAAGAGGGGGGGGAACTATGCCACCACCTGTGCCAGAGATAACAAGCGGTCTGGCTCAGCATCGGAGAACGTTGGAGGAACAGTTTAAGACCAGAGTTGCAAAAGACAGTATTGCTATAATTCTCGAACCTGGAGTGAAGGTAAGATTTGTTAAGCTTCAAAAATCTGTTGTAAGCAGAACTAATGTAGATCCTGGATGCAACTTGGGAGAGAGAAAGTAAGTCATACAGGCACAACAACTAAATAAAATAACAGTGAGGAAATGGCAGCCTTGTAAATCATTGCGAGGAAGTTAGAAGAATGTTGTTAATCATCTCATTGTGTTGAAGTGTACGTTTAGCCAAATTAAGCAAATATAAAAGATTAGGAAAGGCAACCCCCCATTTCTCCCACAGTGTCTCATGCTGATAGAGTAATTGGGGCCATTTTCATACCCTACCCAATGCAGGCTAGTGGATTAGACTTGTATTTCATGGGTTTTCTCTGATTTCATGTATGACTAACATCCTGTGATATGGAGATACTAGATGAACTCATAGCTGGTTCTTGATTTATACTCTGTAATCCCTCATACAGGACAGGATAACAGCACACACACCTCATGCATAATAGGCAAACTGCTATATAAATATAGAAGAAATTATTGATTGCCATTGCTAATCTTATGATTAATAGTATGATACTTTTGTGGCCGTTTAATTGAGAATTAATTAAATAGAGATATGGATAATAGCAATGAAGATTTGTAATGGAGTAAGCAACATTTGTGGAGGTCCAATGAACTTTGCTCTTTAGACTTTGATGGAATTTTTTATGTGGTATTTATGGCATATTAATTATATTTAGTATTAAAATAACCTAATATATTAATGTAAGTACTGTAATAAAAAAAATGCTTTTCAGGTTAAAGTTCGGCTTTCCTTTACACCGCCTGATGAAAAGATACATTCGACGGTATTACTGGTACGGAATAACCTGACAGTAATAGATGCCATGCTGGTGCAGGGTCGAGGAGGGAGAGGATTTTTAAAATTTGGCAATCGCAAGCCCGGATCAGCTATGCCTCTTGCCTTCAACATTGGGGCCAAACACTTAAAAGACTGTGATAGTAAGTTTTTGTCATTTGATAACCACCCTATCTATCTATCTATCTATCTATCTCTATCTATCTATCTATCTATCTATCTATCTATATATAAATAAAATATAAAAAAAACTTCTGATATCAACTTCTATATTAAATTACTTGAAATTCAGCTGAAAAGGTAAGGTTCATACTAAAATACAGGTAGTTACATAGCTCCAAAACTATTTTTGCTTCCTTTGCTACCAAAACTTGCTGTTGACCCAGTCAAGCTTGAGGTTCTTGTAAAGTTGGGTCTTTGCCTTTTGACACTTTGGAGTTTGGTTTCTGGTCCTGAAGATTTGTGGCTCATGATGGGCATGTTTTATTATGACCCATCCCAGTATGAGCTGGTCTTCTTTCCTGCAGGTGCATTTTCTGTACCCCAGTCCATGGCCTGGATTCACCCCCCCCCCTCCTCCTCCCCTCTTTACAGGTTTCCAGTGTCTTTTCTGGATAAAGTGTGATGGGACTTGGTTCAGTACTTACTACAAATCATCAACATTTATCTGAACTGACTCTAGACTTTAAGTGAAGGGTCCTCTTCGGCTGTTGACTGTGGTTTCTGGCTTTATCCTGACTGACAGTAGACTCCTTTTTTTCCTTGGATTCGTGGCATCTTTTTTGTCCTATTTAGGAACTTGAGTGGAAGGAAGCTGCCCATGTGTTTTAAGTCTTTCTTGCGGGTTCTTCTTTCATGTTAGTCATGAAAGAAGTCATGAACTATGCCTTGTTAGCTCCTTTCTTAATGTGATGGCATGGCAGCTCCATATCCAGGTGCCCAAGTGTCTTCAGCACTGATTGCAGTTTGATGAAAGGCTTGCACCCAATTGTTGGATATTATGGGCTCCTGTGTGATGCACGAGATCTTCTGTGAGCAGTTAAAGAGTTGATCCTGGATTCATCATCTTTGTTTTCTGCTGTTACAGCCACACACACACACTCTTCTGATCACTATCCTATTCTCTTCTCTCCTCGGCAGGGAAGGTTTCACAGATTTAGCATGTGCATACTTTCAACTGCTCTGCCAGGTGTTTCAGCTGAGGTCCCAAATATGGTTTCTACGACCTTGTTGTTGATTCACCTCTGTCTATGGCTGATGACAGGAAGGTCTCTGCTTTCTTTTTGGGAACCTCTTGCACATTTTTGGCAGCCTGTTCTTTGCCTGCATAGTGTTTGGCTGGTTGAAGATGCTTTATTGTTTTTACAAGTTTGCATCCTTTTATCACTGCTGGGGCTGTGTAGAGCATGTCTGTTTTGACCAAGGTGGAGTCAGCATTGTCATTTTAATTTTCAGATTTTTTTGGTACTGGGTACGATGACGCCCACCCTGTCCCATTGCTCGAGCTGTTCTCTATTGTGTCAGCCCTCGCCTTGGGGATCATTTCTAGATCGGCTGTTTCTGGCTGACTATAGAGAACTGGTAAAGTTGCTTCTATAGTGGTGCTTTAAATTATTTTATATGCTTTGATTTATGTTTTGGATCACTGAAATTGCATTGGGTCAAAAATATGCCAATAATATTGTCATTATCTGAAAACAGTCCAACTTTGTTTTCTTGGAGGCCAACACTTATATAACATTGACCTCAGGCACAAAGTTTTTATTAATCCATATCAGCAAATATTACTCTAAACATCCATGCATTTTATTGGGTCTTATGAACAATTGGAAGGCTTAGAACTTTCAAAGTCACTTTGAAAGAACTTGGGATTTTGCTAACCCCAGTCACAAGCTGTGTGTGCTTGCCAGCTTCCTTCACACAGCACAGTACAGTTATCCCTTTTTTATTCTGCATTTAACCACCGGTTTCACTTCAGAGCCTAAGTGCCTGTTTTAACACACACTAGTACAAACATGTCTCTATATATTATCAATTTGCTCATACGATAACTTATCACACATGCTCTAGGAATTTACACAAATGATCTTGTGCACTAGTAAAATCGGCTAGCTAATTTTTTTCCCATGCAGCCTAATGTACCAAATACCATGGCGGTTCTTGATATTTTGGAGCTTGTCTATTTTGTGTGCTTATTAATGTTTATTAAGTTGTAAAATTCCCAAATTTGTTCATGTGCAGCTAGTCTGCCTTGGATTTTTTGTCTCCCAAGTTTCTGCCTGTATCATTCCCATAATATATTATCTACATTGCATCTTAATTTTACTCACTGACTTTCTTCTATGTATTGCTTTATCACTTTCACCTTGAAAAAATTTGTCAAAGATGATTGTTTTAACCTTAACCCATGTACTGCTCACCTGTTTATATCTAACCCCCAAGGTACGCAAGAAAAAAAGAAATTACATTTTTTTTTTCCAAATCTTGTCAAGTGCCAAAAATATTCGACAAAAGTAAACAATTTTGAAAAATATCTAGGAAAAATCTCCTCACTTCTAGCAACACCAGGGTGTACTACTTTTACTTCTATCTGTTATATTAATGAAATTACAGTATGGGTAATAAAGGCCCCCACCCTGGATCAAAAATGACAGTGGAGCATCATATCTCCCAGTAGCAATGCGTAATTTTCTTCCAAATATTGTGATTTTTTTTTTTTTAATAAATTATTTTTCTGTATATTAAAAAATTATTATTAGTATTTGGCATCTCAGCCAGTGAAGGGTGTCGGCTAGCTTCCATCCATTTCTCAGGTTGTCCGCAGAGCCATTAAAGCTAGCCAGCCTGCAGTCTACCATTGTGCTCGTGATGTTCACAAGTATGCTGCCTTGTTGGAAATTTTTGGTAGTATGTCTTGGGCAGATGTTAGGGCACGGGGATTCTAGGCGTCTAACAGGGTTTGGCCACTCGGTATCTTGTGAACGTGCCAGGTCCTCTGCAGTCTTTTTGCTTTGGAGCGTCTGTTGCAGCCTTCGGTCTCAACTTCGACTTGATGCCTGTGGTGCTCCTGCTTCCTTGGCAAGTTTCCCTTCTTGTCCTTCTCTTTGGGTAGTTAGCTTCAGGGAGCTGACGGGGCTCCTCTCAGAAAACCAACGTTGAATGTAATGAAACGCCAGTTTCTGGGCGAGCCCCGGAGGCTCCCTGACACCAGACTGGAACCAGTCTGCTAATGAGCACACTGGACAATAGGCAGTGTGAGAGATTCTGGCATGGGGTCAGTGGACCCTAGAGTAAAGTGTTAATGTGAGTGCTCATTTGGGCATCACTTTTGATGCCAAGCAAAGATTAAGAATGGATTTGATTTTGTGTGGATTGACCTCTGACAATAATTTCTGGGCTAAATTGATAAATTTTTTCCAGTGACTTTTTCCTCTGACTCCTTCAGCACATTGACCCTGCAGGAATGCTTGAAAATTCCCTGTGGCACCATGCTGTGTCACCTTGCCTCATTGCACATCCTTTGACCTCAAACACTGGGATCTTGCACGAGGCAGTATACAAAATCTCAGAGAAAATATTTTATTATTAATTTGTATTTTCCTTTCTTTTCTCAGATGGCAGAAGCTCGAAATATTATCAACCCAACTTCACAGTGAAGCGTTCATTTATGGCGCGCAACACTGGGGAGCTTCCAGTACAGGTGTGGGGCTTCAACATCAATGATTTACCATGTGAAGGGTATGGGTTCAAGGTTCTTAACTGTGAGGGGTTTCAACTTGCCCCAAATGGAAGTCACAAAGTTGATATAGCATTCACTCCAGACTTCACGCTCTCCAAAATACAACAACGGCTAGTCATTCACACCAGTTTAGGGTTGATAGGAGGACTGGATGAAGGCATGGTTTGGGTTACTAAAGATGAACCAGGTAGAGTTGAATACTCTCTAGTTGCAACAGTACCCACACACCTGTTGGCAGAATGTGGAGCTGCAGTGCCAAGACCAACGTGGGAACCACTTCTTTATTATGCCATATTACCCCTAATGGTGGCCATGTTAATTGGGGCAGTTATTCTCTCCGCCCTAGAAGCTGACCATATTCTTAAGACGACAATAATAGCTATGACCACCTCTTTGCCTGCTAATGGGCACACACCAGGCTTTGACAAAAGTAAAGTGTTTGATCTAAGAACCCTTAGCCATGCAGATTCTAAAAACATGATGTCCGTTAAAAATGGCTTTGCCAATGGCCACACACACATGGAAAGCATTAAAAGTAATAGTCCACTTAATTCAAATATAAGCAGCAAGAAAATGTCAATGGTGTCACCCCTTGGTGATATAATGACAAATGGTCGCAAGCCATGCTCAGGATCTAGTAGTAAAAAAGTAAGCAACAATCAGATCACAAATTCTAGTACAAAATCAAAGTATCTAAAACAGTCTGATTCTAAGTCATGTCAGTCTGTTGGAGATACTTTCTCTGGTATCTCTGATAATTCTGCCACAACAGTTCAAAGTAAAAGTAGTAAATGTAAAGGAAATAATTCCAAAGGAAATAATAGAAATGTCGAGTCTATGTCTTGGACAAGATTTTTTCAGAGAGCCGTGGGCAAGAAAGAAGAAAGCAACACAGAAACTAGTGATTCTTCAGTTGGCAAAAAATCTTCGAATGCTTCTAATAGAGAAGATTCTTCAATACAAAAGCAGTCTGTAGGAACAGAAACTGATTTACACATTGTTGAAACATATCCCAAGTTAAGACGGCGCATGAAGCAAAGCAATGAGGAAGAAACGTCTTCGACGACAACGGAAAGTTCGAATACAGACGACTTGTCCATTAGTGAACGGGTAAGTAAATATTACTGCTCTTACAGTCGCTAATGTATTTTTATTAGCTTTTAATTACAAGGATTTACAATTATTAGCAGTATTTTTTTATACTGACATTTGATGTACATTTAACTTTAAGCCCCTATTGCTCCATGAATAACTTTAGCTTAGAAAAGTGGTTCTAATTTGCTATGAATGGCTAAAGCTATCATGCTTTTTAATTTGGCTTCCTGATATATCTTTGGGCTGGTTTGGGCTTATATCATTGGGCTACACTAATTGTCCTCGTAAATCTAGATGTTTTTGCCGTGAAGTTAAACAGCCAATCGCACGAGGTTTAAATTGAGAGAATGTCGGCCAAACAATTTCACCAGTAGGTGCTGGTAGCTGGCAGCAGGAATGTTAAAATACAGTACAGTACTATATTGTCAAACTTTTATCTACACTAGTTTGGAAAATGCAAATTTGAAGACGCTGGATTTTAATACCTGAGTTTTGGGTGTACAGTGGCAATTTTTGTTGTGCACGAATTGTTTGGGTGTGAATTTTTTAAGCGGTGCGAGGGCTGGCTCAAAAGACAAGAGCTATCTTACGTTTCTGAACTGTTATTTTGATGCACTGTGAATTTCATCACTGTTCTATACTCACCTTCTGCCTCGCATCCCAATTGTGTAGAGGTTGTTCTTTCCTTGACTCTTAACAAATATTGGCTGTTTTATGCATTTTTTTAATTATGCTTCATTATGCTTCCTCCCAATCCATAACATAATTGAAAATATGAAATGTAAGCATACAACATTAATATTTTGCCTGGCTACCCATTGCTTTATTGCTGTGTCAAAATACATCAAATAGAGTAACCTCATTTATCTTTGCCAACGTACAGGAACTAAAAACGAATGTAGAAAACTAAATACTGTTCATAAATGGCCTCCTCAAAGGCAAATCCAGTATTTTGAGCCTTCACAGAAACTCCCAGAAGGAAATTAATGGACAGTGAGATTTGGGTACCGGAGTATAGATGTATACTATATCACTATATAGATGTGATAGGGTAAATAGGTCACATGGAGGAGTAGGTTTGTATATTAGAAAGGATCTTGTATGCTCAGAGCTCCTAAGCTCTACAAATGAAGTGGTAGAGGTACTGGGAGTAAAAATACAGAAAATAAACTTGGTTATTATTCTACTATACAAATTGCTAGATGTAATGGTTGAGGAATTCACAGACCAGATAAATAAAACAGCCTCGATAATCAAGGAAACCCAAATGCCAGATATTATTTTCTTGGGAGACTTCAACCTGCTCAGTCTAAGACGAAGAATAACAAACAATAATATACCAGGAAATCTATCTGGAAATAACCAACTGCATGTCGGAGAACTACTTACATTCTGTGACAAAATTTTTGCTGAATCAGCAGATAAGAGCTAGGGCTGAAAATATTTTAGATCTGATCTTCACAAACATTGAAGAAATAATCGGGGACATTACTACAGTATCTCAAATACCACATACTTAGATCACAAGCTCATTGAAGTGCAAACTAACATCAGTACTTGAAGTAGATCTAAAAAAGATCAAGCGAGAGGGCTTATTCAATAAATTCAATTTTAATAATACAAGGGATAGACTGGGAAAAAAATAAATATGGAACTAACAAACATTCAATGGAAAACTGTTCTAAGTGATGAAAATCCCAAGCAAGAAATAGAACAACTGACTACCGAAGCATACAAGGTGTGTCTGAGACATGCTCTTTTGTGGAAGACCAGAAAGAGAACCAGCATAGAAAGAGAACACAGACGGCACTACAGAAGAAGGAAAAAGTAACAAGCTGCTTAAACAGACCTGACTATCCTTACAAAGAATGAATAATTTAAGCAGGGAGATTGAAGAAATAGAACAGAGACTGAAGTAATCTCAAATTAGATCGAAGAAATGCAATTAGAACAGAAAGCCATACAAGAGATAAAGAAAAATCCTAATTGTTTACATACAGTATTTGAAATTGAAATAAAAAAACTTGTCAGTATTGGGCCTATACTGGAGGCCTGGTGGACGACTGGGACACGGGGACACTAAGCCCTGAAATCATCTCCAGGTAATCTCAAGGTATACTTACAAGTGTAGGTTCATACACAGAGGACAGTGAAGAAATTAGTGAAATCCTAAAAAAGTATGAGGAATGTTTAGCATCCCAATAAACATGAAGTGGAAGATCTGAGACAGCTTCTTTATGCATGATATCCAAATCCCCAAAAATATAACTTGACACCATTACGAACTCTGGATTTTGAAAGAGAGGTTGACAACTTGCCCATGCACTCAGACCCAGGTTGAGACTCCTGGAATTCAATATTTATAAAGAAATGAAAATTGCCTGTAGCACAAGCACTGTGTAGTGTGGAGATACTTGTGCACGGGGAAGCTACCCGAATTGTTTAAATCAGCAGATACAGCTTTCCTACATACACGGGAGGGAGACTATACATACAGTACATGATAGGCTTATATTGAGGTCCCCCCCCATCCCCCCTTGGTTGAATTACTGCCCATCCCCAAGATACATCCCCACAACAGGCTGACTAACTCTGGGGTACCTGTTTAATGCTAGGTAGACAGGAGTATGAGGTGATAAGAAATGCACCCAACCATTTCTGCTTCGTTCGGGATTTGTATCCAGAATTCTTGATTGTGAGTTAAGAATGAACCCAACTGTACTACCGGGGCCCTTCGAACTCTTCATTGTTGGAGAGTCCTTTTGACACTTTTGGAGCTGCAGTCTCCTTTTTAACCATGCAGTGGTTTGTTTTGATTTGCCTATCTTTCTGGGTGCCTTCCCCTAGGTGGTGGCAGACCTTTAAATGTAAAGTGATCATAGGCTATTGCTCCCTGTGCCTCTCTGAGAGGACCAGATTCAGGCTCAAGGTCCCCGGTAGGCAAATAGAACTCCGCAACTGATGGCACTAAATAGTATGGCACTGATCAGTGCATGATAGCTTCAGGGATTCTACGGGGTTTGCCCAGAAACTAGCATTTCATTACATTCAATGCTAGGTTTTTTGTTACCATTTTGAAGGTTATTGGTTTGAATGGCTAAGGTTTCTCCAAAAATTTCTAGCATGATAAAGATAAAAATGAATGTGTTAGTTCTTGAAAATTTATACCCTTACAAATATTTACATTGAATGTATGGAATAAAACTTTTATCTATGATCCACAGGACACTCCATCAAGCAAATCATCAGACATGACCTCATCGAGTGGGAAGGTGCCCAAAAGAAGGGCAGGTAAGACTAAAAGCTCAACTAGTAAAAGTCTTAATGGCCAAGGCTCACCCACATCTCCAAACCAAAATGAAGATAATTCTGGTTTTGAAATTAGCACCAAATATAAGGGGCTGAAGAGATGTAAAGATCCAGCTGGACGTAATTTTGGCTGCGATATTTTTCAACCCAATACTCTTGAGCTGCCATACACGCTCAAACCAATTCGCAATAGAGAATCTGATCGAGACAAAGACAATCAAAAATCAACTAGAACAAATGTTATTAGAGTAAGTATTCAGTGTATTTGTTTATGCCATACAGTACGTACTGTAATTATTTTTGCTATAAATTAAAAAATTAACAATCTGAATAGACAAATGATATGAATTTTTATTTAAAAAAAAATATGCAGGAGAACACAGTACGGTGGTTGAATATTTGTTATATAAAATGAAGATTTAATGAAGACAATCGTTTCAAATCTTTGAACTTTCTCGAGTTTCTTTTTGTGATTCACAAGCTGTGGCTTCCATGCTGGTGCTACATACTCAAGTAATGGTATCATACAGGCATTGTGTATGGACTTGAAAGCCTCCTTGTTTAGATTCTTAAATTATATTCATATTTATATTTGCTATCTTCCCATATGCTGCTGATATTATCATATTCTCGTAAGCTTTTGGTGACAAGTGTTGGATTATATCTACTCCAGGGTCTTTTCTCTCTTATTAGTTCTTGTAATTGCCTGTTTCTTATGGTGCAGTTAAATACAGGTATATTAAATATGTGTGAGAAAAATTGAAAATAAATTGAGTGAAATATTCCTATAATTACCTAAGTAATTACCTAAGTGTAGTTACAGGATAAGAGCTATGCTCATGGTGTACTCGCCTAGTTATTTTTTTTTTTTTTGTGCTTGTGGGGGTTGAGCTGTGGCTCCTTGGTGCTGTAGGGGGAGGGGGGGGGAAGGATATATGTATATATCTTGAGGTGATTCCGGGGCTCAGTGACCCCAAGACTCCGCGGTCCGGTCGTCGACCAGGCCTCCCCTATACGTGACATCACAAGCATAGCTCGTGGTGTCCTGTCTCCCAAGTACTCTTTATTGTATATTGCTTTGAAACTACAGACGGTTTTGGCTTCCACCACCTTCTCGCTAAACTTGTTCCAACCGTCTATCACTTTGTTTGCAAAAGAATACTTTCTAATACTTTTTTGGCACCTTTGTTTCCTTAGCTTGAAATCAGTGTCTTGTTCGTGAAGTTGCTGGTTTCAGGAATTCCTCTTTGTCAGTTTAGTCGATTCCTATTAGTATTTTGTAAGTGGTGATCATATCATCTCTCTCTCTTCTATCTTCTAGCTTTGGCATATTTAACGCCTTTAGTCTCTCCTCGTAACTCATGTTTATCAGTTCTGGAAGCCATTTTGTATCATGCCATTGCACCTTTTCCAGTTTAAAGGTTTTCCACCTGTGCGGCACCTTACGCTTTTACTACCGAAAAAATAAGATGAGAGAAATAGAGCAGAAGCTACAGTGATCTTACCAGACTGAAAAATGTAACTTGAACAGAAAGCTTTTCAAGAAATAAAAAAAAAATCCAAAATTATTTTATCACGGAATCACTTTAATTGGTAGATATATCTCTACCGTGCAAGGGAGGTAGCAAAGCATTAGCTAAAAATCTTGATTTTTAAAAGACCAATTGCACTACATCACTCATAATTAATGTTTTTGAAAGTGATCAGGAATCAAATCTCCAGTTTTATGAACATTGTGGTTTTATGAACCACAATGAACTTCACAATCCAGGTCAACATAGATGTAGAGCATGAAGATCCTTCCTTTCATAATTACTGAAACACTATAAAATCACAGAAGCATTAGAAGAAAAATAAAATGCAAATGTTGTATACATGGACATTGTAAAAGCATTTGATAAATGTGACCATTGAAAATGAGGTCAATAGGAATAAGAGATAAGTAGGGCAGTGGATATTCAATTGCCTGTCAAACACAACGTAATGACCTATGCCCTGGGGTACAAAGCTTTTGTATGTGCTTGGACTTTATTTTGTTTGATTATCAATCAAAGTTAGTCAAACAAACTAAAATCCAAGCACATGGAAAAAAATATTGAACCCCAGGGCACAGGCCTTGCATCACTGTTTTTTCTCTTATATCATATACAGTATAGGTAAAAATATAAGTCACAGCTTTGTGTCATCCTTTGAGGACGATCCAAAAATCTGCATAAAAATTACTTCTATAAAAGATATTGAAAACTACAAGCTGGTATCAATAAAATCTGATTGGGCAACTGAATCTTAACATGTTTAACTGTGACAAATTCCAGATACTCAAGTATGGTAAAATTTAAGAGCTTAAATGAAAGCTATCAAAATTCTCAAAATATACACTCTGGAAAGGAGACAAGAAAGGTATCAAATAATAAATACATTATTTATACGAATGGAGAATACATTGTTTATATGAGTGGAATACTGTTGCACATTAATAGCCTCATTCAAAGCTGGATAAATTGCTGACCTGGTGAGTGTGCAAAGATATTTTACCGCTAGAATCGACTCTATAAAATATCTAAATTACTGGGACTCCCTAAAAATTTTAAATCTGTATTCCTAGAGTGCAGGTGGGAGAGATACATAATAATTTACATTTGGAGAATATTAGTAGGAAGGGAAGGGAACTATCAGGAAAAAGTGCCAAACCATTATGACTATTTAGCACTTGGAAGGGGGGTCAGGATTAGGATTTGAGATGAGATGGGGAGGGGGGGGGATGGTGCCCAACCACTTGGACCGTGGAGGATTGAACACCGACCTGCATGAAGTGAGACAGTCACTCTACCCTCCATCCCAAGTGGTTGGGCAATATTAGTAGGAGTGGTTCCAAATATGCACACACAAAATACCACCACATGAGACCAGAAGGCATGGCAGGATGTGCAAAATAGCCGAACTGAAAAGAGATGCAATAGGCATACTGAGAGAGAACACTATCAACATGAAAGGGCCAAGACTTTTCAACACGCTTCCCACTACACATATGGGGCATAACTGGCCAACCTCTCGCAGTGTTTAAAAGAGAACTCGATAAGCAACTTCAAAGGATACCTGATCAACCAGGCTGTGACTCGTATGTCAGGCTGCAAGTAACTGCATCGAACAGCCTGGTTGATCAGAACAGCAACCAGTAGGTCTGGTCAGAGACCAGGTCATGGGAATACCAAACCTCAGAATCTTCAACAGGTAGAATACTGGAAGGCTAAGTCCCAGATTTGCACAGTAAAATAACAACATACTGGAATGAACAGTACAGAAGGAAATGCAGAATAGAACCAGTGACTAGTAGTGCTAGAGGCAAAATCAGAGTGTGAACACTGTATGAACATCAGAGGTCCAGGCCTGTTCAATACTCTCCCAGCAAGCATGTTTCTGGAACAAAAGTGAACTACTGCAAGAAGTAATTAGATAAGTTTTGGAGGCTTGATTTCACAATTAGAGGGCTTGATGGGGTCACATAAAGATGGAGCCTGGGGTCACTTGAGTATAGCCACATGTGAAGGCGATGCATTTTTTTCCTGATACCTGATGAGTAAACATATATCCTATTGGAATATAAATAAGTAGCAAATTTCTTTAATGATAATGTTTTACCTTGGAGTTATCCACACTGAAAAACAGGTAAGATAATAAGGAAAAAAAAAAAGACAGTAGTAGCAATAATTTCTGCATATAATACATTATTTTGATACAAGAACACAAACATTACAGAAATTGATCATGTACAGTGAGCATTAAATGTACTCCTAGGTGCTGTGGCAATAGTGTACAAAACACATCTTTGAATAATAGGAGGCTAACTGTGGGTTTTCTTGTGCTTCAGAGTGCTGAATCCAGCGAGAGTGTGGGTAGTGGGAGGTCGTCTCCAACACCTAACTGGGAAGAAGCACGACAACCCTCAGAGGATAACTTGTCAGACTTGCAGACTTCAAACTTTGCAGCCACACATCTAAAACCTCCATCTCAACCACAGCCATTGGCACCTAGAGAATCCTCGTACTCGGCTATACTGTTAGGCACGGATAAACAGGTGAGAAAATGTCAATTACTTTTCACAAGTTAGTGCCTATTAAAGGCAGATAATTAGCACTCATATTTAAGGGTCTGTCTACATGCTAGATACTCTTCCCTAAAATAAACCAGATAGATATTTTTTTGTAATGCAATCTATTTTTACTGTAAGTTTGTCTTTTGTTTACATGTAAATGTATACTAATGATTGCTCTACTACATTATAAAAATAATCATTTACTGCATACTAATGGTCCTCGTGCACACTCATCTCACTTCCAAGATGTGAATTATGTATAATTTTTGTACCAATAAATGTTCAGAAATTTTTGCTTTAACAACTGTAAACAAATATATAACATTTGTTTCTATAATGTTTAGACAAAATTTTATTTGCTAAATACCAAAGTCAACCGGCCTACCTTACCTTGCATTACCTTGCAGCCTAGTAATGTTTAGAAGATAAAACATTGAGTATATAATATGCATCTCTCTGGGAGAGTCTTGGTGGTTCCCAATTGCTTATGCACTGGTACCCCAGGGCTAATACCATCTCGTTAGACATGTTAGACTTTCTCATGGCCTATCGAAGGCAAGGATGGGGATCTTGCACCCCCCCACACTTCTATAGGGAGCTGAAGGTGTCATGAGCACGAAAGGGAAGCATCTCGCTCAGTTTGCCGATGCCTGGTCCCAGAATTCGGGTTTTTGTCAGCCTGTGATGGTGTTGGTCAGTCCTTCCTCCTAATGGGGGTTTGGAGGAGTTTCAGTCAGGCATCCTCTCTTTGTCTCTTGTCATGTCATCTTGAGTTGGGTGGTTTCAGACAGTCAAAACGACTGAGCATTTTTTCTACTACTGTAGCAGTAATAGTCTGTTGACATTTTTTGCATTGTTTAACTGAGGGCTCTTCTACATATTAACACAGAAGAATTAATATTCTACCCTTATTAACACAGGGTTAATAAGAGTATCCACCCAAGTAGTGGTGAATACTCTTATTAATGCCACCAGAACATGAAAGACTCACTAAGAGAACAATTACCATAGCAGAGAAAGAAGCAGAACCCCATCTTCTGAGGAAGAGCATGAAGCTCACTAATGTGACTGCTGGAGGCCAGATCAAACAAAAGAACACTCCAAAGGAGAAACCCCAAAATGAAGTAACCAAGTAACAATGTATTCAGGGCAGAAACTTTAATGTCTACCATAAGAAACATTGAGAAAGATCCTGTTGCCACATTAGCTTTTTATACACTACATGTAGTTGTTTAATCAATTGGAATATGGGCAAATGACCACATAGTACCAAAACATTTTGATAAAAATAAAGGTTTCCTTATATTAACCAAGCCACTTGTCACCTTAGTTGGTAACTAATCTATCTAGTAACAATTGTTGTTGTAACAATTTGCCCGAAACGCATTGCGTAATAGTGGCTTTAGGCATTGTATGTACTAGCTCTATCTATATATCAATCCATTAATGTAACATCACTTGTATGTATATACCTTACCTGAATAAACATCTGAATCTGAATCTGAATCTGTTGTCAGTGTGATATGCCATTCTATCGGTTCACTGTTGCCTGGAACTATAAGACCTAATGTGCAGCAATTTCCTATTGTTCCTGAAGGTGCTGCAATAGTGAAGTAGTGAATAAACTCTGATCTTTGCTCTTCAATTGTTTACCTGATTTACCCGATTTTTACCCGATTTACCTGATGGCCACTAACACTAGTGGCCTCAATGAGAACAGGAAACCGGTGGCTTGTCAATGGTTTGCCATTTGTCTTGAACCTTTCCAGGTGGATTTTAAAACAGTTTTGATGTTTGAGAGTTTGGTGGGTATGCAGTTCCAAGAGTTTATAACCATGTGGGTGAACCCTGTGGGTTTTCTTCATGTCTTAAAAAAAAAAAAAAAAAAATAATTGTTTATTAGCTTCAGGGCTGCTGATTTGTTTGTATTCATAACACTTCACATGATTTATATAAAAAAAACTCTTGACCTGCTTTTACAAATGAGATGTTTAACATTATTTTTTATATATATATATCTTTTATTTTATTTTAAAGCTTAGCATTCTTTTCAAGTAATCTTCAACATTTTGCTCAAGTGATTCCATTTCAAATATATTTCAGAAAGCTAAAGTAATGCCATTTGCCAAGGTTCCACCAGAGATCAAGAGAGTCGAAAAGCCTTTAGGGGTAATTGGCCAGAAAGTGAGCAATGCTAGTAACAGCAGCAACAACAGCAATAACTTGGGTACTTTACATGGGGTGTCCACTCCTGCAACAAGTGTGGCCTCCATGTCCTCTTCTCCGTTTTTCACCGTGTCCGAAAATAATTATTCTCACCGACTGAAGGAAGATCCTTATGCAAGAAATGTGTATAGTGGCTATGTGGATAATGGATGTGTGGCTGCTAGTCAAGCCGGTAACAGTATTCACTCGTGGGATCCTAAGACATTGAGTGCTCCAACCTTGAGACCACCACCTGGGTTAGCTCAGTCACAAGAGACTGCTCATCGACATGGCTCACTTTCAGGTAAGTTTACAGTACTGATTTGCTAAGATTGCCTCTTTTTGCCATTCTTTAATGAGATTTCAGTATGCTGGAAGGCAGTAGAATACTTAATTTTGATTGAGGGGTTTGTGTTGTAATTACTGGAATTAATTTTAAGTTTTATTTTCTCTATTGGATTGTCTTCCACCAGTGATATGAACACAGCTAATGACTTGCACGGTATTCTGCCAAGATATATTGTGTGGTCCACCCTGGTGTGTGTGTGTGTGGGGAACGTGCTGTATGATTCCAAACTGATAGGAAGAGTGAAATAAGTGTACCTGGATGGAAGTTTGATAAATGTTCTACTCCCCAGGCCTGGCCCTGGGGCCAGGCTTGACTTGAGTGCTTGGTCTAACAGGCTGTTGCTTGGAGTGGCCCCTAGGCCCACATATCCACTGCAGTTCGGTTGGTCCGGCACTTCTTGCAGAAAACTGTCCAGTTTTTATTGAAGACTTTTGTCCTGGCAATATATCCTATACTTGCTGGGAGAGTATTGAACAACTGTGGGCTCTGATGTTCATGTAGTGCCTTCTGATTGCGCCTATGGCGCACCTGCTCTTCAGTCCTGAATGTTGTTATTTTACTGTGCTTAGGTTGTCTTGATAAGTAATGTCCTTTAAGAGAAAAAAACAGTAGGCTCTGGAAAATATTATAGTATATTTGCTTATCTTAAAACCCTGAGGTAGTTTTTGTTAAAGCAAATAACTGCAGTATTGCTTTGTATCTCCCAGTTATATATTTTGTGGATGGGGTTCCTGGTCAGGATTTATGTAGTGGTTCAATGTACAGTAAGTGCATCATAATTTCATACATGATGGAAAAATACATACATGATAACTTTTTAATTCATCTTATAGAACTCCTGATAATGTAGAAACCAAAAACTGTTACAAAGATTCCTTTCTAGATTTCATATAAATTCATAATTAAATGTTTATGATTCAGGAGAATAGGATTTCATGATTCAAATTTGAAAACCACTTCAGGAGACGAGGAAAGACCACGTTACTGCCCTTCTCAAGTTGGAGGTTCACTCTGGCCTGATGGAAGTGGTTATCATCATGATGGAATAGTTCTCAACTCTGGCAACACATCGGCACCAAGCTTGTGGGACTCGCTGTCAAACATTTGGTCACCCCCATTCTCATCCTCAAGTCAAGGATCGTCTCCACAGTCTTCACCAGCATCACCGTGGGGAACAACTCTCACTCAGGCACCATCATCTGGAGTAAATGATGCTAGTGGGGCTGTATCAAAAGGTCTTGGCTTTGATCCCTTCTGTTCTGTGAGCAACATTTGGTCTGCACCTGCTAACCATCCTGGAGACTTGTGGCCACCACCTAGTTCCAAGAAGGATGCTTAGACTGCTGTACAAAGTACACGTTTACATCCTCACCGCTCATACTGCACTCTTCATCTAAAAGAACAAACACAACAAAATTTTATTTTGATGCTTTGGTTTTTACACTTGAAAAAGAAAGATAATAATAATGAGCAGGCCTCTGTGCATTATCTTCTATGGAATATTTCAAAATTTATTTTATTTTTATGTACTTGACTGGTTTACTTTTTTTTTTAGTCGCATGGAATTAAATTCCATATTAGTTAAGGAAGGCCTTTTACTTAATGAAGTATATTTGTTCTTTGATATTGTGAAGTTTTATTTGGAAGGTTAATTGTCATCTTTGGCCAATGACTGGTAAATTAAACAAGCAGTGTTTTTCTCTGAGGAAATGCAACAACTTGAGGAGCAAACACAGAATTATGCACTGAGGGGCATAGTTTTTTAAAAGAATAAATATTGGTTTATAATTTTTTAAAACATTCTTAATAACTGAGACATCAGTTAAATTTCTTATGAAAGAATGACCCGGTAATTTTATTTAATTACAAAAAGAGAAGAGACCGTTTTAATTTTGACAGTTTTAAGTTTATAGAGCTCTCATTTGTCTTTTGTAATGATTTTGACACTTTTTAGTTTACAGAGCTCTCATATGGAGTGAAGACTTTTTATTTACTGTAATCTTTGTGCCATATTGAAAGATTATGTTTGCTAAATGCAATCATTGCTGGTTGTGTACAGAACAGATTTGGACTTTACTCAGCCATGTCATTGCTATTATAAATCAATGTATTGATTGACTTCAAAATAATTTCAAACTCTTTTAAAAAATTATTCACATGCTTAAAATATCTGCCTCAAATAAGGGATGGCCTTGGAAATGGAGGAGGCAGTCTAAAGGTGTGTTGTTCAGCCCATCCTGGTAGCCAGTATTTCAGAGGTGGCAGTAGTACAGTCAACTGAAGGATGACCATATCATGTCTCATACCAAGACAACTTGACTAGGAAATTTTTGTGCAGTCCATCAAGAGCAAAACTAGTTTGTGAGCGAATTGGTCGCCATATTTTGACTGTACCTACAGCCTAGTAATCCAACCAGTATTGTGTGTTCTCCCACTCTCAGTATTTGATTATACTCATAGATATGGAAACCCCATAAGTCTAGTTTCCTACTATCAAGAACTCGAGACTGAGCAGATTGTCAGACAAACCAACAGTGTTTTTGATGGACAAATAAAATGATGAATTGAATGTTTCCTGTTTATAAACCTTTACAAACCCTTTAAGAGCTCAGATTATAGCTTAATGAGACAACCTATTAGAAACCACAAACAGTCTTAAGTCCTTAATTTATGAAGGACAAAAAAGAAGTTTGAAGTGCTGCCTGAAGTACTTTCTATATCATACCTAACTACCACCTTCCACTGCATCATCCTTTTACCTTCTTTTGGTAAGTTACATTCATATGTCTATGTTTATGGTAAAGTGGGAAGTGAAAGTGATATTGAGACCTTGCAAAGAGATCTATATAAACTCTACAAATGGTCAGATGACTGGCATATGCTTTTTAATGTCAATAAATGCAAGACCTTGCATGTGGGGCATAACAGTCTACATACCTACCAAATTGACAGCACTACCTTACAAAAGATAGACAAAGAAAATGATCTTGGAGTTGGAATCCATCATTCACTAAAAATTCTGCTGGGTTTTAAAATACAGCTGGAAAAGATCAGGGCAAATGTGGGGGACCTTTGACAAGCTGCTGGCTTCCTGTCCTCATCAAGGCCACTAGTTTTAGTGGCCCTCAGGTAAATATGTATATGATACATACAATAGTACTAAACTATTAGCCAATTGATGCAAATTATTATGCACTTAGATTTCTTTAACTTAATTGTAATTAAAATAGATTTTGAACATTAGTTAGACCTATTATCAAATCATGACCACTCTTGACATACTGTGGCATTCTCTCTCTCTCTTTTTTCTTCAGAGTATTAAACCAGGTATAAAAATTTATATACCGTATGCCAACGTAAAAGACGCACCCTCATATAGAACACACCCCTATTTTACAAGGATATTTTGTGGAAAACAAACTATTTTTAGTATGTTTCATCATACATTTATGTATGATGAAACATACATTTTCTTTTTCATTTGAAAAAGACTTTTCAAGTGGATTTTGTACCTCAACTCTTATCTCCCATAAGATCAGCTGCATAATTTGTATTTTGGGCAAGAGAATTGCTATACAGGACGTGAAGCTTGTATTTTTGGATGTGATGTTTTGTTACCGCATCAGGCCACCAGGGTGGCGCACCATCACAGTGCTCTGTTTTTGTTGTCATTTACTGCGCTCTGGTTTTGTTGTCATTTACTCAATGCAAATGGCTGAGAGGCAGATGAAAGTTTAAAATTCCTTTCAAATTTCTAGGAGCATTTTTCATTTAGATAATAAATGTTTCTTAAGAGGTAACACAATTATTAAATAATATATGACATATATCAGGTGTGGGTTACGTATGCTTGGTAAGATGGTGAGATGATGTGAGCTTCCTTCATAACTGAGGACGTATTGTAAGCAGTTTTTTGCAAGTTTGTGATAACAGACTGTGATAACTCGACTTGTTTTCAATATTGTCTTATTAGTAACACGATTTACTGTGATAATTTGCTTTGTTTTCAATATTATTAGCAAAGATTTTTGTGCCTAGTGAAGTTACCCAGTATGCTTGTCCGGCTCCCTAGCTTATGGCACTCACTCGCACATCTGTAATAGGGCAGCATTAGATGCAGGGCAATTTTTTTATACAGTACGTTTAAAAATAAAAATGCATGTTTTATACGCTGGCAAATTTGGTAATTTTGCCTTATTTAAGGGCAATGTAGCTAAGAGTGTTATTAAAGGTAATTCATTTTTATTTGTTGTAGAGGTGGAATTTGTTTGATGGCTTGAAACTCAAAGTTGTTGCATAATTTGAATTTTAGTTCTTTATTCTAACTTGCATCAAAAGTTTTGTCAATATCTTTTGTGGCAAGTGCTATAAATATAACTACATATACATCAATATGCTAAAAAAAAAAAAATTTTGCCATGTGTCAAAATAGTTCAGTTCCATTGAACCTTCCTCAGTTGAATTTCTTAACAATGAACTTGTGTGTAATATCAAGCAGTTCACAGGATCACTTGATCCATTGCCCAGACCACATAACCCAAATTTCACTGACCATAATAATACTCATGAATTAGTCAATGCATACAACAATAAGCAAACTGAAAGCAAAGGCCTTTTTCTTTTTCATTGCAAAACTTACAATACCAAAGGAGCCTTGCAGAAGCACACGGTAGGAAGGACTAATCAACAAAACATTGAGTAAATGATAGAAAAAATTGATAGGCAAAGAGCAAGATGTAAGGCACTTCCCAAGTAGGTAGGGAGGGAGGTTAGATAGTCAGAAGCAAACTGGTATGCATAACCATCACAAATTCTGAGCACAGAAAATACTTACAAAATGCACAAAACCTAGAAGGTTGGCATGGGTATAACAACATTTACATATCCCCAGACCTAATAGAATAACAACAACAACAAAAAAGACAAACAAAGCAAGAGACAAACTAAAGGACTTGGGAAAAAGACCAATACAGAGGTTTAAAGTTGAAGATAAGGGAGAGTGCAGGTGATTATGATAGTAGTTGGAGTAGAGGATGTAATCATTTACCCAGTTGAGTAGAACTAACCTTGTACAGTATACCTCTAACAACAAGCAGGCACAAAACCAAAGGGACAATGTATGCAATAATAGTGTGCAGAATACAGGAGCAATCTCGGGAATTTAAATTTTTTTTACACAAATACCTAGTAAATAAATTTGATGCATTGTGTGCATACACTGAGGCTTATAATCCTGTCATTATTGGGATCAGTGGAACATGGGGGACAAGTAGATGTAATTGAAGAGGGAATGCCATCTTCCAGGATACCATCCACCTTTCAGAAAGGACGAGAAGAACAACAGAGGGTGTGATAGTGTTCTTTCAATGCCCGAAATGCTTTGCGTAATAGTGGCTTTAGGCATTGTATGTACTAGCCCTACCTATAAGTCAACCAATCTTTGTAAAAATTTCTTGTATGTATGTACCTTACCTAAATAAACATTTTATTTTATTTTATTTTATATAAAAGAGGACTTTAATGCAATGAGTAACTGAACACCATGGGATCCTCAGAATCTGTGTGGTGCAATATACTAGATCAAAATGACAGTGGATGTATGCTACAGAGTAGACACAGCAACAGCAGAGGGCATTACAGAAAACCATAAATGTGATAAATGCTGTAACCAAAGCCCAAGCTCTTATAATGGGGGGAGGGGACCTTTACCCACGAAACAACAGATTGGGCAAATCTTCAAGTTGAACATCACAAGTTGAAGAAAATTTTCTTGATCTGCCATAATTGATCAAATCCAGGTAGGGCAAGAAACACCCTTTCATGTGACCACAATATTCCAAGATGGAATCCAATTATAGAAATCGATATAAAGGTCCAGGACAATGACTTTCTAAATTACCAGTGAAAAGAAATTTGGAGAGGAATTACAAAACACCACCTGGGAGTGAGCTAATAGATCAAGACATGGAAGTATCATGGGAAATTTTCAAAAAGGTCATCAATGAACTTGTTCAAAACTATGTGCCAAGGAGGAGAAAGAAAATAAATAGAACTAGATGGTTGACACAGGCTGTAAAAAAAAAAAAGCCTGGTTTTAACAACTTTAAGTACAACCTCTGAAAAAGGTATCAGTCTAGAAAGAATCACATAGATTAAGATATATACAGAAGGATATTAAATTCAACTACCCAGGAAAGCAGTTCAGTGAAAAAAACTTGCTCAAAATATTAAGATCAAAATGATGATACAAAAGCAGCCAACACTTTCAATTAATACTTACATCAGTGTTCACACTAGGAAAATTTGACCACAATACCAAGACAAATGATTGAAGCAAGGTAAGAGAATGAATTAAGAGATACAGTATTCCCATAACATGTGGAACTGTCAGGAAGAGCAGTGACATTAAAGAATTCAGAAGTCCTAGGTGTGGACGGAATTTAATCTGAAGTCACAAAGGAACTGGCAGATGAACTGTGTCTACCACAAACTCCTTTCCATAAAATCTCAGGATCAAGGAAAAGTTCTCCTTGACTGGAAGTATGCAAATGCCACTTCTATCTTAAAAAATGGCAGAAAGAGCTCAGCACAAAACTACCAACTGTTAAGCCTAACCTCTTACATCTGCAAACTCAGGGAGAGAAATGTAAGGAAATCATTTACCATCTCTCAGTGCTCTGTCTAATAAAGACAAGCAAAATGGTTTTGTTAAAAACAAATCATGCCTAACACACCTGTGCACATTTTTGGAGAAAGTTACCAGCTATTCAGACAAAGGACTTCCAGTAGACATAGCCTAAGCTACTCTATCCATTTGAGATGCATTTTTTCTTGTCTCAAACATACTTGAACTTGAACTTGAAAGTATATGTGGTCCTCTCTAAAGCTTGATAAGGTACCACATGAAAGATTGGCAAGGAAATTACCAGCACATGTCATTAATGGTAAAGTACTAGAATGGATAAAAAAATGGTTGAAGCAATGTTTTCCTAAATGGAAATGAAGCTGACTGGAGAAATGTGGTGAGTAGGGTACTGCAAGGTTCCATCTTTGAGCCAACAATTTTTAGTTATATACTCATCAGTGCTAGACATGTGCTAGTACATGTAGTGCTGTACATGTAGATGTACAAGCCACATTATCAAATTTTCAGATGACACTTAAGATCTTTGGTAAAGTAGTAAGCAAAAATTATATTGAGGCCTTGCAAAGAAACCTACAAATAATAAAACAATGCAAGACCTTACATGCAGGACATAACAATACACATCACAACTTAAATATTAACAACACTACCATGTGGCAGATTGATGAAGAAAAGGACCAAGGAATCAGAATCCACCAGTAATTGAAAGTTGCAGAAAAAATAAACTTGAAGGAAGCCAAAGGTTTGTCTTCCTCATCCTGATGTAGACCTGACCAAATGTAAACTCAACAAAATTATTCGCACACCCTCCGTCACTATGTGATGGAGTACGAAAACATACGTGAATTCAGAGACAATTCTATAACAAATGTTTCAAAGATGAGTAAATATTAAATTTAACATGATTTGCTACCAGAAATTTTAGTCAAATATCCTCAGTTTGCTAACTGTAGGTAGTAACTACATAGGTGATTGTAACCTATCCACCGCTGCCCACTGGATGGGGGGCGGTGTGCAGGACAAACATATAAATTTTGACACTAGCTCATGTCAGTTGCTGAAGTTAGAAACTGTACTTGAGGTCGGTCTCGAGCCCATTGATGATGTGACGACGTATATTGAATTATGTAACTAGCTCAAGATTGTAACTTGCTTAGCTAAATGAATTGTGGGGTTCAGTTCCTGTGCCCATTATGTGCGTCTGTAACTCTTTCCACCACCTCCCACAAGATGGGTATGAGGTGCATAATAAATGAACTAAACTAACTTCCTCATAATAATTTTTTTGAGAAGGTGGAAGGGGGAATGAGAGGGGATGTTGTTAAAGATTCGCTACTTGGAACAATAAGCTCCAAGTAACACGGGCTTTGGTGAGCCCGTAGATGAGAGGGGAGGATGAAGTGGGAACCGAGGGGATGGGGAGAGGGGGTCTAAGGAATGATGGAGTGAAGAATGGGGAAAAAGAGACCGAGATGTAGTAGAGTGATAAAGATTAAGCCACCCAAGAGGTGGCACGGGCATGAATAGCCCATAAGAGATGCAGTAGGGTACCAATTCTATATATATATGTACGGGGTATGAATGAATATATATATATATATATATATATATATATATATATATATATATATATATATATATATATATATATATATATATATATATATATATATATATATATATATATAAAATTGTGTGTGCAGAAATAATATTAATAAAACAATTGATAGTCTTGTTAATTACTATGCTATGTATCCTCACAATCCCAATGTACCTTCTTGTATATACACATATATATATATATAAATAAATAAAGTTAAGTATTAGCGGCGGGCGGCACATTACCGTCATTTTTAGTAGTGAGAGCAACACGGGGCGTTCCTGGTATGTGTGTAGATGACTTGTTTACTACCACATTCTTCAACAAAACTGAATAAAAAACCCTTTTAACAACTTACTAAATAACGCTTAATTATAATATAATATGATACACGGGTCTCTCGTGGATATAAGATGGTAAATTGGATGAGACAATGAGTGTAAACAGAAGAGAACGGGAAGACATTTCGGAGGGGACGGTAGAGCTGTGAATGGCCGTGAGCAGCAGCGGCAGCGGCTTGTTGATACTCTGGAGCCTTCACCAGTCCTGGCCGCGGGTCCTTCCCCTCCTGCACCGCCTCCTGCTCCCCTCTCACGCACCCATGTTGCGCCTCTCATAGCCACAGTGTGAGTCTCGAAGAACAGTAGCGTGATGATGGATCTCCCTCTTCCCCGAGACACTTGACTGTTGCTTTGTTTACAATACGGGAGGGTTCATGCTGGGGCTGTGGCAGGGAGGAGCGCTCGTGCAGGGGTCAGGTGTTGCAGGTGTTGTTGATCTAGACGCCTCTCGGTAAGACTCTGGGTGGGGGAGATAAATACTTGTCCACCTGCTGTCAGGTGTTGTTGATCTAGACGCCTCTTAGTAAGGTACTGGGTGGGGGAGATAAATACTTGTCCACCTACTGTCAGGTTGCAGGGGTTGATATAGATCTTACTCTGTCCACCTGCTGTCAGCTATTGAATTATAGCATTTTCCATGTGCAGTACCTATGAAGGTTCCTGGCGGGTATGGTCATATTCATGAACAGGCTTTTTAACAGCTGGTTTTCTAAGTGTCAGCATTGTATATAATTTTAGATTAGTCTGTGCTAGCCAAATATTAGGATGTCAGGCTGGGTTAGGTTTGGAAAATTCTAAAATTCCATTGACAAATCATCTTTGGTACCTGGATGAGAGGAGGAGGATGGGGGGGGGGCCTGGAGAGGGTTAGAACATAAGATTAAAGGTAACTGCAGAAGGCCTATTGGCTCCATACGAGGCAGCTCCGATTTATAACCCCCCAATCCCACTCATATATAAGTGCAACCCATGTTTGAAACAATCAAGGGACCTCCACCACGTTATGCGGTAATTGGTTCCACACATGAACAACCCTGTTACCGAACCAGTATTTACCCAAATCATTCCTAAATCTAAACCTATCCAATTTATACCCATTGTTTCGTGTTGTATTGATAGTTTTAACACCCTAAAATATATTCCCCATGTTATGTCCATTCATCCACTTGTACACCTCTATCATGTCACCCCCCAATTCTTCGGTTTTCTAGATAATGTAATTTAAGCTTTGTCAATCTTTCTTTATATGACAGGTTTCTAATTTGGGGGATCAACTTTGTCATCCTACGATGGACGCGTTCTAGTGAATTTATATCTATTCTGTAGTTCAGCGACCAAAACTGAACTGCATAATCTAAATGGGACCTGACCAGAGCAAAATATATCTGAATATCTTCAGCTATATAGGGTTCCTATATAGAACCCCATATAGATATAGAGTTTTGGGAGTTCTTCTATTCCCCTGAGTTGTAATAACTTGGTCCAACAGACTGTTGCTTGGAGCGGCCCCACAGGTTGGGTCTGGGAGTTGTTGTACTCCCCAAGCCCAGCCTCAGGCCAGCCTTGACCCCAAGGTATCTCGAGATGATTTTGGGGTTTAGCTTACCCACGGCCCGGTCTTCGAGTAGGCCTTCTGTTTGTTACACACCTCCAGGAAGCAGCCCATAGCAGCTGCCTAACTCCCAGGTACCTATTTACTGCTAGGTGAACAGGGGCGTCAAGGTGAAAGGAAATATATCCATTTGTTTCAACCTCCGCCAGGGATTGAACCCCAGAACCTCAGGTAAATACATGCACCTGGTTGTGCATCAATAAGGTTGATGCACAACAAGAATTTGCTATGTTTCCTCCCTGGAAACACAAACCGAAACTGTCTCTATTTTCCGCTTGTTACAACTTGTAATAAAGTTGTTACATCTTGGCGTAACGTGTTTATGACATATTAGAACGTTGTTACAACTTGCTATATTGGTTGTTATAACTGGTTAGGAGGTGTTAAAACTTGTTCGTATGTTGTACTAACGTCGTAGTTTTGGTGTGTGTTTGGCAGGCTACTCCTAACCTAAACTAATCTCAGTGCATTTAAATACAAAATAGGCTATGATGTAAAAGTTGATGAAGGTATCGAAATATAGTGTCATGGTGAGACAACAGACACTTTGTAATACTGTACTATACTGTAATCACAATTTATGTTCAGAGTAAATGAAATGGTTACACTGCACTTTAATCAAATTTGTATACTGTATTATATTTAACATTTAATATAATAAAAGCTTGTTCTGAATAAATATATTTACCAGACAAATTTGGCAGGAAGTGGATAAGACCTTAAGAAGTGGAGAAGACCCTGAGCAATATTCCAGATGACTTAACTGTTGCAGCAAAAATGTTGTTGATTCACATACCTGTGATTCCAGGAAATACTTGACACACTTGGACTGGACAGTAGAGCTACAGTCTCACTTTTTGCAGGTTAGCGTTCAATCCCTGACCATCCAAATGGTTGGGCACCATTCCTTTCCTTTGTTCAGTCCTAAATCCTCATATTTCTTCAAAAGTGCTATGTAATCATAATGGTTTGGTGCATTTTCCTTATAATTAACTAATCTTACATATATTTTTGGTTGCAAACAATATCCTAGGAAAATTTGCAGTAGTTACACCATGTGTTTTATTTGAAACCGATATCACAAGCATTTTTTATTATATTCTATTCAAAACTGCATAGGTGCCTTTGAACTATTCCATGCAGTTTGTAAACTTAACTCACATTTCTTCATAATGCAACGAGAGAAACATATCAACCCAAATTCATGTCTCGGAATCATTTAATACATATACTGGGTCTTAATTGCTGTTGTATAATTCCCTTATTTATTTTCAGTCTTTTGGCCTCATTGTGACCAGATTTCAAAATCTGTATTATTCGTCATTACTACTGTACTGCCAGAATTACAATCATTATTATTATCATTATTACCACTTATCATTATTTCTACTACCTCACTATTACTACCATCACCATTATCACTTATTATGACCATAATTAATACCATTACCATTATTACCATAAAAACATTATGAGCATAATTATTACCACCATTATTACCACCAATATTATCATTATTACCAAAACTAAAATAATTATTTCTAACATTATTATTATTTCCATGAACAGTGCCACCATTACATGTATTATTACCTCCTTCATCACTATTACCACTAATAATACCACTATATTATTACCATCATTACCATCTAGAGATCATTATTTCTACCAGTATTACCACCATTATCACTACCACCACAATTATTGCCATTAATAATACCCTTACCAGCATTGTTATTAGTCACCATTAATTCCACCACCATTATTTCCACTACTGCCATGATTATTGCCACCACAAATATTATTTCTACTACCTCACTATTACTACCACCATTATTACACTCATTATTACCAGCATCACTTATTATTATTATTACCATCATTATTACCACTACTTTCATTATTGCCACCATTATTATAATCATTATTACCACCATTAGTTTCACCGCCACTATCATTATAACCACTAATCACTAGTATTATCACCATTGCACAAAGAAATCACATTAACGTGCTGTATCCATGAGAAAATCAGTAGGAGCCATGAGGAAGACTCACCTATGAGCAGGGTCAAGCACGCTCTATAGACCACTGCACCACGACATGGTCAAAAGCTACCAATCAAACCTTAATCATAAAGCTATCACCATCATCAACCTCATATCGTCACTTACCATCCTATTAATCATCATTAATATTATTACCACCACCAGCAATTTTACAGCCATCGTTATCATCGATAACGATGATAACGTTAGCCATTATATATCGATAACATCGATATATAATGCCAGCCAGCCATTATATATCGATAACATCGATAGCCATTACTATCATTATTACCACCTTCATTACCGTCATTGTGGTTGTTACCACCACCAGTATTACTACCATCTTTATTACTACCACCATTCCCATTACCACTATTCCCACCACAGTTATCATCATTATTACTAGCATAATTTCCACCACCACCAATATGATCATTTTCATCTCTGCATTTATTATTTACCATTATGACCACAAATATTTCCACCATTACCACCATTCTTATTACATCCATCATTATTTCCACCAGCACAACCACCATTATTATTACAACAAACATTACCATCATCATTATTACCACCACCATTACCATCATTATCATCATCAACATTACCATCATTATTACAATCCTTATTACTATCATTTTATTACTATTATTATTACCATCATCATTATCACCACCAACATTACCATCATCATTATTTTCATCATCATCATCATTATTACCACCTATGTGTAATAGTCAACAAAGTAAAATCTGGACCATCAACCGTGAAGAGCTCAGTCCCCCAGGGTACTGTGCTTGCTCCAGTACTTTTTCTCATCCTCATAACGGACATAGACAGGGACACAGTCTATAGCATTGTATCATCCTTTACAGGTAACACTAGGATTTTTATGAGAGTAGACAACATAGAGAGCACAGCGAACCTCCAATCAGATGTAAATCAGGTCTTTCAATGGGCTACAGAAAATGATATGGTGTTTAACGAAGATAAGTTCCAGCTTATGCGCTATGAAAAAAATAAAAAACGGAAACCTCGTACAAAATGTACTCATATCACCTTCATCATTTCCATCATATTACCATTATTACCACTATCATAACCATCATTATCATTTCCACTGCAAACATTATTACCACCACCATTATTAACAGTATCATTGCCACCATCGTTATTTCCACCACTATTGATATTACTACCATCATTTTTATTACCATCACCATTACCATCCTCAGTGACACCATTATTACCACCACCATTAATACCATTATTATTATTACTTCCACCACCTGACCATCATTATAATTTCCATCACAATCATTATTACCTCCAACTCCATTATTATTACCATTACCACCACCATCATCATTATTACCACCTCCAGCATTATTACCACTTTCACTTTCATTAAATTGCAGTTTTCATTACTTTTGCATTTTTCAATACACTCAGAACTTTATTTGTGAAATATTGTACATTTCAATGTGCAAGGTCTTGCTAATGGTCTCACTGTTAAGCTGTAGTCTTTACAGACGTACATATGTGCTCCTCTTCCACACGCTTAAGCTGTTTACATTATGCAACCTTATTACATTTGTATTTATCAACTTTAAACCGCTGATTTTGACTAGGATGTTACTCCAGATATGTTGCTTACTCTCTTCTTTATATATTATTAGAAGTAGCTTAATTATATATTTTGTAATGGCACAGTATACCTTGGTACGGTACATATAATTACTATGTTTGTTTTCGATATTAATAAAATGATGATAATGTTTCTACCGTGTTTCTCAGGATAAAAAAGCACAATGGTGCGCAACAAGCAGCCTCCACAGCAGCTGAATGAAATACAGCAGAGAAGAGCACAGTGGAACTTAATTGATGGTGCAGGTCCAGCAGACAATCCTAGAGGTAATGGTGATGCAGAGGCAGGGCAGGAAGATGATGCTCATCCAAGAGATGATGGAGATGATATTGCTCTTTTATTAAACAATGAGTTAATTGATGATGATGATGACGATGCAGACTTTATACCTGGCGCCCTGGGAGATCCTGCCTTGCGACCACGAGAAGTACGCTGGGGTCGGTTTGCGCAAGTTCGGTATGAAGATGGAGAGGATGAATTTGTTGATGAATTTGATGATGATGTTGCGTATCTTCCAAGAAGGCGAGAGAGGGCAGTGCGTGAGGAAGTGAATTATGGTGATTTTAAAAATGTTCTTAACAAGTCTCAGTTTTATGCAAAAGTTTTTAAGAAAAATAAAGATAGTGTAGTAAGTCCAAGAAAAGAAAGAGACAATAGTTACTTTTGTAATTTTGGAAATATAAGTTTTAAACTTAAAGATAAAGTAACATGTGAAGATCTTCATCAGATACCTAGCTCAGAATTTTGGGTATATGTGACTTTGGAAGCTAATAGTAGTGCTCTCTATTTTGAATGGAGCTCCGGAGAGTCACCCAAAAAGTCAAAGCAGAGAAAGAAACCTGCTGACAATTTTCGTCACTATATGATAGAAGGTGTCTTGAATGCAGAACTGTGGCAAGGTTTGTCCACCCAACGATACTTTGATCTTAAACTAGAGAGTTTTGATGATGTCAGTAATGAAATGACATTAAGTGTTTTCTTGAAAAAAGGAGGTTTATCTGAATTAAAGCATCCCAGTGATAATATCCAATGTAATGAGTCTTTGGGTGCGGTAGTTTCTTATTTCTTTGGTGTCCATATGTTTGCCTATACTGGTACCAAAAATTTGAAGCACGATGTAGAAGATCTATTCACTGCTGTCAAGCACTGGCATGCCGATAAGGAATACTGCTCCATTGATGTACAACACCCTAGTTTGATCCCTCAGCTAAGGCCATATCAAAAGGCTGCTGTAAAGTGGATGTTACACCAGGAAAAATTTGGACAGGTGAAGAATGGTGTGGATAGCTCTAGTGACGTTCACTGCTTGTTTGTGGCAATCACTAGTAAAGATAACGTGACCCTTTACTTTAATAGATATGGAGGTTTTCTTGTGAAGGACAAACCTCTAGCTGTCTTACCAACTCCAGGAGGCATTCTTGCAGATGAAATGGGGCTAGGAAAGACAGTGGAGGTGCTCTCTTGCATGCTATGCCATCCAAGACAGAATATTAAAAAGCCGGATTATCAAGAACCAATTAACATTGAATCTCGGAAAACTAGCAATGGAAGAAAATCTAGTAAAAGACTAACAGGGAATGATATTTTCACCCTTGATGGTGTACCAGAAGAGGAGGAGGAGGAAGAGGTGAAGGGAAATGTTGACTGTTTTTTGAAAGATAGCAAGACTGAACATATCACGGAAGACAGCAAGACAGAACATATCACGGAAGACAGCAAGACGGAACATATGGAAGACAGCAAGAATGAACTAGTGAGCATGGATTCTAACATGACTGACGTAACTGGAGAAATGCAAAACTTTAAAAGGACAAGGAATTCAAAAAGAAAAACCACAGCAAGTCAAGTAAAGAAAGACTCAAGAAGTCCTGAAAATCGTATCAAGGTTCATATACCTAAGAGAGAGAAGGAAGATGATGATAAATTGAACAAGACTAGAAGACCAAAGACACGAGCTGCCAAATTTTGCAGTGGTTATGTGTCTTTGGATGATGATGATGATAAGGATTCAGACAATAATTATGAACCTCCAGAGAAAAAAAAGTGCATTAAAAAAACACGAACAAAGAAAACTGCTTTTAATGTGGAACAAGAAATCTCGGATTGCACTTATTGGTCATCTATTGAATCTGCCATTGTCAAGGAATGCTGGGATGGTAGAGTTAAAGACTATAAAAAGGAAGGCTCCTTTAAGGACTTTTGCAAGTTTCTGAGGACAAGAAAAAAAGACCCGTATTACATGATGTCACTGAGGGAAAAACTTCAGATACAATACAACATTAGCATGGCAAAATACAGTGCCAGGGAGGTTGTAACACGGAAGACAATACAAGGCTTTTTTGACACTAAAGTGGCACAAAAAAGTTACTTTGAGTGCCTCTGTGGGTCTGCAGAAACTGAAATTCGGGATGAAAAGTTTAGAGTACAGTGTTCAGTGTGTAGTCTGTGGCAGCATGCAGACTGTGTGCAGTATGATGTGACAGATCCCTATAGAGGGGTGTATATCTGCCCACACTGTTGGACACAAGAGAAGCCAGTGGTGTCTGGAGCTACACTCATTGTTACACCCTCATCCATTAGTTATCAGGTCAGTTGGAATCTATTTTAACATTTTTATGTACATAAAGTTAAAGGAAACTTTGAGTTCTTTTGGAAATAACTTGTCTTTGTAAGGTTAGTGAAGATATTAAAGGTAAAAAAAAAATAAGCTATTTGGAGACAGATGGAGAGAGATCTGAGGACAGATGTGAACTTACAATTATTAATTACTGAGCTTTAGAAAAAATTGGCACTGATAACTAAGCTTTATAGGAACTGCTTTGCATGTAGCACTCAATAATGTAATGTAATGATTAGCACCCTCATCTGCCTGCTTTACAAGCGAGAATGATCCAAGTTTGAACCCTGCCAGGGCATAACACTTGGACACTGTTTTTTTGTTTGTTCTGGGCACCCAATATTACTTGGGGACAAGGATGTCAAATGATTGGTGGATCATGTTCTAGAGAATATAGCACTGAAACCCCATACCATTTCCAGTACCTGATTTATGGTTTTTATCCCAACATATAAAAACTGTGTAATTACCAAAGTGTAGTTCCAGGATGAGAGCTACACTCATGGGGTCCCGTCTTCCCAGTACTCTGTCGTATAACGTTTTGAAGCTACTAACGGTTTTGGCCTCCACCACCTTCTCACTTGTTCCAACCATCTACCACTGTTTGCAAAAGAAAACTTTCAAACTTTTTTTTGGCATCTTTGTTTTCTTGTCTTGAATCTGGGACCCCTTGTTCTTGAAGCTATTGGTTTCAGGAATTCCTCTTTGTCAACTTGGTCTATTCCTGTTATTATTTTCTAAGTGACTTACTTTTGTAAGTAGGTCATACCACCTCTTTTTCTTCTATCTTCTAGCTTTGGCATTTTTAACACCCCTAGCCTCTCTTTGTAACTCTTTGTTTTCAGTTCCTGATGCCATTTTGCAGCATATCTTTGCACGTTTTCCAGTTTATTGATGTGATTCTAGAGATATGTGCACCATTCAACTGCTGCATATTCCAATTTTGGTCTCACAAAAGTCATGAACAGAGTCTTTCAGTATTTCAGTGTCCATATAATTAAAAGCGATTCTGAAGTTGAAAAGAGAGACATGTGCTTTTTGCACAGTGTTCTTTGTGTGTTCCTCTGGCGACAGTCTACTATCTAAAACCACTCTCGGATCTCTGATGGAGTGAGGGGAGTGAGGAAAGATGTTTAATGAAAGACAGGGAAGTTGTGGGTATTAATAATTGCAGGCAAGATAATGAGTTCTGCAAGAACTGGGTTTTATAAAAATTAGGTTCTATAAGTACTGTACTGTACTTTACCAGGCTGAATACAAATAGTTTAGCCATTGTCTTTTCATTGAAAATTTCATTGTCTCAATTTCTCTACAGTCATTTGTTAGGAAACATTATCATACCAATAACTTATCTGTATATAAAGTTCCTGATTTATTTACATGAATTTACCTAAGGTAAAGCATCTCAGGTTTAAGGTAGGTGTAACCTACCTAAGGTTACCATCTCAGCAATGGCCTTGACATAGAGAGGAAGCCATGGGCTTGTCGAAGGTCCCACATTTGTCATGATGATTATATTCAGGTAGATTTTGAATTCCAACAATGTTTTGGCCTTTATATCTAGTCCTGGAGTACACTTTTTTTTTAAATTTCTGATTTTTGTCCTTCTTTCATTGTAATAAGTGTAATTAACTTTTAATCTGTTATAATATTCAAGTATATTTTGTACAGTCACTGCTTTTCTCTAACTGCACTGTGTCAGTTTTTCTTTAGAGTAAATGGGAATAAATTGATGATTAGTTTTTCAGGAGTGGATTTTATGAGTTTTGTTTTTGCAGTGGGTGAATGAAATCATGAAACACTTGAAGCATAAAGCCATTAGAATGTTGGTTTACAAAGGAGTGTCAACTCAAGGTTACATGCAGCCCCTTTACCTTGCCAACTTCGACATTGTCATCACTACCTATGAGACACTCAGCCGTGAACTTAACTATGTGGACTTGCCTCACAGCAACAGTCAGATGGGAAGAAGGTATAGTTTGAACTTTAGTTGGTATGTTATCTGCATGTTTTGCTCATTGTCTCATATATATATATATATATATATGTCGTACCTAGTAGCCAGAACGCACTTCTCAGCCTACTATGCAAGGCCGGATTTGCCTAATAAGCCAAGTTTTCATGAATGAATTATTTTTCGACAACCTAACCTACCTAACCTAACCTAACCTTACTTTTTCGGCTACCTAACCTAACCTAACCTATAAAGATAGGTCAGGTTAGGTTAGGTAGGGTTGGTTAGGTTCGGTCATATATCTACGTTAATTTTAACTCAAATAAAAAAAAATTGACCTCATACATAATGAAATGGGTAGCTTTATCATTTGATAAGAAAAAAAATAGAGAAAATATATTAATTCAGGAAAACTTGGCTTATTAGGCAAATCGGGCCTTGCATAGTAGGCTGAGAAGTGAGTTCTGGCTACTAGGTACGACATATATATATATATATATATATATATATATATATATATATATATATATATATATATATATATATATATATATATATATATATATATATTTATATTTATTTATTCATAGTAGTGCTGTGTAGTGGATGTCAAATGATTATACAGTAACTTGATCACTTTATCAAAATAATTAATTTTATATGTATGTACAGAACAGAGATGTACTTTATGTACAGGCGTCAAGCCTGGCCTCAGGCCGGGCTCGGGGAGCAGAACTCTTGAAACCTTCTCCAGTACAGTATATTGTCCATAATAATATAACTCACACCATGGCAACTGTGATGGCTCTATATGATGTTTCTCAATGTGACAGGGAAAATGTAAATAAATTATTGATAAAGATAATCATTGAAAAGGAAAAATAGCAAAACTCAGATATTTAGCTTGTATTTCTGGTGCCTTGCTGCTTCTGGTTCTAGAGGGAGGGAATTATCAGGGGAAAGTGCCATGCCAACTATATAGTATTGGGATGGGACAGGGGGGGGGTAAGGAATGGTGTCTAACCACTTGGACAGTCATGGATTGAACACTGATCTGCAAGAAGCGAGACCTTCGCACTACCGTCCTGTCACAGTGGTTGGGCTTCTGGGACTAGAGAGCTATGCAAAGTGCAATGCTCAAACTGTAGTCTTGGCCTGCCTCTCACATTTGTGAAGATGTATTTTCATACTTGCATTCATACAAAGAAACACAAATGCATTGAAAGGATTAGCCTAAACTCATAAGAAAGAAAGAAACAGTCAATGATATAAAGGTACTGGTGTGAGAAAAAGGGTAAAGAATAGACAAACAATATTCCAAAGATATAAAGTGTTACATGCTACCATATAAATCAACAGCATAAATACAACATAAGAAAACAATGACCTTGCAAAGGTTTTTCGCTTGCAGAGCATCTCAACATTGTACATGTTTACAAGATGTAAGGTAAGCGGTTAGGTAATTCCTAGGAGGTAAGAGTAGGGTGAAGAGGTAGGAAGTGGATGATTGTAATATTGGGATGAAGGAATAATGGATAAGTAAGAGTAAGAGGAGGGTAAGAAAAAGAAAAAGGGGCGGTAGGCTTAATTCAGGTCACGTTTATTAGGAGGGTTAGAGTATTTGAGTATGTATTGTGAAGAGGAAGAGTCAACAGCAACAAAGCCAGGACTGCTTTTTTTTAAATAATAATAATAATAATAATAATATAGTGTAATAGAAAATAATTGTCAAAATAAAAATTAAAAGATCAAAGTATCATGTAGGGTAGCCATAACTTAAACAAAATACTTTCTCAGAAAGTAGATCTAAATTTTTTTCCTTTCAAAGCATTCAACAATATTCGCACAACTCAAATTGATGAATTTTGTGTTGTATATATTTCAACAATGCCAAAGTTTGAGTCAGTTTTTGTAACAAATTTGTGATCTGTTTTGGAACAACCCCCATTGAAGAAGATAATGGTAGTTATCCAGACCTCATTGCTGGTTGTGAAGGGGCTCCCTTAACAATTCAGACTTCAGAGCCCTATAAATGCAGGTCTGTCACTGCTGAACAGTGATTAAGCCTGTCTCTTTTTGAGAGTAAAAATTGTCCTGTTTCTTCCTTATGAAAATTCTTCCATTCTTTGACCAGGTTTCGACATCCAAAGAGATTTATGGCCACTCCATCCCCTCTACCTTGTGTTGAATGGTGGCGGGTGTGTCTGGATGAGGCTCAGATGGTAGAGTGTACCACTAACAAAACTGCAGAAATGGCTCTCAGACTTGCAGCAACTAATAGATGGTGTGTGACTGGCACTCCTGTTCAGAAAACAGTGAATGAGTTACAGGTAAGTTGATATTGGGGCTAAAGTAAATGGGGCATAATTATGCATTTACTATAACACTTTAAATGTATTGCTATACATGAATTTATATGTATCTATAAAACATAACACTATAATAGTGTAGTGTGGGTTTCTGGGAGAAATCCTTTGGTGACTAGGAACAGGGCACCACCAAGGTAAGCTAAGGGTTCTGGGTTTCTGTCATTCCCACCAGAAAGAAGCACTTCTTTACATTCAGCACTAGATTTTTTGGGAGGGCCTCCTTGGTGGCTCCTTAGTCCTAGCCACCTAAATAGCTCTACATATATAATGTCATACCAGGCCTTTGCAAGTCTTAGAAAACCTACCCCGGACAAGAGGCTAAATCCTGATCCATTCAAATAGGCTCAGAGGGCAGGGAATAATAGATCACCCAAACCAAATGGAAAACCCATCAGATAGGTCAAACTCGCCAAAACAGACAACAGCAAGGAAAATACAGTACTGTATTAGCAACCCTGACAATTAAGAACACAGTGCTTAGGTTGTTACCCCCCCACTAGTTACACACCCCCTATCACCAGGGGCTGCCTCGGGGGGCTTTGAATCGGCCTAGTGTTACCATATCAGTCGTGCACCTGGTGCGAACCCATCTACTACTGTTCTTTGTGTTACCACTGCCACCTTGATCCTGTTTTTTAGATAAGTGGTGGCTTTCTTTTGGACTATGTCCTTGTCCTTAAGTCACTTGTTCACCTCAAAGTATTCTTGTCTATCCTCACCTAACCTACCAAGGATAAGGGATAATAAGTTGTGTTCTATATATGGTGTGCAAGATGTTTGTGATTTCACTCTGGTGTCATAGTTTTATGTGAAAGCAGTCCCTGCTTGTGGGTATTTCTCCATTGCGGTTTTGTGGATCTAGGCTGGCTTGATTGCCCAGAATTTTGTTCCCCCTGATTTTATCATTGGTGTCTTGGAGAGTTTAGGTTTTTCCTTTCTTCTGGCCCTACTGGGGTTCTGAGCTGGGTTTCTTTTTAACCCTTTCCTTCATTAGGGTTTCCAGGCCATTTTTCAGGTTCTGCTGCTCAAGATTGGGGTTGATTTAGGGGTTGTCATTCCTTGCTGATGGCAATGAGAGCTGAGCTTGCAGTTACTGTCTGGTGCCCGTTACCTTCCATTCAGGAGGGATTCTAACAGAACACAGATCCTCTCTTGTGGGAAATATGCATGTATTTTCTCTGGCATCTGATGCGGATCCCAGCTCTTCCCTGAAGTTTTCCTCTCTTGGTTAGGGGGCTTGGAGGGGAGGAGGGGCCCCAAGGTGGGTTCATGGGTGCTGTTATGACCAGGGAGTCATGGATAGAGAAACATGATAAGGTTGCAAACAGATTAAGTGAATACATTGCGTCTTGAGGCAGTTGAGCCTGCATTGCTGCCAGGCATATAAGCAATTATTGCCATGTAAACTCCTAGCTAGTTTTAAGAAAAGATAATGTGTAATTAGTGAATTGATAAACAGCCAGAAGGGTACATTATATATGAGGTGACTAGACTAGACTAGACTGTTTTCTAAAAGAAGTTCCGGACCAACCGGGCTGTGGTCGGTATGTGGGCCTGCGGGTCGCTCCAAGCAACAGCCTGGTGGACCAAACTCTCACAAGTCAAGCCTGGCCTCGGGCCGGGCTTGGGGAGTAGAACAACTCCCAGAACCCCATTAAACAGGTGAGAGATTGGAGGTTTTTAAATGAGTCAGAGTATGCTGTTACTGTATGATCATTTGGGTTACTCTGAAGCACCATAAGAACACACTCAATTGATAACTGAACTGGAGGGCTAACGGTCATGTTTTGTTGACTCTTGGTAGTTTGCCTCAGATAAGTCATCATGTACCCAGTACACTTTTTTTTTTTTCTTTAAGATCGGCCACCGATCTACTTTAATAACTATTATTACTGTATGCAACTCTAAGCTTGCTCCCTTGTTATTGTGTTTGTAGGAGTGAGTTTAGAGAGGATTTTCTTGTACCTGTGAGGGTTATAGGATACTGTATTTCAACTGATCTCCTATAGAGGTTTTTGGGCATGCCTAGAGTGTTTCATTTGTGAGCCTTTATCCCCCTGTGCCATTGGGTTTCTGAGCATAAAGTAAATGTCAACAGGCAGTGCCAGGGGTTTTGTCATGGGAAAGACTTGTGTGATTAATAAACCATAACGTATACATATTAATTATGCCTTGTGTACAGTGTGGAGGGATCTGTCATTCCCTAAATACTGGTTCTTTCCCAGCTGGCCAGGTTTAGGTTCCTGGTCACCTGGCAGGAGTCTCCAGTTGGTTCCTTCATGGATTCAGGTCTGACTGGATCCCATTTGGATCTCTCAGAAGGCTTCCCTTTTTTTTTTTGCCATGGGCAGTTCTGCTCCGGTTGGATTCACAAATCTCTTTGATGTTGAAGTATTCCCTGGCTTCTCATTGGATGCTTAAGCAGTTGTGTGGGAGCCTGGCCTTCTTTGGCTTCATGATTTGTCCAGTTACATGTGTCCTGCTTGAGCAAGCATTTGCTTCAGTCACCTCATGCTTGGGAACAAGCACATCACCTTGTGACAGTGAGGAATATACTTCACATATTATTGTTGTATCCTGCTAATATTTTCTGCATTTCAACAGGGCCTTCTGATGTTTCTGGGGGTAGATCCTTACTGGGTGGCACAGTGGTGGAACAGATGCCTCTTTTTACCATACTGCCATGGTGTTAAGGAACAACTCCACAATTTGGTAGCACAGTACATGTGGCGAAATGCAAAGAAAGATGTTATCCACCAGATTGACATTCCACAACAAGTTGAAGAGGTGAGGCTACTATGTCTAGTGTGTTTCAAAAAATGTTGCAAGACCAAAAAAAGAGTCAGTGTTGTAGATACATGTATTCTTAGTCATATAGTTATAGCACACCTTACTGTATCTTTAAATACTCTTTAAGCACTTCAAATACTGGATTGCCTTAGGCTTATATCTAAGGTGCAGCCATATTCTGCGAGAGTTGACTTTTCATGTTCTTGTTAAATACTCTTAACTTCCTAACTACTGAATTAGAGCTCTTCACAGTGACCTGTTTATTAATGGAATATCAAACATAAAATGCCAGTTGCAGTAATTTATGATAACATTTAAAATATTTCAGGTCCACTGGTTGTCCTTTACTCGTGTGGAAGAGCATTTCTACCAACGTTTGCATGCGGAGTGTTCTTACGATGCGCAACAAAGACTGAAAAAGTTTACTGATATTAAGACTAAACTTAGCTCTTTGGACAGACCCACTCTCAACTCCCTGCTACATCCTCTACTAAAACTACGCCAGGCCTGCAACCATCCACAGGTATGACTACAATGCACAAATTACTTGACTGTGTAATACAGTCAAGCAACTATATTACACAGATTACAGACACATACACCTCAATTTTATGGACTTGCATAAAATCGAGGTTTGTTTTGAAGCAAATTCTTTCCAGTATACCAAGGGGTTCCATTAAACTGCATTATACCACTACACAGTACATAAAATCAAGGTTTGTCTTTAAACAAATCCTTTCTATCATATCAAGGGGTTCTGTTAAAAATACCTGTATGATAGAGACAGAATTATATGTGCATTGATACAAATTTTAACTGGCTTACCAAAGAAAAAAATATAAAATGTATTTTTACAACTTGTGTTTAATTTATAACTTGTACCTTTTCTAGGTGGTGAAGGGCCAATTTCTCTCCATGAATCGCAAGACTATGACAATGGAAATGCTTTTGGAGAACCTCATAAAAAAGACAAAATTGGAGACTGAAGAAGCTCATCGTTTGTTGATTTCATCTATGAATGGTCTTGCTGGTGTACATATTATTCAGGAAGAATGGTCTCAGGCTGTCGAGATGTATCGTGCTGTTCTGCGATCCATCCAAGAGCATGCAAACATCAAGACGGATTCATTGCAGCGTCTTCATACTCTTCATAATTTGGCCGAGGTCTTGGAGGCAGGTCATTCAAACATTGAGCCCACACTTAGAGATAGTTCACTCAGGGAAGAGTCAGAAACAATTCGTAAGCGCTACTTACAACACTATCCACAGCAAGTTGCTGCAGCCGACTTGGAATGCACTCAGAACTCAAAAGCTGTTGAGAGTTTAGAAAAGAATCTTAATCTCAATATAAGTTGGTGGTTAGGTGCCTTAGAATCATTTGACGATGATTTTGTATTAGAAGTGAGAGATGAGATGCTGTCTTCATATTCTAGATTTGAGGAGCATAAATGCCTTCTCTTTCCTGTCAAAACACGGGCACACTTACAATTAGTTTTGAATGCCGAGATGAAAAAACTAAAAGATCAGAGACTTGAAATGATCAATGCAGTGAGACACTTGCAGACGCTAGATCCAGCATCTTTGCTTGATGGAGCCATCGATTGCCATCTTCGGCCAGCAGAATCGGAGCCACCGCAGTGCATGATCTGTGCTACACATGAACTTTTTGAGGAGTATGAAGAAACACTGTTCTCAATGCGGGAGTTAAAGCACAGCAGAACAACTGGTGTGTCAAAAGAAACTCAAGATGTAAAAGATAAAGCACAGGTAATGCTAGCTACTCGTCGAGGACACTGGGGCCAGAGTGAAAATGAGCGACTTTTAAGATATTTGCAAACAAAATCTTTAGAAAGAGTAGAGAGAGAGATATATAATGATTCTCAAACACACTTCAAGATTTGGGAAGCAACAAAGAAAGAATTTAAAAATTATCGTATTCTGTGGCGTGCAATTTTTGATTCTGTGTCTGCAATGGATGAAGTCAACATGGCCACAATCCGACTTCGCTTACGTTTTCCAGACGAGGAGATTCCTAAACAAAAAAAGAAAAAGGACAGAGATGACTTGGAAAAGAAAACAGAAGCCCTGAGATATGTGTTAGAATTGGGTGAAGTACCTCAGCAAGAGCTTAAGTTAAAATCACAGCAAATCGTTGCAACTAATGACTTGAAAATTAAGCTGGGTCAGCTCCTTTATTTACAGAACCTTGCTAAGACAGATTTTGGAAAAGACGGTGGAAAAAATCCTGAACCATGTCCTATATGTCAGGGTGAGCTAGGAGAGAAGTGGGCAGTTCTCCTTTGTGGTCATTGCTACTGTATGGAGTGCATGAGAACTTTATCAAATCGAGGGTTTAATGGAACTGACAAGAGTGCTGTAAAGTGTCCCATGTGCCGCCAACCAACTCGAACCCGCGAGATCTCGTATGTGGATACCAAGGCAAAGGAAGTTGAAGACGTCAAGGTAAAAAATATTCAAAAAAAATTATGACTAAACTTCTGCTAATACTGTATATGATTTTAGGAAAATTTCTGAAACCACCTTCAGTTTTGCTAAGAGTTTTACTCAGATATTTTATTTTTCAAATAATGTACCCTTAACTTTCATCCATGTTGGTTATATTCTTTGAGAAAGTTATTTGATGTTATTTTTAATAACCAGTTTTCTGTTATGATTCACTGGACCATTTACTTAAAATAACATCCACCTGTATTTTTATGCCACATGCTCAGAGATTTATGTGCAGGTCATGTCTAATGTTCTCATCATTCCATTTCCACAAAGTGGTCCATCAGCAAAGTGTCCTTTTGCTGTCTTTGTGGCTGCTTACCCCAGGGTGCTTACTTACCTCATTCTGGCAGCTCCTGCGATGGCGCTGAAACCAAACGTATTGGCGTTTGCTTTTCCATTGGACAATTTCAGCAATGTGGAGAGGGGGGACTTGCTGCATGGGTAACAGCTTCTTCATATTAACCTACCCCAGCTTTGTGACCTGGAGAGAACACTAGAGTCCCGACAGCCAGAGCGCAACTCCACAGTCTCATGAGACTGCAGGATGCCTACTACCACAAAGTGGGCCTCTTAGCATGTGCATTAACTAGCACATGATATCACCCTGTCACTCCATTGTTGAATGTGAGGTTATTGCAGTGGATACTTTTTGGCTGGAATGGAATCAATAGGGGTTCCTGTACCTCATTCCTCCAGTTCAGTTGTTGCTTCTTGTGCTGTCCAAACGAGACATTTTTGGGCAGAGTAATCCTTCTGACTTCTTGGTGGCCTGTTCAGCCAAGGTTTCCAACTCTAGTGGCCTGATGTTGGAACCAGTGTTCCTTTTCCTCGGCTCTATCTCTTCCAGTGGATTGGCCATGAGACGTTCCTTACTGGTCCGAGGCTCTCCTTTGATTTTTGCATTTGGACTTTTTTTACCTTTATATATTATATTTTTTCTGAGTAAAAAAAGGTTGAGGCTCCCTGAAGCTATATGCTGAAATGGTTACCATCTACTGGGTCATATCAGCCATAGAGTTCTAGAGGCCTGCATAGTGGGCCAGTTTTCTGGACTGTTGCGCTACCAGAGAAAGTTTCCTCCTCCGCTCAGTGTTTCAATCAGGTGTCATGAATGTCTCTTTTCACTCAGGGCTCATACTGGCCCTTTCACAGTTCTCCCTTTGATGCCATTGTGGGGAGGCATCTGGTCCATTTTACCAGCTCCTGGTCCTACAATTTGGGGACATTTTGGGTAGTTTCCCCTGAGGTCTTCAGGATTGCTGGTCAGTCCCTTCCCCATCTTTGGAGTTGGGTCTATTGGGCCAGGAGTCCTTCCCTGCACTGCATCTCATCATTGTGGACTGGTTGGCCTCGGGCATGGTCGAGCTGACCTTGTCCCTTTGGTGGGTGTCCAGGCTGTTCCTGGTTCCAAAGAGGGATGTGGGGGACCTCCGATATACTCGATCTTTTGGATTCTGAACAGCTTCATCCCCATGCCTAACCTTTCCGCATGACCACTTTGGCTCAGGTTTGCCTTCTGTTACAGGCAAACCTGGACTTGGATGGTGTCCCAGGACCTCAAGGATGGGTATTTGCTCATCCCTATTCATCTGGGGTTCAGGGACTGCTTAGGTTTTGTCATGGGGCATCATGCTTAATGCTTTAGGATTCTTTTCTTCAGCTTAAACCTGGCCCAACATATTTTCCAGGCTGACATGGGTTATTGTGGCCTAGCTGCATTAGTTAAGAGCTAGTGTGTTGGCCTACATTAATGACCAACTGGTGTGGGCCTCCACTCAGTCCACATGTCAGTTTTCCAGGAATCTGTTTTTTTCCCAACTTGTCAGGTTTGGGTTCCTGCTGAACTAGTGGAAGCCCCACTTTGTGCTATCCCAGATTATAGTGTTGGATCAGCCCCAGGTGACTCCCCGGTTGGTCGAGCACTTGTGTGGGAGCCTAAACTTTACTTGTATTGTCTTTTTCCGGGATAGGGTTTGACTCATGACTTTGTACTGGTTTCTCCAGTTCCACCCTTTCTGCTGTTCCCGGGACCTGCGGATTCGGACCCCACCCATCCTTCATTGCCTCTTGCATCACTGACTTCCCCTTCAGGTTTTTCTCGGTTCATTTTCGTGGCGCCATCCTTTCCCTTTGTTCAATGTGTTTACTGATGCCTCGTCTCTGGGGTGGGGCTTTGTGACCAATGCTCACCAGGCTACCTAGGGTCGTTGATCAGGCTGTCTAGCTGTGCTGTCCTCTCCATAATTTTAGCATCATCAGCAAACATTGAGAGAAAGGAGTCTATTCCCTCTGGAAGATCATTTATGCATATCAGAAACAAGATAGGTCCAAGTACATGACCCTGTGGGACCCCGCTGGTGACATTACGCCATTCTGAGGTGTCACCCCTCACAGTAACACTGCTTCCTGTTGTTTAGGTACTCCCTTATCCACTGGAGCACCTTACCAGATACACCAGCCTGTTTCTCCAACTTATGCAACAGTCTCTTATGGGGGACTTGATCAAAAGCTTTCTGACAGTCCAAGAAAATGCCATCTGCCCACCCTTCTCTTTCTTGCTTAATGCTTGTTCATAAAATTCTATTAAACCTGTAAGGCACAATTTTGCTATCTCTGAACCCATGCTGGTGGTGTTTTACAAAGTTCCTTCTCTCCAGATGTGCTACAAGCCCCTTTCTCATGATCTTCTCCATCACCTTGCATGGTATACACGTTAAGGACACCAGCCTGTAGTTTAGGGCCTCTTGCCTATCACCCATTTTGCATATTGGAACTATGTTAGGTGTCTTCCATCTTTCTGGTAGGTCTCCCATTTCCAGTGACTTGTTACATATACACAATAGTGTGTTGCATGGAAAGTGCTTCTGTCCCCTCTTTTAGCATCCCTGATGATATTCCATCAGGTCCAACAGCCTTAGTCCAAATCTAGCAGATACCCCCTAACCTTATCTTTGGTGATTTCAATACCTTCCAATGCTGCTTGTTTTATACCACCCCTGTTAGTTCAGGGACTTTTCCTTGCTCTATTGTGAAGACCTGGAATCTCCTGTTGAGGTCTTCACACACCTCTTTGTGATTGTGTGTGTACCCAGCTTCTTCCTTTCTCAGTTTTATCACCAGTTTTTACACTGTTGTTTTCCTCCTGATGTGGCTGTATAGCAGTTTTGGTTGAGTCTTGGCTTTATTTGCTATGTCATTTTCATACTGCCTCTCTGCTCTCGCTGTTCTGTTATGTAATTTCTCCATGACGTTGTACTCAGCTGCCTTCCTTACGTGCCTGATTGAACCATGGATTACCCTTTTTCTTTTTTTCTTTCTGCACTGGGATAAACTTGTTTTCTGCCTCCTAACACTTTTTGGCTGATGTAGTCACCCAGGTCTATTTCTTCAAGTGCACAGTAGTGTATGAGTTTGAAGCTGTGTGGTATTCCATGAGGAAGATTTAGCTTACTCCAGACTGAGCACTCCAGCTTCACTCCGATTGCTCCACGGTGCTTGAGCCGAGCAGAATTTCGTTGGTCCATTTTCCTGTTGAGTTGGGCGCTTTGTGTGGTTCAAGTTTCTGGCTTCGTGGGGTTTGGTTTTCTGTGTGTTTCACGTGCGAGGTGTGTCCAACATCCTTGCAAATGGGTTGTCTGACTTACGGTCCATCTCCATGGAGTAGATTGTCAACGAGTCCTTCCATTTTGATCGTTTGTTTTCATAGTAGGGGAGTTCTTTGTGCAGTTTTGAGGTTGTTGTCTCATTCTTAACCATGCAGTGGTCTTTTGTTTTGCTGACTTTCTGGGTGTTTTTCCTGGTGGTGGCAGGCATGAATTAGAGTACTGTACTTTTAATTGTACGGTGTTCATAGTGCCACCGTTCCCTGTGTTTCTCTGAGGAGGGGCCAGGTTCTAGCTCATGGTCCCCGTTAGGCCAGTAAAAATGCCGCAACTAATGGCACCTATTAGTATGGCACTGAATCAGTGTAATAGCTTTAAGGAGCCTCTGGGGTTCACCCAGAAATTTCTTTGACTGATTTCTTTCAAATAAAGTTCAAAATGTAGCTAATAATTTAAGCTTTGAAATAGCCGTAAAAATAAGTACAGTACTGTATTACAAAATATTGAAAAAACTTGTTCGAGTTCCTGAACTGAAGACTGTTTTATATATTCCTTTGCTGCCTAGTCTTAGTACTTTTCTCACTACAAACTAAATCATATGCGAGTTGCTCCTGTTTTAATCTTAATGACTTACTACTGTGAAGATAACAAATTACCATTTTTTCCAGTAAACTACTTTGTTATATTAGTGATTATTTTAAGAAGTAAAAATATACTGTAGTTAGTATACAGATGCAGCATGATACCCATTACAGGTGCAAGGAAGTCTGTCTACCAAAATGGAGGGAGTAGTTCGTCTCATGTTAAAAATCAAGCTTGCGGATCCCGAGGCCAAAGTGCTTGTGTTTTCTTCCTGGGCGGATGTTCTTGATGTTATAGCAGATGCATTTGCCCAAAATGGCATCACATATAGAGCTCTCCATCAGCGTTCAAAGTTTCAGGTAAGTTTTTGTTTAAATAGGTGTTAGGATTTTGCAAACTTTACAGCATTTTGTAATGGCTAAAATTATTATTTCTAACTAACGTGACTGCATCAATGAGAAAATCCGTAGGAGCAGTGATGAGTATTCACCTAGTTGTGTTTGCGGGGATTGAGCTTTGCTCTTTCGGCCCGCCTCTCAACTATCAATCAACTGTTTACTAACTATTTTTTTTTCCCCCACACACACACACACACACGCCCCAGGAAGCAGCCCGTGATAGCTGACTAACTCCCAGGTACCTATTTACTGCTAGGTAACAGGGGCATTCAGGGTGAAAGAAACTTTGCCCATTTGTTTCTGCCTGGTGTGGGAATCGAACCTGCGCCACAGAATTACGAGTCCTGCGCGCTATCCATACAGGAAGTTCTTGTTTCCTGTATGGTTGGTTGACAACTGGAATGCATTGAAGGAAGAGGTTGAAGCCAATTCCATTCACAATATATATATATATTTGTGTGTGTATGTATTTGTATAAAGTATATGTGGAAACTGGTCAGAATTACATTTCACCTTTGTAAATGCACATTAATGGCATATAAAAGATACAGAGAACACTTTATGTGGGGCAGATGTAGCTCTGTTTATCTATGTATTTATGTCTGTAGGTTAGCTTAGCATTTTAAAAGCACTACAATCACCTGTGGTTGATTGCTCAATAAATCCCTGGACTATATGTTTAACAGATCTCTCATCCTGTCCATGGAGGACAAGAAAATGTATGTATGCTGATTAGCATTGTAAATGTGTGGCACGTCTGTGATAGAAAATAATTAAACAAAAAATAAAAAAAAGAAACGTGATGAAAACATTAATGTTAAGAGGGGTAATTAGCAATCCAGGCATGAACAGCTAAGAGGGCGGGGCATAAAGAGCTAGATCTCACCTCCCTATAGTCACTGATAGGTAAGCATCAAGATTTGTCAAAAATAAAAAGATATATTTTGCAACAAACAATACTCGAGGGACTTTTCAGAATGTCGTCTAAAGAGAGTTGAATTGAAGCCTCTAGAGTTTCTCCTTTGTGTAACCCTTTTCCTTCAGCATCTCTGCCTGTAGCCTCAACCTTCACCACCTTCCTTAATTAGCACCACCATACTCGTCTAAACATCTTTCATAGGTGGTATGTGGCGAAACACCTGGACCCTTGGTGAGTACCATTATACTATTCTGTACCTGTACAGTATCTTTATATTCTATGTAAAATACCCAGTATTATTTAATGATACAGTGTGTACCTGTACAATATTTTGATGTCTTATTTACAGTATTTAGTGGCATTTTGGTCATAATACTAGTATTAATATTTTGAGGGGACAAGGGGAGTGTACACCCACCAATAAAAAATTACTGATAAAAGAATTCTACAGAATTTGGTCCTGGGCTGGTCAAAAAGTGGGACAGTGACTGTACATGAATATTTTCCTTAGTTTTATAGTATTTTTAATCAGTATGAGTTTTGACATGTATTGTATGTATAATTACTAAGAACTAGTATCTTGCACTTGTCATATCTATTTCTTTTCAGAGGCATCTGGCATCATTCAAAACTAGCAATCAGATCACAGCACTGTTGCTTCCTATATCATCTGGTGCTAATGGCCTTAACATTATTGAAGCACGCCATGTCATCTTGGTCGAGCCTATTCTAAACCCTGCTGCAGAGTTGCAGGCAATTGGGAGAGTTCACCGCATTGGCCAGACAAAAGAAACAATTGTTCACAGATTTCTTGTGCGAGGAACCATTGAAGAAAGAATGTACCATATTTTGCGTCACCATCACGAGTCCCACCACACTGATGAGAATACAGTTACTATCGAGGACCTAAAAAATCTTTTCCTGCATCCAGAAGAATTGGAATTGCAAAAGGAATTGATCATGACTCGTAACCAAATCAGTGCCTCTGAGAGGACCACTGGAGATCGTCGTCTGACCACAGGCAATCTTCGGGAACAGGAAGACTTCCAGAATATCAGTCTCGCTTATCAAGCTAGCAAACACCAAGGAGTCGGATTTTCAAGCAATGTGGATTCTTCATCTCTACCCTCCACCAGCAATTTATCCCAACCATTGGCCATTAACGGTTCTCGGTCCTCAACCTTGAGCTTTCCACCGCCATCAGTGAGTGGCATGCCTCAAGCATCAACCAGTAATGTTTCTCTTCAATCAATCAGTAGCATTTATCATTCATCAACCAACAGTCCATCACAGTCATCCACCAGTAATATATCTCAATCATCAACTATTAAATTATCATGCCCATCAACCAGTAATACATCTCAATCATCAACCAGTAATATACATCATTCATCAACCAGCAATACTTCTCAGTTATCAAATAGTAATACTTCTCCATTATTTAACAGTAATACTTTTCAATTATCAAATAGTAACTTCTCACCCCCATCAACCAGTAATTTATCTCAGTCTTTAAACAATAATGTCTCATGCACATCAACTAGTAACTCTACTCAAGTATCAACCAATAAATTGTCACAGCTATCAACCACTAATACTTCTCAAACATCATTAATTAATTTCTCATGTCCATCAACTAACAATTTACATCAAACTTCAGGTAGTAATTCACACGAATCAACAAGTGATATGTCTCAACCAGTAGCCACTAACGGTCTTCAGGCGACTAGTATTGCTTTCCAAGCAATCTCTAGTAATATAACCCAGACCAGCAGCTTCGATGAACCTGCCACCCTAAATTTGTCTCAGGTCTTCCAGTAATGATTCACAGACACCATTTATTTGTTTAGGATCAGACATCAGCAGTTAATATTCACAATAGTCAGCTAGTGCAGTATATGGCCTCGGCTTTTAACTCTAGGTGGCTCAAGCAGCAATATTCTTTGTCTGCCAGTGTTCCAGCAGTCAGTGAGTTGTGCATCTCGACCATCTGCTAATGCGGTCGGGTATTGCTGAGGTCAGCCAGTGACATGCTTTACTATATGCTAACTATGTAACTGTGAGCAGTGTATCTCATTGTCACTCACTCGTATGTCTCAACCTCATACAGTGCGCCGATTACATTGTATTCAAATCCATTCACTGTTTTTTATCAGTCAAATTTTTAGTTGTCAATTTTGTAACTAAATTTTTAAACACTCAATCACCACCCAACATTTCCATCAGTTCCAAATCAATCTAACACTGAATTCATATTCATTTTAAAACAGTCACAGCTCTTTATGACTGAGAGTACAGTTATTAAATTGCCTTAGAAAAAAAATACTTAGCAACTAGTCAGCACAATACACAATCTTTTTACACAAAAAATATAATGACTAAAAACTAACTTGATGAGATCTGTTTTATCACGGCTTATAGATATTTTAATTAAGCCAGCACAGATTCTGTAACATACTTTCCTTCAAATCATCATAATCATTTTGGTATTTTAAAAACCCTATTGCAATTGAATGATTGATTAATGAACATATAATTAGCAAAGCCATGCCATATATCAAAGGAAAGATAAATGTTTCAAGCCATCAAGTTGCACTACACGAGCTTTGTGAAATGAACATTTGAGGCATCTGGCATCCATATCACTGAGGTTGTGACATTGTCTATCTGGGTTTGAGAAGATTGTACCTGAATCATTATGCTGTGGATTGCAGCATATTACATATAACAAGATGCGCCTCTTTTTTTTTCCTATTTCTTTCCAGAAGCCTCATGAGTCTGCTGCAAATTATATAGGCTATGGAGCTTAGAAGCGGCAATAAAAGTTATATTTTATAGAAAATTAAAAAAACTTGTGTCTCCAAATTTTGCCACATGAAAATCCATGCACGGATGAACAGAAGTATATAAACACATTCTTAATTGGCAGCAGCCAGATGAGTACACTCTGGAGAGCCAGAGACAAGACATGTTCAATGAGCTCACAATACAGTATCTAGAGCACACGTACAAAAATAAAATATATATATATATATATATATATATGTCGTATATATAGCCTACTATATATATATATATATATATATATATATATATATTTATATAACCTATATATATAGGTTATATATATATATATATATAATTTTAACTCCATAAAAAAAAAATGACCTCATATAGAGAAAAGGGTTGCTTTATCATATCATAAGAAAAAAAATATAGTAAATATATATATATATATATATATATTCTGGCTACTAGGTACGACATATATATATATATATATATATATATAAACATATATAAACATGTTATATATTATATAACATGTTTATGGCACTTTTGCACACAATACAAGCTGCGTGAAAATTTATATCTGCCATTTTTTGAGCATCTTGTGAGATGAAGTTCATGACAGTCATGGACAATGCACAAGGAACAGAATGTGAATTTCATCCTTTTGTGTATGGCTGAGTTAGTGAAATCTAGAAGTTGAGTGGTCCAATTATAGGATTATATTTCTGGTTGTAGCTCTTAACTATGGTACCATTAATACTTTTATGTATGTTAATTGTACTCTGTAGTTGGATCTTCATGAACTTGCAACTCTACAGTACTTCAGTGATAGAAAAATCTTTTCAGTAACCGATAACTGCCATTGAATTTTTTAATGAGTGTAACTTTTTAATAATTTTGTAGAAGCTTGGAAGAACTTTTGCAGGAGCTACAAACACCATTATAATGTATATACTGTACTCTGTGCACATGATTACCAGCAAAAGTTTGTATTATCTTTTTATATACAAAGTGCAAGGCAATGTAATTTCATTTATAACTTGCCATGAAATTATTGATGCATACTCATTCATTTTCACTTTTAACGAATTTACAATTCTTGCAAAGATAGAGTAGTGTGTAAAATACACTATTTAGCCCCAGAATAAAGAGAGTTGGTGTGAAATACATTTTAGCGAATAGTTTACTCTTAATTAGTATGTGTAGAGTGAATATTCCATATTTTTAATGAAAATTATGAATTAGAGATACACAGTTTCTTCTGCTCTTCACGGGACTTGTCCATAACTATGTACAGTATTCGAGTGGTCAAACTGGCTCACTTTCTTCTTTTTCTTGGTGAATGTAAAATTTTGGTATGAATGTCACATGTTGATCATTTTGCACTAAGTGAAGTAGGAATCTATGCATGAAGATAAGGGATGCTTTAGCAAGTGAGTTTATATGTGCAGTACGTATGGCAGAGGCAAAATTCCTTCTGGTTTTGTCATCAGTCCAGGGCTGGCCTGTCCTCTCCTTTCCGGTGCTGTTTGGTCTTTGCAAGTAGGTTGGATGCTTATCAGTTTGATTTTCTTTCCCTTCTTAGTGGGTTCCCATCCTGTTATTTTTGTTCGGGCATTCTCGTTTACTGTTTAGGGTCTTTCTACTTTGTCTTCTGATTCCTCGGTCTTTTGATGCAGGGCGTGGTGCACCTTTTCGTTGTTGGCTTTCCACTTCTGGCCTGCCTTATCAGCTGGCTGGTTTGGAAATCTAGCCAGTCTGCATTGCTACAAGCCTTGGTTCTGGTCATTCTCATCTCACCTAGTTCTGGTCTCTTGCAATTTAAAGAATGTCGAGTTTAGTTTCATTGCAGGTTGCACCTGTTCTGAATTTTTTTAATGGCCTCCCTCTCCCACCCTTCTGGGTGAGGCCTGGCAAATCCCACCCATCTGAGTGAGGCCTGGCAAATCCCACCCATCTGGGTGAGGCCTGGCAAATCCCTTCCCTTCCAGGTCGTCAGGTATTTTTATTTTTTTATTTTTTTTTTTTTTGCATCTGCTTCTGAATAGGCTGCTTAGATGATAGGTGGTGGTGAGCCTCTTCCCTCTAAATGAGTGGGAGAGGTGGGGCAAACAAGCTCACTTAATTTTGTAAGATTCAATCGTTTGTTTAAATAGAGGAGTTCATTAGGCAGATTTCGAGGCTTCGGTCTCTTTTGAACCCAGCAGTGGTTTATTTTGACTTGCTAACTTTCTGGAAGCCTTTCCCAGTGAGGCGACGAAATGTCACTACAGGTACTTCCTGAGCTTCTGTGAGGGGAGCCAGGTTCTGGCTTTGGTCCGCAGTAGGCCTAAGAATTCCACAGCTGAAGCGACTTGGTAGATGGGAACCATCTCAGGATGTCGCTGCAAGGAGCCACTGGGGCTCACCCAGAAATTGTCATTTCCTTATATTCAGTGATGGTTTTTTTGCCTTGCCTCCAAGGTTTTCCTTGCTCAATTCCTTTATGGTTCATCATTTGGGTTCTGTTTATTTGTATGGTGGCTGTCTCATTGGTCTGGCTGTGGTGGCAGCATCGTTTTGCCTGTGAGCCCCTTGGCTTGATGTTCCTCTTGACACTGTTTTGTGTGAGTGCAGGGGTGGACTTCTGGGTGTTTTCTGTGGTTTTTTGGGATCTTTGCCCTGGTCTTCGGGAATTTTGTCTTTGGCCCTTAGATTGGGGGGCCCCACTGTTTTCACATCACTTTGTTTTTTCAGCTGTGACCTCAGTCCCTTTGTTGGTTGATTTTTATCTATGGCTCTGAGTTTCAGTTCTTGGGGATTTTGGTTCCAGCCAGCTAGTGGTTTATCCTCCCTTGCTGGCCATCTACTTGCTGTTTTGGTTGCTTCCGTGGCATTTCCTCCACAACTTATATTCAAACATGAGGGGGATGTTTTGAGAGGTTCCACTAGCTGTAGACCATTGGCTAGGATATTCCTTGACCTTGTCGCATTTGTTGCACTTCGACTTTTGATGCACTGCTGGTGGTCCCTTTGCTCCAGTCCCTAGTCTTCCTCTGTATTCTCTTCTGGTTAGACTTGGCCACATATATCTGTTTCCTACTTTGTTTTTCCAAAATGGTGGTGGTCTCAGCTGAGGTGCTGTCGTGAGTTAGTTCAGAGTTACTGAGGGGCACTTCCAGAAATAAAGTATTGAATGTAATGAAATGCTGTTTTCTGGTGGGCTTTCAGTAGCTCCCTGTCCTTACCGTGTTTCCTTCTTTGCCCGTTTAGTCTGGCCATTTCTTCATTGAGGGGGCAGGTTGGCTGGATGGAACATCAGGTGACCTGGTGGCAGTTGAGCACATCATGGCTCGGGTGTTTATCCCATAGAAACAGTCGTATGCCTTGCTACTTTTAGGTATCTAATTTTGTTAAAGTAATTATTGGTTTTGTTGTGCTTACATTTTTCTTTTTCTCGATTTTGGGTTGATCTCAGATCCTCAAGCTACCCTCACCTTGTAGACAGAGCAAGACACTCCTGGCTCCCAGTAGGCCTGGTGATACCTGATTGATACCTGGTTGATGGGGTTCTGGGAGTTCTTCTACTCCCCAAGCCTGGCCTGTGGCCAGGCTTGACTTGTGAGAGTTTGGTCCACCAGGCTGTTGCTTGGAGCGGCCCGCAGGCCACATACTCACAACAGCCCGGTTGTGAGTATGTGAACACAACAGAACGTCTTTTAGAAAACAGTATAGTTTTCTCTTGAAGATGTCCACGGTTGTTCCGGCAATATTTCTTATAGTCGCTGCCATTTTCCAATAGCATATCTGTACTATGACTGCTCGAGAAGCTCCTAAGTGATCACCTGAAAAGGGTATTTCATTATATTCACAGATTTATTTTTGTATTTTAGAAACTGAAAACTCATAAATAACTTTAATATAGCATTTTTGACATTTAAATTGTCACCTCTTTGGCAGTCTGCTCTTTCCCCACCTCTGGTTAACCATTTTGATGTTCCTCTTGACACTGTTTTATGTGAGTGTGGGGAGGTGGACTAATGGGTGTTTTCTGTTTTTGGTTGACTCTGCCTTGTGGATCAGAAACTGGAGATGACTGGCTGTTCAAATTCTCAGGAAAAATGTTCAGATACAAATTGACTATTTAATCACAAAATTACATCATATAGCAAACTGGCACAAAACAAATCAGAACGACCATGGCTGTTCACAGCAATATAGCTCAAGTTAGGTTAAAATATTTACTGTACTATTGTTCATGGTAGTGTAAAGGTTAGAGATTTAAAATGGTGCATGATTTAAACATGTTTCATATACAGTACAGTCTTTATCATAACCTTATGCTAATTAATGTTGCAAGTATGGATTTTTATATGAAATCAATTTCAGTGATCATTTAAGGTTGCATTGCTGAACTGATTTTGGTTATAGTTTACAGTTATTTGGTCAGTTGAATTCTTTTCTTCACGTTAACTTTAAATCACTATTAGGTTAATGTATATGCTGAGTTAATATGCACGTATGCCAGTACCCACACCTCTTGCAAGTATCATTTTAACATTTTATTTGAAATGAAAATTAGATTCTTATGAAGTTATATTACAAGATTTGTTTAATTTGTAATTAGCTTTTCAGAAGTTAGTCTTTTGATTTTCATTTTGAGATTCTCGTCTCCAGATTATAATAATAAGTAATTATTTCATGGAAGAAAACTCTGCATCAGATGTTCGTCTTCAAATACATATTGGTTCTATATTTTTTCTTGTACAGTATGACAAATTCAAACAGAATGTGTAATTATTAGTACAGTATTCTTTCCTAGTTTTGATTGAGTCCCAACACATAGTGGTTGAGGACATTGGAGACTATGCATTTATACTTACTTAGGCAAACAGATGAGCATCTGTGTAAATCATTTTGTGCGGAGTTAACTATGATGCCATTAACATAACTTGAAAATATAGTTTTTTTTTTTTTTGTTTTTTTTTAAGCTGCATGTGGTGATTTGTTTTAAAGAATGATTTTCTTGATTTTAAAGTTTAATTATTGACCTCGTTTGTATTTGATTGCCTCTGGGTAAACACTTTGTCTATGATTATCATCATCAAACACTTAATTTATGCTGGCAGATGTTTTTGGCAATTTATATCTAATGTAGTTTTTGTGTTTTGTGTTTTAAATCATTTTTATTTGAAATTTAAAGTTTATCCTATTGACATTTATATTGGCATGACCCATTTTGGGATTTGCTCCCTACGTGTG